ATGGTCATGTTATAGCCATGCTTATGCAGAATGATATCTATTCTATCAAGAGAAAAAAGACCTCGAAGTGCAGAAAATTGAATAGTTGTAAACTAAAGCGGTGATTATTCAAATCACCATTAAAAAATTGATTTTCAATTTTATTATAAATATATATCGAACACAATTTGAATATCATATTTCATTGTGAGATTGTCGATTATGTTGAAGAAAGTCACTCAATAAATTCGATTTTTTTACCAAAATTCAATTTAATCGTCATCTCTTAGAGTGAAGCTCCTCATTGGAGCTATAGGACCCCAACGTGGCAATATATTTCACCTCCATCGTGCTATGTATACATCAATGAATGTTGAGTTATATATAATAACACTGCAAGGACATACATGTCATAGAAATGAATCCCTGTGAATAAGGGATCCTTTGCTTTTATATGTATGTTTTATTAACAACATTCATATCTAGATACTCGCAACTAACATAACCTTATGTCATTTAAATACTATGAGATAATAACAAAAGCGTATAAATGATAGGTTTTTATATCAGGCAAATACATATATAAATTTCTAAAGGTGCCATTTTTTTGATGAGATAATTATTTTTGAATTGGAACTGAAGTATTTCTGGTGATTTCAACGAAATCGAAAGATTTATCGAGGAACTTCAAGCATTCTACTCTTGCTTTGCTGTTGAAGGCCTTCTGACAGCCCAATTGTATTTTGAAGGTGGTGCTTTATATTATAATGATAGGGCGATTCCCGAAAGCGTCATACGCTACGTAGTTCATGATGAAGTCTTCACAATTGTTTTTCTCAGCCGAATAGTCTATTACGCTTTTATATTTATATGAATGATAGATTTCAAACAAATCTACGTTTATAAAGGAAAGTCCAGTAAGAACAATGTTGAAATCACGGCCTCTCTTCCAGCTATACTTTCCTTTTCTCCAAAGAGTTGCGTAATTTCCGAAAACTGACAATGGAAAGCCTCTACGTTTAAATTCTTCAAAAGCAGTGTCTAAAGCTGTAAAATTAACGAAAATATCATCATCAATATTGCATATGGTCTGAGTCTCGAGGTTTTGGGGTATTAAAAATCGAGCAACAAGTTCTCTCATTTCAGTATCAATTATTTCAATAGGAACTGTAGAGTTTGAAATGTTATATGCAGTTAAATTAGGAGCCGGTATTGAATGCTTGAAATCGTTCCAATATATGTAAATTTTTTCGCAATGCTTAGATTCTTGCTTTAAAAGTGAGTTTAATATTTTAGATAGAATTGGAATTCGACGGAAACTACTTAGGTATATGATTGAGTATTTGTCTTTACTTAATTCTCGATCAGGTTTAAGATTTGATAATCCAGGGCCAATAACTTGTGAATATCCGCTTGTTTCAATTATTGAAGTACCAAAAATGACTGAAAAGAATATACATAGCAAGGATAAAAATGTTATTGATCCAAAATTTGTCCATAATTTAACCAGAGCATAACTCATATCTTTTAAGGTTATCGTCCGACCAAACACCAATTATCGTTTTTTATATTTATGATTATCTCAGGAATATTCATGCTATTTACTTTATCATTTCAACAGGCAATATCAATATATTTTACTTTCGCTATTGTAGTTCCAAATAAATAGCATACACAATATTTTGATAAAAAATCAATCTGACAGCGAAAAACGGTTATTTGTCGGTACTTTCCCTTTTATAGCAAACACTTTTTTGACACACATATGACAACAGAGGATTATACCATGTTTGAGTTACTAAAAAGAAAAGATACAGGGTGAGATATAAAAAGACATCGACAAAAACGAAGTTCATTATACTCAGAATTTAAAGAATAGTAAAAATGAATATGAAACATGACTTTCATTTGATTTCGAGATAACATATCAATATAGAGATCTTATTGTGTTATGAAAATCAAGCTAAAACAGAGCTTGGCGAGCCAAAAAATTTGACGTCAAGGGTTAAATGAGTTTTGGTTTTATATTTCAAAAATCTTCCATATATATATTAGTCATTGAATCAGTATTTATCATCGTTTTGTTTTCAACTATTGGCGGTATCACGTATAATGGAGAATTCCACAGTAACATGAATGTTTTATTGTCATGGTCAGGAGACCTTTTCAATCTTGGACCAGCTATATACGCCGTAGTCAATGCACATCCAGATCAACATATTTCCTTTTATATTACAACTGTCAATGCAGATTTATTACCAAAATATAAAACTCATTTTGCAGAACGCCCAATCCTTAATACAAAATTCTATTTCGAAACATACCAAACACGGTACTTGACTAAAAGAATATGGATAGTTGGGTACGACACTTATATTCGAATTGTTTTTCCTAATGCGCATCCTGAAATGGAAAGATTCTTACAATTAGATGGAGATGCAATTGTAGTACAAGATATTAAAGATATGTACTTCCATGATTTCAACAACCAATCTGCAATCGTAGTTTTTGATTTTGCAAGAAGATTTGAAGGATTCAAAAATTACTTTAACGCCGGTGTTATGGTATTCAATAATTTTAAGTACATAAATGATAATATTCTGAATAAATCCATTGAATACTTGAAATGGCTCAATGGACACATGGGCCGTTGGTACAATGATCAAAGAGTATTAAACAAAATGTTTATAGACTCAAGAATAGTTTTCCCTCAAAAATATAACGAATTTGATTTCAGAAAGTTTGGGAATAACACCAAAATCTTTCATTTCTATCGTGCGAAGTGTAAACCATATAACCAAAAATGCAACAGAACGCAAGCTCCATACAAACTTTGGGATTGCTTTTATAAAACATACAAAGAAAAGCCTCTTTTATGGCGCGATACTCGTAATATTACAATCTGTACAAATGAAATGTTCAATTAACGTAGATGGTAAATTAATTATGATTCTCACAATTTTGAGAACTTCTGACATCATTTGCCAGACAAATTGAATGCAATGAAGTATGATTTTTTAATGCTTGATATAGATTTGTTATAATATAATGTATTTATTTTTCTAGTTGAAGTCTTGCGGACATGAAATTAATTTTTTTTTATTTTGGATATAGGTCAGGTGCGTGGGGCTTCCAGGGGCTGCGCCCCTTCTAGCCCCGGAGAAACTAGAGGAGGAATGATACAAAGACCAGATGAAAAAAATAAAAATATTATAATAAAATTAAATTTTTAGTCTTAAATTGTTTTTTTTATTCGGTATATTCTGAATCTTGAATGTCTTGGAAATTTTCTTCTTCTTCGCTCTCTGAGGTGAGGATTTCTTCGACTTCTTCTTCGCCATTGGGAGCAACAAATCCTGCGATGAAAACTTTGTATATACCTTCTTGAGGAGTCTCTATGATGAAAGTCGTATTGTTGAGGAAATGGAACTCGACATCTTGAACAAATTGGCAACTGCTGTGTGTGAATTTTGCAATTGTGAGAGGCTTTCCTTTATAGTCCTTGGGAAAGCTTGAGATGGTTACTGTTCCTCCATATGGAACTCTGGCAGGAATATCTAAAGCAACAGTTGTTATAACGTGGAAATTGTCTAAGAATTGAGGCATAGGTTCAATGCAGTATAGTCGTTTTGACTGGTTGTCTTTTGTGTAGAAATATAAATAGAATGACCTTTCACCATGTTCATTCAATTCTTCCAAATAATTGTATGAATTTGGATATATACGGACAAATTCAGCAATTTTAACTTCTTGTAAATGCTTCTGCAAGTTCTTTGGAAACAAGTGAATGAACTGGTCAATAGCTTGCAACGCTATGAGATTGGCAGTAACAGGTAAATATGAAGCAAACATGTCAACAAGTACGCCAGGGTCTTTGATTTCGTTTTCAAAAGGCTGAATGGCATCCATGACAGCTTGAAACATCTCGTTATAATCTCGATTGTCTTCTGAACCCCACTGTTCATTTAACTTATCTAACAATTCGAACCTTTTCTTTGCGTATTTTCTACGAACTTTCTCTGAAAGAGGAGTGTCTCTATCTTGTGTGTCTTGAATTTGAGACTTAAATTGTTTGCTAAAGGCGATATATCGTGTTTGCGACCTAGTGGTCATTGCAGAATGTGTTTCTGTATGTTCGATTGGATGTGTTTCTGTATTTTCGGGTGGTTGTGTTTCTGTATGTTCGATTGGAGTCTGATTGGTATGAACTTCTTCTGAAAATGCTTCTGTTCCGATAGTTGTTGTTGCCTGACCTGTTGGCTGAGTTGTTTCTGTTGTGTTTTGAGAAGAAGAACTCAAATTGTTGGACAATTTGTTTGCAATTGTATGAGGAAGTTGCTTTGGTATTATAGGAGGTCGTAAGGGTTTTGAGAATGGTGAGACATAAGTTGTAGGAACTTTAACTGCAGAGGTAGTCGACGAATTGTTTGCGACACTTGTTCTTCCTTCCATTATGAAAAATGAACTGTTTTTTTCGGACCACTCATAGAAAAGTTTGAAATAAACCGTTTTCGTCAACGGAGACCCCATCTATAATTTTATTTTATTGAAAAGTCTCCGTTGGCAAACCGTTCCATCTCAAATATTTGAGAAGATAACTTCACATTTTGACTTTTAAATACATATTTTTCACCATCGGACAAACTTTTGACTGGATGGACTTTACACGAACATTACACTTGTCAAAATATTTTTAACATACGATAGTATATATTTGTTCGAACAAATAATGGTCTATCGTCAACGCTCATAGAGATAGACCCACTTTTCTAAAGTATATATTTGAGTACTTTAAAAAAATATTATAGAACAATATAACAAATATTTTACAAAACCGACAACACTTTGACCAAGTAGTTTTTTGAGCTGAACAAAAAGTGTCATATAAACATCTGTCAAAAACCGCTTTTTAACTTCACTTAAAATGCCACGTAAGCTACGTAAGAATATACGTAAGAGGAAGGGAGCATTGAAACATCCAATAGTAAAACTGACACCACAACAACAGTTGCAACAAACAAATAATGAATGACCCCACTATGTTGCAACAAATGTCAAGCAACCCTATGCTTTTAAACCGAGTTATTGGTGCACAGAGTGGAGGTTTAAGAGCGGCACTTTTAGCGAAAATGGCAGGCTATGGTGGAGCTGCAGACGGAACAGCTTATAACCCTCAAAGTCAAATGAATTTGAGTTCACTCAAAAATCAAATAACAGATGTCAAAAAGTCAAACATAGACATACAGAAACAAATAAATGAAAATGAAAAGAAACTAGAATATGACAGACACACAAAGAAACTCAATGAGTTAAACGTAGAGAAAAAGAAGAAAGAAGAACAACTGAAAGAACTAAGTACAGAGGAATATGCGAAAAAAGTGTCAGAAAAAGCAGCAGAAGTAGCAAAAATGGAACAAGATGTTATAAATTTGAAAAACCATACTACTCAATATAAAGTACTGAAAGATGAAGAGATAAAACAAAAAGCCATGAAGACATATATGGATAGCGATGAGTATAAAAAAGAAGTTGAAGCAAATGTAAAGGCAGAAAAACTTTTACAGTTGCAAAACCAAACCGTACAGTATGAAAACTTAGCACAAGAAAGTAAAAATAACGACGCAGCCATGCAAAAGGCAATGAAAAGCGCAGAATATATAAAAGCTAATAATGACTGGTTAGATGCCCAAGCCAACGCCAAAGCAGCCCAACTTATAGGGTCAATAAGGACAAAAATACAAGCGGATGAAGACAGTTCAAATGAAGCTTTAATGAATGCTGACTTTAAGAATGCCTTCGAAGCTCTTCATAGTAAGGTGAAACTAGTGAACGACTTCTCATCTGGAAAGAAACTGAAGTCTGAAGGTTTCGACAAAGAGTTAAGAGAAGTAGCACAAAATATGACGAAAATAACAGATGCAGCAACGAGACAGGCAGTTCAAAGTGCCTATGACGCCGTTAGAGCAGCTGTTGTGGAAAGTCAAGAAAAAGAGTTACAACAGACCAAAACAGACCTAGTAAATGCTTTCTTAAAAACGAAAAGTCAAGTAGGACATTATGCTGCAGATGGAACATATGTGCCAGCTGGTGGAACTTATATACTAGCTAGTGGAACCTATATACCACCAAACCCTCCAAGAGAAGCACCTGCACCAGGACTACCTAAAACATTTACATCGTCACATGGACACAGACACAGGCATGCACCAAAACCAACACAACAACCAACAGTTCAAAATCCAGCACCACAACAACAACCAACACAGCAACCAACAGTTCAAAATCCAGCACCACAACAACAACCAACACAACAACCACCTCCACAACCAGCACAGCAACCACAAACAGAGCAAAGACATAAAAGAAGTAGAGAAAAAGGAAACCAAGAATTCTTAAAAATGCTTAAGGAAGATTATGGTTACCCAGATACTCTTGACTTTAGTGACAGATATAAAGAAGCTATTAGAAAGTTCAAGGAAGGAAATACTGACCCGAATCTATTTAGCTTTATGGTTCAACATAAAATCGGATATAATCTCAAACCTGGAAAATACAAGCTCGCTAAGGATATGATTTAATAGCATATCATCCAAATGACATGGATGAATTTACTCCGAGATGATATTTGATGTCAGAGCTAAATGATAATTCAACTCTCTTCATGAAACGCGTAAAAAATAGAGACGGAACGGAAAAAGAAAGGTTTATGAGTCCGGATGACTTAGAGAGGGAACTTGTTAAAAACGGTCTCGGAATATATGAAATGCCAGCAGATGAGGTACAAGAAACTCCACAGGAAGAAGTTCAGATACAACCAGACACGGAAGAAATAGTTCAGCAACAACAGCTAGAAGAGCCTGAAGGAAACGAACAAGTCCCTCCTTTGGAAACTAACTTCACAGAACTAGATGAAGATTTGGAACAGCCGAAAAATCTTGACCCTCAACAAGTGTATGAGGAGAATATGGAATCTTTCCAAGAGTCTAAGCAAAATTCGGCTGACATAGTAGAAGAATATCGAAATGTTTACCGACATACAAAAGACTCCAACATCAGATGAAAATATTCAGCATAGAATGGAAGTACTGAAAGATAATGTACGCAAATACAATAATCCTTTTTACTTACGACCATATAACGTTCAATCTTTGGCTGAACTCGGTGAAAATAAAAGGTTAAATTTCAACAAAACATATAGAAATGAAACATTGTTTAAAGTTCATTCAGAACCTAACCAATATGGAAACAAACCTACTTTTGTTTCTGCAGACTATGGAACTACAATGAGATGAGGTCATAAAGCTAATCAGGATAGGTGGTTCATAAACTTACAACCTCAATTCCAAGAAGTTGTAGACGCAATGGAAGTGAATGGTGAACCAGATATAGCTGGTATTTTCAGCGCGGCTTTAATGCCATTGAAAGATATGAAAGATGCAGATATTTTGGACCAGTATGAAATGAACATGGCTGAGGGAAATATAACACCTGACGTTCTAGAACATTTATCTCAAAGAACTACACAGAACCATAGAGATGGTATATTTGGTGAAGAGTTTAGAAAGAGAGTTAGGGAGAGAGAAGGAAGAGAACCTATTGTACATGACCTTGCAAACGAAAGTTTGCAAAATGTCATAAAAACTTACTTTGCAGACAATGAACCGAGAAGGGATGAATATTTAAGAAAACTCAAATGGACAGTACCAAATGAAATGTTAGTATTGAAAAACATGTTCCATGACAAAATAAAACCAACTACAGAAATAAATGACGCAAGACTGAAACGTTGGGTAAAAGCTTTCCCATTCACAAAAGATATTATTGGTAACATGGAAAGAAAACCAGAATGGCTACAAAAACATATATTTGGAAACGAGCTTATTCCATATGGACAAGCTATATTTGAAGAGCTTGAACCGGAAACTCAGGAAAGAGTCATGCAAACAATAAGCGACGACTCAAATACAAACTATGACAAAATCTTTCTAGGATATTGGTTACCTGAGATGGGCGACCAGAGCCCAAAGGCAAAAAGGACATGGGAAATTTACAACATACTAGGTGAACATGAGGCAAAGATGCAACAACTTGAAGCAGAGGGCAAGTTACCAAAAGCGACACCAAAGAAGAAGAGAAGAGTAGAACAAAGTGAAAGTAGTGAAGAAGTAACTTCATCTAGTGAAAGTAGTGGCAATGAAGGAAAAAGAAGAGTTAAAAACTCAGCCAGGAAGAAAGTAAAGCTTGGTCCGAGTGGGTTCTATTATGACATATAAATCCAACTATTCTATATTTTTACCCATATGAAATGTACGCCGCTCAGAATATTACGCCAACAGTTTTGGATGCCATGAACGGAAATGTTTCCGAATGGTATAACGAATGCGACAATGCCATTAGAAGGTCAGAAATAGTTCCTGGAACTTACGAATATACAACTGCTGTTTCTTATGGAAACGTAGGTGAGTTTGGAGAAGGTTCTTCAACAACAGTAGATATTGCTTGCGACAGGTTTCATATTATTTCTATTGACAACTCATTCTTATACGTGGAACAAGACATTGAAATAAAACCTTCTGCCAAGTTGTCTGACAAGAAAGGTTGCAATGGAATTTTCTATGTCGGATACCAATATGCTCCAGAAGTTTTTATGGGATATAAGATATATTCTAACTCTGACTTAGTTCAAACAGTAACATGGGCAAACTATGAATGGTTCGCTTTGAGAAACTCAGTACAACCACAAGCTAGAGAACAAACAGACCAGTATGCAACTATTGAGAAAATAAGAAGACTTGACCCTAACGTTCCAGGAGTTTATGTTAACCTTTCTGGTTCAGATGGAACTGCTGCCACTAAAGTAAAACTGAAACTTAGAGTTCCTTGTCATCTTTCCTCATCTTCAGGTTTTTAAGATACTTGCCAAACTGGGCATGAAAAATTTCTATCGAACTTACTCCAAGCAAAAATAACTTAGTCATTGCACCAACACAAGACCCATTCACTATTGAAGCCAAAGCAACAGCTCAGGAAACATTCGCTGCCTTTTGCAAAAACAAAGTTGACTTAGACTTTGGTTTCTCAAATTCAACAATGAAGTAAACTACTATATGAAGGATAATGGTGGTGCAAACGTATGGGACCCAGTTAAGTTCACATGCGAAAAATTTGAATGCAAGAGAATAGAAAGCAGACTTGCAGTCTATATGTTGGACCCAGATATTTCAAATGCTTTAGCTGCCAAATATATTGCAGTTCCACTTATGTTCCCTATACACCAAATATCTGTCAAAGACTTTGCAGGTGAAGTTGGAAACCAAAGTGCTGACCCAGGTGCAAGAACAGATATTGCCTTAACAACTGCAATGAAACATGCAGATACTATGTTTTACTGTTCAGACGAACTATAAATGACTATTCTTGTTTCTACAACCCTGGTATTAAATATCATATAAACATAGATGGCAAATATTATCCAAGAGAAGAATATTCTACAGTTGAGGATATGAGGTCATACAACTTGACATTAGATGCTATGAACTTTAACAACAACTTCACAACAACCATTAACCCTGAAATGCAAAGTTCTATTATGCCATATGTGAAAGTATGGACTCATACAGGAGGTCAAAAAACTCAATATACAAATGGAGACCGTTCAAACTTTTGGCTTGGCATTCCATTTGCTGACTCAGAAGACTTTATGGGTGGTATTTCAACTGTTGGTACAGTTCAAATACAATATACTGGTGACAGAGACGGTCCAGATGAATTGAGAGCAAAGAAGTTTACAAAACCAATAGCACTTTTCACGGAAGATGCTCTTTTGAAGATTCGTTCGATGAAACCTGCTGGGGCTCCTCAGATTGGCATAACGACAGTTTCCATCGAGCAGATTTTGGCAGCAGGTCAGTAAGTTGTTCTTTGACACTTTTCTCACCATCGTAAATAGTTATGACACCTGTTTTGACATAATACTGTATTATAAACTTACCTTTAGAAATATCTGTAAGTTTTGAAGTTATATTTTTGTCTGCTTCAAGAACTTTCACCATTTCAGTTATACCAACTTTCTTTGCTTTATGAAAATATTTAGGTTCAGCAAAGACTGCTATTCTATAACATTTTCCATTGTTTGTGTAAAGAACTATTCTGTCAATGAACTTGTATTGTTTGTGAGTATAAACTTTGTTTTGCTTCAATTCAAAGAGATATCCGAATACGTCCATCTTTTTATTCTAAGTAAAATGTCATTTCCGAAAAATAGAAGCGTAAGTGTTTCAAAAGGTTTAATGGCGGTGGCAGATGTGAAGTTAAATTCACCAACTCAAACAAACAGTCAAAGTGTTATTGTCAATGTCAAAGACAGAGATGTTGAAATGGGGAAACCATACGAAGACGAAGATGGTATAACAATTGTTCCTGTAAAAGAACCAACATATCCTGAAGTTAACAGAGACTTAAGTTCTGTTGCAGATATTCGAAACGATTACCAACAACTGAAAGACAAACTTCAAACTCAGGAGAAGATTTGTCAAGCTTTAAGTATAATGTTAAACTTGGTCGAACACAACCCTGTAAAAGTGAACTCATATGTCATTGCACCTCATGAAGTTTTGAAAGAACTCTTGAAACTTTTGACAGAGGCAGACGATATAAACATCAAAGAAATAGAACCCGACATTAGTTGCTGTCGTGTTTCATATAATGTCATTGACAAGATATACGTTATGAAAGGAGGTGAAACGTTGAACTTAAAATATAGTTTCCCAGACGTTATAAAAATATTTGACGACCACAACATTTCATTAAAGTTTATTTGCTAAGTAAATGGCAGAAGACATAATAGTTTATACTATTACGACTAAAAACCCTGAGTCATATAATTCTATAACAACAAACTTACAAAGTCCTCAAGGACGATATTGTAAACTAACCTTAAACACAATGACGACTAAAGCCTGTTTTGCTCTTTTGACACCAGAAGACTTTATTGTTGTGAATGGTAAAAAATACTCCTTTGAAGATACTTACTCAGATATGCCACCAACAGGTTTTGTTGACTTATTTAATACTTTAAGTACGGGTGTAACATGTGCTGCAACTAGAGCAGGTTTCATTATGTTTGGATGTCCGACTGAGTTTACTATAAACGATATGAGCTATAATACAAAACTTATTTCTGGTTTTTACTACCAACAGTTTCCTATAACAGGAAAAGGTGTCATACAAGGAATGTCTATTCCATTGACATTAAGCACACCAATCTTATATATTGTTTCAAACTTAGGTTCAAAGTGTTATTCGAATGTCGACAGAAACTATTATGACCAAAAGATACTTATGCGTATAAACAATACTTTCTCTGCTGGTTTGCCTATTGTTCATTCGAATGCAGAATTTTCAACCTTAGTGAACTCAAACACTTTGGCAAGTATAACGTTGACATTAGTTGACGCAAACTTTGTTCCTGTAAAACTTTTATGTCCTATGTATTTGTCAATGACGGCAGAAAGTTTCGAATTGGAAGATGCAACTGGTGAAAGTATTGTATTACAAGAACAACTTCAACAACAAATAGCTCAAGAACAACAAATGCAACAAATGGAACAACAAAGTCAAGAATAAAAAAATAATATTTTTTTTATTCTTATAAAAATGTACAGAATAGATGTTTCAGATTTTTATGACTTCCAAGCATTCAGAAATATGTGTCCATTTCGAGACTATAACAAAGCAGTCAAGAATTTGAAACGTTTAGTCATTTATGTCGACTCTGCCCCAGAATGTTATGTTATGAAAGAATGGGATGTAGTCTTTAACAAACCTAAAGCGACAATAGTTTCAGAACAAGAATGTAGACAGAAACTTAAGAAAATAAAAGTCGTACAAGTTGGTATGAAGATGTTAGATGCTTGGGATATCTTATTGTCAAAGTTAGAAGATTTTTCAGTTCGAGGTATAAAGTTCTATACACCATCTCCAAACTTCTATTCTATCTTCACTGGATATAAATATGAACAAGTAGAATGGAAAGAAAATATTATAGAAGCTTGGTTAGACCATGTCAAAGAAATTATATGCAATGGAAACGAAAAGGTTTATGAGTATATCTTATGTTGGTTTGCAAACATCTTACAACATCCAAGTGCTAAAAATGAAACTGCTCTCATTATAATTGGAAAACAAGGAACATGTAAGAACACATTCTTTACAGATATCTTATGCAAACTTTTAGAAGGTTATTCGAACCCTAATATGACAAACTTAGAAAACATCTGTGGTAAATTTAACTCTTCAATTGAGAATATGAAACTTATAGTTTGCAATGAACTTCAAAGTATAGATACAACAAAAGTTTTAAACTCAGATGTTTTGAAGAGTCTTATAACAGATAAAGTTGGAGTTGTTGAAAGAAAGTATAAAGACTCAAGAGTTTGTGAGAATGTTGCAAACTTCATTATGGTTTCAAACAATGCTGTTCCGATGAAGTTAGAAAGTTCTGACAGAAGATATGTAGTCGTCAGAACGTCAGATTCTCATATGCAAGATACTGAATATTTTGACGACTTAGCAGAAACTTTGACATCTGACTTTTACAACCACTTGTTCTCATATTTCATGACATTAGATATTTCTAACTTCAATCCAAGACAAATTCCACATACCGAAGAGAGACAAACATTGTTAGAAGCAAACAAGAGTGTATATGAACTGTTCATAGAAGAAAGCGACTTTGAGTGTTTAGATGAAAAGTCTTTATATGATGAATATAAACAATATTGTCAAGAGTATGGTTATATGACAGCGTCTAAACGAACATTCTTGGCAAATGTCAAAAGTCTTTTAGACGTACAGAATGGTGTATATACAAAGAAAATTTTTTCTGAGTAAATTTTAAAAAAATATTTTTTTATCCGATAGAAAAAGATGGCAAAATTCATCTCAGTAAATAAGTACATGACAGAAGTCAAAGATAAGTTAGCTCCATTCGCATATTTGAATGTTTACTTCTACAATTTTGAAAAGTCTACATTCAGCAAATTTTGGAACATCGAACCAGTTAAGTTTGCTATTGTGACTAAAAATGGTGCGAAATTTGAAGACTTAGACATAGAAGGTTTGTTAACAGTCAAAGAAAGTTTTGACAGAAGGTTCTCAAACCTTAAAGAAGGCAAAGCATACAAACTTGTTATACCTTATGAACCAAAGAAGACAGACGACTATGAATATTATGAGTCTAAAGTTGTAGAAGTTCAAGGTAAATTGGGTAAAAAGATTTTAGAGTCTAAGCCAGTGTTTACTCCTAAAGAGGAAGAGAACATTGACATTGACCCAGAAATGTTCTAAAAATAAAATTTTATTTTTACATGTCAAATTTCTTCTTCGGTGGAACTGGCTCTGGTTCAGGTTCTTTCTTCTCTTCTTCTACTTTCTTTTCTTTCTTCTTCTTTTCTGGTGGAGTTATGTCAAATTTGGCGCAACCATATTTATGTAAAAGTTCTTTGTCCTTTAATAGCTCTTCTATTCTGTTTTCTATTTCATCTTCAAGAAAAGCGCATGTGTCTTCTTTGCATTCTAAGAACTTTTGTTGGACTTCATCTTTCCAATCGGCGTCATCTCTGTCAACAAGTCTGTCATTGACAAATTTTAAGACTGCTCTGCTTAATGTTTTATGGTTCTTGTCATATTCCCAGAAACAGAACTTTAGAACAAATTCACCTTTCTTGTTTACACTATGTAAGATTTTATGGTCGACAGATGTTTTGCTGTCAAAAAGTTTGTCTCGAATATAGATAGCGAAATCGCTAGACATTTTCTAAAAGATAAAAATTTTAATTTTTCTAAAAATATGTTAGAAAAAAAGTTTGCTGACATTGACAAAAAATTTGAGAATGTTTTAAATAAGAACAAGAGAAAGTTAGAAAATGCTCAGATAAAACCTATACATGACAAGTTCTTATTTGCTCAGAATGGTATAACAGGTCTAATTGCACCACCTGGGTCGGGTAAGACTTTCACTTATCTTAAAATGGCTGCACAACAACAAGAACTGGATGAGAAGAACCCATTCTATGAGTTAGTTGTTATTTGTTCGACTTCTGGTCAATTTGACCAAACCGTCAATTCGTTCAAAGATATTATAAAGAAGTCTAAGTTAGTATGTATAAAAGACTCTGAGTTGTTAGATTGGATAAAGAAGTACCAAAGAAGAGTTTTGAAGTATAATGCTATAAATGAGTATATAAATTCTAAGTTCAAAGACCCTAATGAGGAAATGCAGAGAATATTAGAGAAGAAACACTTCAGAAACAAACAGAAAGAGATAGAATACATTTCGAAGAAATTGCAATCTTACGATTGGAAGACTTACCCTCACAGATGTCTTCTTATCTTAGATGACTTTGCTTCTCATCCTTTGTTAAAGAATAGAGAACAAGATATGTGTCGAATTCTCAAGAAGCTCAGACACTTTAACATCTCAGTCGTAATATGTGTACAGACAGCAAAGAGTTTAAGTAAGGATGTAAAGAGAATACTTACTGACATTATACTTTTCCCAGGATTGTCCGAAGACGATTTCATGGAACTTATGAAAGAGTCCATGGCAGGTAAGTTTGACAGACATGAACTATGGGAGAAGTATAAAGTCATACAAGACCCTCATACTTCTTTCAGAATTCATATCTACGCAAACAAAGTTCAAATTGTAAAAAGTCAAGCTTGAAAAATGTAAGTGTTTAGTCTTAGTAAGTAAGTCTGTTGTGGTTCTGCAGCTTTCGGTTCTTCTGGCTTTGGAAGGCATTCAGGAAGAGGAACGTCAGTCATCCGTTTGTGTCCTGTCGGAAGGAAAAATTTTTTCTGGAGTTCGACCAAAAAGTTCTCAAATTTCGAAAATTTGAATGGTTTACGGACGGACAACTGGAAGAGAGTTCTTCCTGTCGTCGGGAAAATTTTTTCCCTTTGTCCGGAAAATTTTTTCCAGTTGTCGGGAAAATATTTTCCTGTCGGATGGAAGGACTCGGAATGCCAGAAGGATTTGACGAGGCAATTTACCTTATAGAGCTACCTGAGCCATCTGAAGTCAAGCTTGAAAAATAAAGAGTGCATTTACCCTACTTGTTTGAAGTTGTCAAAATACTCTGTTATTTTTTCCTTTAACAATGGCAAATCTTCTTTGAAGGTAAAAATTGTACAACCTTTAATATCATAGTGTGTTTGAGGTAACGTATCTTGAACTATTTGTTTCACATCTTCATTTGGAGTCATTGAAATCGGTAAGTTTTCGCGATAGAATCAATTTCTGTCAGATTTGTAAATCTTAGCAAGGTCGTAAAAGCTTTTGTTGTTTCTTCTGACTAAATGCAACATAACCATGTCACTGTCTTCCATATCTTCAGTATAAATCATATACTTATAGTTCTTTTCCTTTCCTTTTGGTACCGAACGTGGTATTCTTTTCTGAATGCTTTTGTCTTTTGCTTCAAGCTTGTTTTCCATCTCTTTTCTCATTTCTGTATGTAAATCGTCAAGAAGTTTGTAAACATGCCATGCATAACGAGGAGAAGCCCACATTGCAACAGCATTTACTAAAAGTCTATGAACATAATATCCTCTTAAATTTATTGGCAAATTTTTACGATTTTCATGTGTTTTATGCAAGACCGAGAATTCTCGGTCTAGAGGAATTTCACTCAAAAGTTCTTGTGTGCTTTGGTTTCTGAACCAGTCGTCTGTATGTTTGGTATCTGGAGAAAATAGAACGATATAAGTTTACATTTGTAAGGTTACTTTAGTGTTAGTCATATAGGGTGTCCAAAGGTGTGTTTAGCACAAACCTGAATACTGCGAATAGAAATAAACAAGTTACATATATATAAAGTTTATATAAATATAATCACCATTGGATTCAATCACGCGTTCGCAGCGATCGATCCAGGCTTGAAAGACACGCTTTAAATCATCATGAGAAAATTGCTCAAATTGCTCTCTTACAAAATTTTCAAGATCATCTGGACTCGCGAATTCGCGTCCTTCAGCTCTCTTTTTTAGCGTGCCGAATAAATAAAAGTCAGAGGGTGCAATATCAGGTGAATAAATTGGGTTTGGAACAACTTTGACATTGTTTTCCACCAAGTAATTCATTACCTTATGACTTTTGTGAACTCTTGAATTATCAAAATGAATTGCAAACTTTTGTTTTTGTTGTTTGGATTTCTCAAACTCATCAGAATTGATAATTTGAGTAAGAACATTGTCAATTAGATACTGAGCATTCATTGTATTAGGTTTTTGAAGAATATCAATTGCGATGATGCCATTCACGCCCCAAAAAACCGACAACATCATCATTGGTGTGTCAATTTTTTTCTTCGGGAATGTTTGCGGATTTTCATCCTTCGGGATCCACATGATTTTGGCTTCTGTTGCATATTGAAACCAAGACTCGTCCCCTGTTACTAAAAAGCGAAACTTCTTGGATTGATACGCACCCAATATAGAGAGGAGCTCTTTCGAAGATTGGACTCTAGATTTTTTTTGAACTGAATTAAGGTTGTGCGGAACCCAACGTGTATACGCTAGTTTGTAGTTCAAATAATTGTGCAGAAAATAAAATCTAGAGTCCAAAACCCTATATTTGAATTTTACGGTCAAAAATAAATTTAGCTGAACTAGTGCAAATGCACACAACTTTTCACCTCTTTTTTTAACCTCATATGTCCTTACTGAAAAAGTATGTGTTCCATATGTCATTTTACTCAGAATTTTATACAGAATTCGGCAAAAATAAAATTTAGGGTAGAAGGGTATATCTATCCCGTTTTCTACCCTTTTTTCTACCATAAAGTTTTATAAGCGTTTTACATGGTAAACATTGTGAATTCGTGAAATTCTAAACAATTTTGTGGCTTCGATTTCCTCTGTCAGTATGCCAAAAGTTTTCACAATATTGAATGTATCTTTATATTTCTTCTTGACATCTGAAAGAAGGAAATCGTCAGCTGTTGGATAGTTTTTGTTTAGAAATGCCAATATGTTCATTTTGTTTTCTGCTGGTTTCTCTATCTCTTTCTTTAAGTCAGCATAGTCGTTTCGCATACGTTCTATCTCTTTGACAGAATAGTTATATTTCCTTATTGCTGCTTTACATTTAGAACATTGTGGGTGTAATGCATGAAAATTCGGTTCAATTCATTTTTGATACTTTACATATCGGATGTATTATCTAAGAATTATATTATAAAATAATAATTTTGTGTTTTATAAGTTTATTTGTATAAATTGATTCAAAAAAAATGGAAAGACAAGAAGTGGATCTGCCAAATGAAAATCAGTTTTTGAACTTTGTATAAGGAATTGTTGGCTATGATGTACTGATCATGAATCAGTACATCATAGCCAACAATTCCTTCCCAAACAACCCGAAATTTGTCTGATTCCACACTAATTCTATTAATTTATCTAAACTGTTATCCTCGTCTACAATTTAATCATCAATAATTATCTCTTGTTCTATTTCACTATTATATATATATATATTTATATGATTTGATTTAAAAAAAATAAATAAATTAATAAATCATTTACTCAAATATATCAAAAGTTTTATTTTTATATATAAAGATAACTACTTTTAAAAAAATACCCTATATATTTTGCCATGTAAACTATTTTTGTCATGTAAACTTGTCACTTTTTGTCAGAAGTGAAGTGAACCGAATTTTCATGCACAACAGTGGGTTCATTTTAGCATTGTACATTGAAATTTGTCCTGCAAGAACAACTAAAGCGTCAATGGTCCTCTTAAATTCAAAACATGCAGGTCTAATTTGTTCGTTCCATACCTTATTTCTTTTGTCTTTATTTCTTATTTCCCAAACACATTTAGCTACTAACGTAACAAAATTGTCATATGTTTTGAATTCTTCAGATTTGTATAAGTCAGATATGTTCTTATATACCATATCGCAGTCTTTGTCCATGACTTTGTGGTTGCAATGAATTCCAAGGAACTCATAGTTAACTTTACGTATGAACTTCTTAATTTCAACTGAGTCGGTTGGTCTGACTTCAATTTCTTCAAATTCTGGAATAGTAAGCTTTTGTTGTTGTATTTCAGGAAGTTTAGGTAGATGGTCAAAAATATCCTGCATTTCATAAAGATATTGTTCATTTGTTTCATCTTTTGCAGTGCAATCTAAATCTCCTTGGAGAAGTTCTTGCTTTATCTTCTGGATTGTTGTTTCGAAATCAAACGAATCTGGAATAGTTTTTGACGTATCTACTAACATTGAAGTTGGGTTCATAACTAAAGAGTTTGGTAAAGTTGATGCTAACATGTTCTTACAATAAAAATAAAAAATATTTTTTAAAAAAAACTAACTTTATTTTTTATTTTTTTGTGAAAGTGTCAAAAATAAATTGTTTTCATGAGTTTTCTACGATGGTAGAAAAAAGGGTAGAAAACGGGATAGATATACCCTTCTACCCTAAAAGTATTTTTCAATACTTTTTCAGCACTTTTCCGTAGTTATATATGAAAGACAATTCGAGATAAAAGTCATAGTACAATGGAATAATATATTGCACACCATTTGTTGTGAACCAAACTTGAAAGTCAGAGAAACTGTTACTAGATGGTTCGTAGAATTTGGAAGCAAAGTCATAAAAGTCCTTACCAATACATAGAAAACTATTGTTGCTTGAACTGAAACTTGCATGACACATAACATTTTGAGGGTCAAATACGTTTCTATAAACTGTCAAATCTGCTGGTGGAAGTATAAATTTAAATGGACCATCTGGTGGTAATGGTTCGTTCTGGTTTAGTAACCGAAGAAATTGTGCCCAAGAACGTTTGTCTACTTCCCAAAATAAAAACTCTGTATCTCTTGGAGGGTTAATTTCAATCTTTTGAAATGAAACGGTGGAGTTCATCTTGTCATATTCTAGTTTCAGATAGTATGTTCCATTTAGTAAAGAGTCGTATTTTTCTTGAAATTCCCAATAATATTTGTTCATTTGAGTTTGAAAGTCATTTAGAGTTTTCTCAAGACTTTCGTCTGAACGAATTGTAAAGATTCTCATTTCGTCAAATTTGTCTATTAGACCATCATGACCTTCATACTGCCCATGAAAATATACTGCGAACATAAATGCGTTAGTTCTATTTGAAAACAAAACTCTTCTAAATCCTATTGCCTTTGCATCTGAAGGACTTTGAAGCCAACGAATTGGATAGTCAAACCTGTATGCTCGGGATGAAATTTCTTCATCTGAAATAGTCCTACCAGCATTTGTAAAGATATAGTCTAACGGTTTTGTATCTGCTACTTTTGTTCTTTGTTTTTCAACCTGAAGCATTTAATATATGTAAAAATATATTGTTTTAAAATGGTATGCCATATAGCTTCTTGAATTTGTTAAGAAGTATTTGAACGTATTTTCCATCTGTATCTCTAGTGTTTACATAAGCATAGCCCGCCTTAGTAAAATATACTTGTAATTTCCTATGGTTTACGCCGGTATAAAAGTAGAAAGAGTCTTGTTCTTCGCTATAGTAGTAAAACTCAACGTATGCTTGCCATAGTCTGTAATTTCAATTGTTTCATCTTCTAGTTCGTCGACAAATTCGAATACAATATCTCCAAATTTGCCTTTGTTCTTATTGTTTTCAGAACGAGTGACCCAACGTAAGTTTTCAAGTCTATTGTCGTTTCTTATATGGTTTATATGGTCTACAAAAGGTAAATTGTTAGGATTCAGTATAAAATGAGTTGCAATGACAACATGTTTAAGATAGTGTTTTCCACCCATCTTCATAATAGCATATCCGTCATTTCGCTTAAAACTCTTTTTGTCTTTTTGTTTCTGACTTCAAATGACTCACAACAGTGAATTTCATATTTCTCATCTAACAAACAAGTTTCCCAACGGTCTTCTCCAACAAACTCAGCGTACATTTCAAATAAAAAATGTCACTTTTTTAAAAATAAATTTTTTACTTCATGCAATGTTTTATTTTTGTGCCGTCTTCAAGTATGCCCCAATATTTCCTTTTCGATATTACATGAACTTCGGAAAATACCTTATCTAGCTTAAAACAGCCCATCTTTTCACCGACCATACCCATTTCAATGAGTTTGTTGTATCTTTCTTCGTTCGTCATGAGTGCGTCAATGTTCTCATAGTAAACCTTAACTTTCGATTTGACTTCGGAGAAGAATTTGTTGTAGTTGTCAAGGACTGCTTTTGCGAACTGAGGGTAAGACCAATGTTCGACAATAGGTTTTAATGTGGTTACTAAGCCACTTTGACCTTGAGTGAATTCGTACTTCAAAACAAAAGGAGAAAACCTTTCAACAAAGTTGTCGACCTTCTCATAATGTTTACTCTTCATCTCTTGAGGTTTCTTAATGGAATATCCCCATGTCGAATTCATAAGCAATTTGAGTGTCATTGCAAGTTTGGGGTTTGAAGCTTTCCTAATATCATACAGTTGTTGTATGACTTTTCCAACTGTATAGTTCCTTCCCGGGAACTCACCATCTTCGTTTGGAATTCCAGTCGGAATATATTGGACAAACCTCATGTACGCAGGGTTAAGGTCGACATAGTATATCTTTTCGTTTGAGTCGAACTTGTCGCAACCAATTGGTCCAGTTTGTGGAAATTCAAGTGAGTCTCTTATCTTCTGAGAAACTTCTCCTGTTATCTCATAAACATCGTCGAAGCAACCTGTTTCATATAAAACCTTCTGACCTAACTCAGATGCTCTCCAATACAATTTGACGTCAATTGGATGTCTCAATGGAAGTTTGTTTATAGCATCTTGAAGTTCTTGCAACCTCATTGGAAGTTCTTCTGGTTCAGGTTGGTATCCGAACAAACCAACTCCTTGTGGAACTGTGTACTTCTTTTGTACTAGAACTTTGTCTGGAACAACTTTTGGTCTTGCTAACAATGAAAAGTTTGTTTCGTCTTTTGGTACAAAAGTTTCTGTCAGCTTGTCATCTGGAATTGGTTCCAACAAACCTTTCTCGAAAAGAATGTTTACAGCTCTGACAATGTTGCACTTACTTTTACCAAAGAATGGGTTTGTAAGACTTTCGTTCAACATGAAGTGGTTGTGGACAATTACAATCTTCAACCATGGTAAGTCTTTGTCAACAACATAGTCGTCATGTGAAGAACCTTTAGCTGTAGGTATGTTGACTCGGATATTGACATTTGCCAACGGTGCAATTTTTGCCAATTGACCTCTGAGAATGTACCTTGTCTTCACACATGACTCAAGATACTTCATCTTCTCATCTGTAACAAGACCAGAGTTCCTGAGACATGTAAGAATGCAAGGTTCGTTGACAATTGTTTCAATTGAATTGTAAATCCCATACCTTGTCAAGTCAATGTCAGACTTATTTATGAACGGGAAGTATCCTGCATGTTGTCTGACTGCTTGAGGGTTAGGTTGGTACCATTCGAACTTGACACTTGCAATTCCTTCAATTGCATTCAAAATGTCTGAGTTGGAGTCAACCATTTGTTCTCTCTTTGTAGTCTTGAAAGCGTCAAGAAGTTTTGCGGCTGTTTGTTCATTGCCATGTGCATAGTAAATGTGACCATCCAAATCTGTTATGGTCAATCTGAGATTGTGTCCTTTCTTATTTCCGTCTTGAATTGCAGCAAGTACACCCATGAAGCCTTCTTTGTTCTTTCCTTCGTCAAAGTTTACTGTAAAGGTTCGACCGGATGTAATTTGACTTCTAACTTCACGATACTTTTCATATGCATATCTTGTTCTTTCCATGGGAGCATGTGCGTCTTCACCTTTTCCTTTTTTCCTTCTCAAAGGATGCAATTGTTCGTCATGTTTCCAGTAGAATCTGGCAAAGCCGTCGTGTCCTTCAACTTGAGGTTCACTAACATCGAAAGGCATGTCCATAAGACGTTCTTCTTCTAACCTCTCTAGTCTGTTTGGATAATTTGCACGTGCTGTTTCCAAATCCATTTCGTAGCGAAGACCAGACAATTTGTCATAGACTTTTATGGGTCTTCCCTTCCTATATTTAAAATTCTTCGAAACTCTCCAACCATATCTTTGTAACTCTGCTTTTATTCTAGCAGATTTTCTATCCATTCTATATGGGGGCATTTTTATAAAAATAAAAAAATATTTTTTTTCTCTTTACTTTACATAACCGCCTGCTGCCATAAGTCTTTGACGCCAACCCATACCAGCTAATGAAGGTTGACTTGGTTTAGTTTGGAAACTAAACTTTGGTTTTGGTTTATCTTCAGTTTTTGGTTTTTCTTCTTCTATCGGTTTTTCGTCACTTTTCGGTTCCTCTGACTTTACTTCACTTGCAGGAACAGTTGTGTCGTCAACATCTTCATAAATATCATATGCCATTTGTTTTTGTTTTCCTTTCAACTTTTTGTGTTTGTTGTAAAGTTTAGAATATTTCGACTCTAAGTCAATGAGATGTTCTATAATGAACTGTTGGTCAGTGAAGTATACTTTCCCATCTGTTGTCTCGAAAGCTCCTTCAGACTTCAATATTTTATTTGTGAGAGTCTGTTTCTTTTTTGAGAGACTAGCCGTTCCATTTCTATGAAAAGTGACTTTATAGTTAGGGTTTGTATTTCCAGACCTGGCACTTTCTATTATTGAATTTTTCTCTTCATCTGTAAGTTCTTTGACAGGTTTTGACAATGGTTCTGAACTTTTTGTTTGTGGTGTCAAATCTACCGTTTCAACTTCTTCGGTCATTTCATCTCAGTAAAAAATTTTAATTTGGTTTGTTTTCAACTGGTTGTTGTTGTTTTTTAAGTCTAAAATTCTCAGTTTAGGAGCCTGACAAATACGTTGTTAAATGCTGGAAGCCGACAAATCCATCTTGAACTCATTTGTCTCAATGCTGCATTGTTCATTTCATCTCAATAAAAAATTTACATTTCCCAAGTTTGAGGTGGTTGCGGTTGGTTATTGCTTACCCATTGTTGTGCATGGTTATATCCTCTGTTAAAGAATCTTTCACCTTGGTCCATATAGTGTCCTGCTTGGTTATAGTAGTTATTTGCTTTGTTATAATAGTTTCCTGCTTGTCTTCCTACATTGTCCATCCATCCTTGAACTTTTCCTCTTGTTTCAGGATTTGGAATAAGATTTGTTGCATCTCGTGCTACATCCCAACCTTTCTGTACAGTTTGTATAATAGGTTGTGCTTTCTCTTTAAGTATACCTAATGTACTCAAAATCTTCCTTCCAACTCCAAATACACCTCTGGCTATTGTTCCCACTGCGGGTAAAAATCTAGATGCGACTCCTGCTAATGCGCCAAATAAACCCATTTCTTATGGGTTAAAAAATGACGAATCCAAACAAGGACCCCTATGTTTCTAAGGCAACAAAGAAAGCACTCATGATAAAAATCTTTAGTTCAACACCAAATGCTTGGTTTATGGATATCTTGGAAAACATTCCGAGGTATAGAGAAGATGGACCACCATACTGGTTAATATTTGTTGGTCAAAACACAAGATACTGTGAAGCCATACCATTATGGTCCAAAAATATTTTAGATGTGAAAACTGCTTTGACAATATTCGTTGACAAATACCATCCAACAAAACTGACATCTGACTGTGAAAGTTCTTTCAAATCAGATGATGTAAAAAACTATCTGCGTTCAAAAAATGTAAACCAATATTTCATTGTCGACCAAAACCATTCTGCTCTTGGTGTCATTGACGGATGTATAAAAATGTTAAGAGACTTAAACCAACCACAAGGTGGTGAAGCAAATGAAATGTCATATGACGACAAATATAGACACTTCTCCATGGCAAAGATGAGACAAGTTTTAAATATTTACAATAACCGTAAACAAAAAGGTTTGGGAAACCACTCCCCCGAAGAAATGAAAAACAACCCTGACTTAGAGAAAGACTATATATTTAATAATTTAGTCAAAAGAGACAAACAAGAAAGAATGCCGGGCTTCAAACTTCAGAAAGGAGACAAAGTAAAAATAGAAATACCTAAACGCGACCCATATGAAAATACTATTGACTATGACAACAATGGGAACCCGACAGGTACTCACATTCGTGTTCGTAAAAATAGAAGAAAGTATACAAGAGAATATTATGAAGTTTTAGGCAAACATGGCAAAATGTACACACTGCAAGCAGAAGATAAAACTACTATTGTCAGACCTCGTTTCAAACTTGTCAAAGTTCAAGGTGGTATACTTTCAAAGACAGTTCCTAACAAATATAAGACAACTCCTGACGAATATGCTAAAGAAGTTGAAAATGACGACTAAGCAATTCTATACCATGCGTAAACTGTCATGTAAGGTGGCATGTAGTCTTTACTTTGTCCCGTTGTTTGCGTATATCCTGAAACGAAATGTGTATGGTTTCCTTCTCCCTGAGTGTCATCCCAGTAACAATTTATAGCAAACTTAACGTCCTCTTTAACATCATATCCTTGACCTTTTGTCATTCCTGACCAATCCCAATATCTATGCTTATGCCAACCTGCTTGAGATGTAGTTAATCTTATGTAATGACTGTATGCAGGTAAATTTTCACCTGAAATCGTTTTACTTCCACCTGTTTCCTTTGAAGAGTTTGCACAATACAAAAACCTGTCGACTATTTGTTCCCATGCACCAACACCAAACATTACTTGAGGACCTCTTGCATCCATAGATGTATAAATAGAACCTACTGGGTTCATTAAATCAAACATATGAGATATTATAGGATTGTCTCTTTTGAACTTAAAATATAGTGCAACTATTTCAGGTTTCTTCTGGTTTGTGTCAGAATATTTTTTATAATATAATCTTATGTTTTCAGGGTAGGTACAGTCTTGACTATAATATTTATTTCTGTCATCTGTATAATAATATACTATTCTCGTTTTTCTATTGCATTATATCTTTTATATCTATAATAATCTAAATATAATGTTAATTTTTTTGGGTCTACATGTGGTGTTCTGTCGTCATCTCCATAGTCATAATAATGTGGTGCTGGAGCTGGGTCAGGCAATGTCATATCTGCCATTTCATAAACTCTTAAATATTTCTTTTGTTCGTCTCCATATAAGTTTAAGTAGCAGTTGTTGTCTAATGGAACTTTAACTTGTGTACCATCATTCTTTTTATAGCTTACATACATTTCATTGTTATTTTTCGGAATGAGTTTATGCCGTGTACCATTTTTTAAGGACTGTACCAACTGCCATCTAAAATAGTTATTTTCTTCATTGACAGAAAAGTCACCAACAATAGTTTCAATATTTTTTGTTCCTATCAAACTTTGGTATATTTCATTGACATATGTTTTATCTGCTTTATTTTCAAGGCTAACGTTTAAGTCTGTTATTTCAGAAGATGTATGTGTATGTCCAATGTCACTTTTCCTGTTTAAGGTTTCTTGTAAGTTTGTAATATTTGCAATGGTATGTGTATGAGTCTTATTTGCTTTTGTCTCTAATGTTTCTTGTAAGTTTGTGATATCAGATATAGAATGTGTATGAGTCTTATCTGCTTTTGTCTCTAATGTTTCCTTAAGACTTGGTATTTGGTTAATATAATGTATATGAGTCTTTTTAGAATATTCGTTTTCAGCTCTTGTCACTTCACTTGACATTTTATTGTCAACATATGTTTTGTCTGCTAGTTCAGGATGAGTATGTTCTTTTGTTGCATAAGCATTGTTAGCTCTTTCTTCTTCTTTTGCTATTGCATCGTCTACATATTCTTTGTCAGCTTTGTTGTCAACATCTGCTTTCAAAAGAAGTTCATTTATAGGTTTCTCGTTTAAAGTTCCTTTTGTTGGATTTATACAGACAGTATGGTTCTTATTGTCTTGAAATAGAAACTCATCTGTTATAGGGTTTAATGTCAGTTTTAAGTTTCCTTCTTTCAATGACTCAGATATCTTAGAATAGTTTGAAAAGTTTGTTGTGTTCTTATTTAGAGCTTGCATAATGAGTTGTCGGTTGTGTTGTATTTCTCTCATAGACGCTGTTTCATTTGACATTTTTATTATAGATAAAATATGCTTCCAATAGAAAAAGAAAATTCTAGAGTTGCTACAACTAAACCATTAGATGAACTTTTTACTAATGTCGGTCAAAAGGTTGATATAGATACTATAAAGCATGAAGGCTATCGTTTTGACTACCCATTAAGATGGTTAAGAGACCCATCCGTCACAAAAGCTATTGGCTTTCGTAGAATGAAGTTTGTCTCACAAGTTCAAACAGGTTTTCCATTTATTGTAAGGTTTCATATAGATTATACATCTGAAGGGCAACGAAAAATGTGGGAAGAAATTGAGCTAATACAAGTTGACCTCTCATCTTCTCTAGAGACTGCTTTAAAAAATATAGAAGATAAAATAAATTCATGTTATGCAAAATATGCTGATGAATATGCAAATACCGATAGCACACTTTATGTGAGAATTGTATATGACAAACAAAATTCACAAGTGTCATTTCAAATCTCCGAAGACAATCCAAATAAAGACGAACAAATATATACAGAATTTACTGCAATGCCATGGTATTATTTGCAAAGAATGTTAAATCAGAAAGTTGAACCTCCTTTAGCAAATATCTACAATCGATATGCAAGAGATGAACCATATTTATTTAAAGATGTTTTCGACCAAGATGCTGTGATAGTTCATGCTTCATTTTCTGGCGCCCAAAACTCTTTCTGATGCTTGGCAAATGACTTTTACGAAAAACCTACAAAGTTATACGAACCACCAAGTGGAAGTATTTCAGACTTTCAAGTATGGTTTACTACAGATGGAAGAAAAAGAATAATTCCATTATACCACGCGTTTTACTTAGAACTTAGTTTCATATACAACTACTATCGAACGGTAAAAATATAATTTTTTAATACGGTTGAGGTGTTGGATTTGGTTGCCAACTAGACTGTGGTGCAGGTTCAGGCTGTTGTATAACAGGAGCTTGCTCTTCTGGTTCAGGGTCTTTAGGTATAATACCAACGAACTGACCTACTCTTTTACCAATATTTTTGACACCGTTCCATACTCCTCTTCCGACAGATTTTATTCCATTCCATATACCTCTTCCAACTCTTCTGAAGAAGTTTCCAATACTACTGAAGAAACCCATTTACTACGTGTAAAAATCTAATGTCCGCCTAGTCTCTTACGTTTCCTGTTGAGTTCCATAGCATTCTTTAACTGGAGCTCATACATTCTGTTTCTCCTCTGGTAGAAAACATATTCTGGGTCAACTCCTGTGTTCGCGTCATCTGCATAAAGTTGTTTATATCCCACTTCAGGGTTTGTATAAAACTCTTTCCATCTCATATTTGCATACCATGGTGGCAAACCTAACGCAGCGTCATTTGACATGGCAGTTTGCATTTGTACATCTGTTGGCACTTGACCATAGTTTGCCATTGCAGTTTGTATTGTTGTAAACGAAAACGATAAAAACTGTTTGACAGAAAAGTGACACTTTACATGGCAAAAAATAGAGCCTTACTTTTGAGATACTTGAGATTGAAACTGAATCTTATGAGGCGGTGATCTTGAATCACTACCTCATAAGGTTCAGTTTCATATAAAATTTGTTGCAATTTGTTATTCTTTTGCAATTATTTCTTATAAGATTTTACATCTTTTAGCGGGGAATGTTTGTTATCATGTATATATTATAAATATCTACACGATAACGAACATTCATCGCTAAATTGCTGAGAAACTTTGAGGAAATGTCGAACAATTTCCTCAAAGTTTCTCAGATTTATATAGATCACTAGAGTCCCCTAGGCACTGATTCTGGTTCAGTACCTAGGAGGCTCTAGTTCTCTAACGAACTGATAAAATGTTTTTAAATTTTTGGATATTGCTACCTGTGAAGCACTGACTTCAAGTCAGTACCTCACAGGTAGCAATTACATTGAAAGATGGGAGAAACTTTGTCCGAATGTTAAACTATTCGGACAAACTTTCTCCCATTTGTAGTGGAGATGGAAGGCTTTGAGGTATATTATATTAATGTATACCCCAAAGCCTTCCATCTCCACTTGAAAGTTCCAAAACTTTGGGTTAATAGTTTGCAATTAACCCAAAGTTTTGGAACTTTCTAGAAGGAATTGCAGGGTAGGAGGTACATATTCATACTATGTACCTCTTACCCTCCAATTCCTTCCTTAACATAAACAAATTTGGAGTTAATTGTTTGCAATTAACTCCGGGTTTGTTGACCTCCAAATGAAAATGAAAGGGTAAGAGGTATATAGTGACCCTATATGCCTCTTACCCTTTCATTCTCATTAATTATGGGAGAAGCTTTGGCCGAATGTTAAATTATTCGACCAAAGTTTCTCCCATTTTTTGAAGGGATTGGAGGCTATGAGATACTGATGCAATGTCAGTACCTCATGGCCTCCAATTCCATCCTGAAACTGATCAAAGTGGACCTTACATGCATTTGAAATTTGCCATGTAAAGTCCACTTTTTGAGAGAGAGGATTTGACTGCGTCAAATCATCTTTTTCGTTTACGAGAGTATTCTAACTTCATTTGGAATATTCTCTGGGTTTGGTTGTCCAGGTTGCTGTGCATTCGCTAAGTTCTGTGCGTCCATTTAATATTAGATAAAAATATCTCTTACGAGTACATATGCTGAACATTTGCAGGCATTGGTTCATCTTCATATTCTCTGTACTTTTCTGCCACGTCAAATAAATAAATGACACAATGGAAAAAACCTAAAACAAGTAGTCCTATTTCAAACCACATTTACTTACTAATAAAATTTCTTTGTTATGACACTTTCTCCAGTTTATAGGACCTCTCTCATATTCTATCTTGTCATATATAAACTCATAGTCATGTATGTCCTCTAACCATCTCATAACGGTTTCCAAACCACTTTTATCGGATGTAAAGTAAAAGCATGGATGGTTATGTATAACGTCTAAAGTTTCTAAAGAGTCTCTCAAAGTCCAGTCTACTTGGTATTGAAAATCCCATGTGTTATAGAACGGCGGGTCCACTATAAAGAAAACATTTTCCTTGTCTTTATATTTTTCATACAACTCTGTCCAATGACATCTCACAAACTCTATACCCTCAATATATTTTTCTATGTCCTCTTTGAAAACATTTGTATAGTTAAGATATAAAACTTTTGACATAAGTGTTTCAATGTCATGAACTCTTATAGCACCACTATATAATAGTCTAGCAGATATACTATCCCAGTCTATATATTCTGCTTTTTTCAAAACCTCTCTCACAATATTTTCTTATCTAATGGTATACGTTCCATCTTACCTATAGGTATCTTTTCTTTTAACTCTTTCAATATATTGTTTGTGTCTGGAATATGTTTGAGACGGTACATATAGTTGTCGAAGTCATTGCATATAATCTTTGAGTCTGGGAATATTGTATGGCACAAATGGGATATATAGAAACTTCCACCGAACAAATCTACAAATGTTAGACCATTCGGTAGTTTCTTAAGTTCTCTCAATATAATATCTTTACATCTACTCTTATTTCCAAAGAACGGTAACGGTGGTTTTGTAAAATTCATTTATATATAATAATAAAAATGTTTTTACCCGAAAAGTGACAGAAAAGTGACAAAACATGAAAACATATATAATTTGTGAAAAGTGACACAAAAAGTGACATATTAAAAGTGATATAAAAATGACACCATTAATATGATGTAAATAACAACGGTTTTGGTTTTGTCACCGGCTGGTCGGCTGGGGTTCGGTCCTCCTCTTGGGTCTTGGGCAAAATTTCTTATGGGCTAGAGGGCGCAACGCGCCTGGAAGCCCCACTCACCTGACCTTATTTCAATAAAAAATGAACATCGGATGGGCCAATTTTGAAAATCTTGATCAGCGGGCTCTCAGTGAAAACTCCAATGTTTAAGGTTTTGATCAAATCTCTTCTTTTTGATATCTGAAACGACAGATAGGTAGATAATGATATGGTCATGTTATAGCCATGCTTATGCAGAATGATATCTATTCTATCAAGAGAAAAAAGACCTCGAAGTGCAGAAAATTGAATAGTTGTAAACTAAAGCGGTGATTATTCAAATCCACCATTAAAAAATTGATTTTTCAATTTTATTATAAATATATATCGAACACAATTTGAATATCATATTTCATTGTGAGATTGTCGATTATGTTGAAGAAAGTCACTCAATAAATTCGATTTTTTTACCAAAATTCAATTTAATCGTCATCTCTTAGAGTGAAGCTCCTCATTGGAGCTATAGGACCCCAACGTGGCAATATATTTCACCTCCATCGTGCTATGTATACATCAATGAATGTTGAGTTATATATAATAACACTGCAAGGACATACATGTCATAGAAATGAATCCCTGTGAATAAGGGATCCTTTGCTTTTATATGTATGTTTTATTAACAACATTCATATCTAGATACTCGCAACTAATATAACCTTATGTCATTTAAATACTATGAGATAATAACAAAAGCGTATAAATGATAGGTTTTTATATCAGGCAAATACATATATAAATTTCTAAAGGTGCCATTTTTTGATGAGATAATTATTTTTGAATTGGAACTGAAGTATTTCTGGTGATTTCAACGAAATCGAAAGATTTATCGAGGAACTTCAAGCATTCTACTCTTGCTTTGCTGTTTGAAGGCCTTCTTGACAGCCCAATTGTATTTTGAAGGTGGTGCTTTATATTATAATAGATAGGGCGATTCCCGAAAGCGTCATACGCTACGTAGTTCATGATGAAGTCTTCACAATTGTTTTTCTCAGCCGAATAGTCTATTACGCTTTTATATTTATATGAATGATAGATTTCAAACAAATCTACGTTTATAAAGGAAAGTCCAGTAAGAACAATGTTGAAATCACGGCCTCTCTTCCAGCTATACTTTCCTTTTCTCCAAAGAGTTGCGTAATTTCCGAAAACTGACAATGGAAAGCCTCTACGTTTAAATTCTTCAAAAGCAGTGTCTAAAGCTGTAAAATTAACGAAAATATCATCATCAATATTGCATATGGTCTGAGTCTCGAGGTTTTGGGGTATTAAAAATCGAGCAACAAGTTCTCTCATTTCAGTATCAATTATTTCAATAGGAACTGTAGAGTTTGAAATGTTATATGCAGTTAAATTAGGAGCCGGTATTGAATGCTTGAAATCGTTCCAATATATGTAAATTTTTTCGCAATGCTTAGATTCTTGCTTTAAAAGTGAGTTTAATATTTTAGATAGAATTGGAATTCGACGGAAACTACTTAGGTATATGATTGAGTATTTGTCTTTACTTAATTCTCGATCAGGTTTAAGATTTGATAATCCAGGGCCAATAACTTGTGAATATCCGCTTGTTTCAATTATTGAAGTACCAAAAATGACTGAAAAGAATATACATAGCAAGGATAAAAATGTTATTGATCCAAAATTTGTCCATAATTTAACCAGAGCATAACTCATATCTTTTAAGGTTATCGTCCGACCAAACACCAATTATCGTTTTTTATATTTATGATTATCTCAGGAATATTCATGCTATTTACTTTATCATTTCAACAGGCAATATCAATATATTTTACTTTCGCTATTGTAGTTCCAAATAAATAGCATACACAATATTTTGATAAAAAATCAATCTGACAGCGAAAAACGGTTATTTGTCGGTACTTTCCCTTTTATAGCAAACACTTTTTTGACACACATATGACAACAGAGGATTATACCATGTTTGAGTTACTAAAAAGAAAAGATACAGGGTGAGATATAAAAAGACATCGACAAAAACGAAGTTCATTATACTCAGAATTTAAAGAATAGTAAAAATGAATATGAAACATGACTTTCATTTGATTTCGAGATAACATATCAATATAGAGATCTTATTGTGTTATGAAAATCAAGCTAAAACAGAGCTTGGCGAGCCACAAAAATTTGACGTCAAGGGTTAAATGAGTTTTGGTTTTATATTTCAAAAATCTTCCATATATATATTAGTCATTGAATCAGTATTTATCATCGTTTTGTTTTCAACTATTGGCGGTATCACGTATAATGGAGAATTCCACAGTAACATGAATGTTTTATTGTCATGGTCAGGAGACCTTTTCAATCTTGGACCAGCTATATACGCCGTAGTCAATGCACATCCAGATCAACATATTTCCTTTTATATTACAACTGTCAATGCAGATTTATTACCAAAATATAAAACTCATTTTGCAGAACGCCCAATCCTTAATACAAAATTCTATTTCGAAACATACCAAACACGGTACTTGACTAAAAGAATATGGATAGTTGGGTACGACACTTATATTCGAATTGTTTTTCCTAATGCGCATCCTGAAATGGAAAGATTCTTACAATTAGATGGAGATGCAATTGTAGTACAAGATATTAAAGATATGTACTTCCATGATTTCAACAACCAATCTGCAATCGTAGTTTTTGATTTTGCAAGAAGATTTGAAGGATTCAAAAATTACTTTAACGCCGGTGTTATGGTATTCAATAATTTTAAGTACATAAATGATAATATTCTGAATAAATCCATTGAATACTTGAAATGGCTCAATGGACACATGGGCCGTTGGTACAATGATCAAAGAGTATTAAACAAAATGTTTATAGACTCAAGAATAGTTTTCCCTCAAAAATATAACGAATTTGATTTCAGAAAGTTTGGGAATAACACCAAAATCTTTCATTTCTATCGTGCGAAGTGTAAACCATATAACCAAAAATGCAACAGAACGCAAGCTCCATACAAACTTTGGGATTGCTTTTATAAAACATACAAAGAAAAGCCTCTTTTATGGCGCGATACTCGTAATATTACAATCTGTACAAATGAAATGTTCAATTAACGTAGATGGTAAATTAATTATGATTCTCACAATTTTGAGAACTTCTGACATCATTTGCCAGACAAATTGAATGCAATGAAGTATGATTTTTTAATGCTTGATATAGATTTGTTATAATATAATGTATTTATTTTTCTAGTTGAAGTCTTGCGGACATGAAATTAATTTTTTTTTATTTTGGATATAGGTCAGGTGCGTGGGGCTTCCAGGGGCTGCGCCCCTTCTAGCCCCGGAGAAACTAGAGGAGGAATGATACAAAGACCAGATGAAAAAAATAAAAATATTATAATAAAATTAAATTTTTAGTCTTAAATTGTTTTTTTTTATTCGGTATATTCTGAATCTTGAATGTCTTGGAAATTTTCTTCTTCTTCGCTCTCTGAGGTGAGGATTTCTTCGACTTCTTCTTCTTCTTCGCCATTGGGAGCAACAAATCCTGCGATGAAAACTTTGTATATACCTTCTTGAGGAGTCTCTATGATGAAAGTCGTATTGTTGAGGAAATGGAACTCGACATCTTGAACAAATTGGCAACTGCTGTGTGTGAATTTTGCAATTGTGAGAGGCTTTCCTTTATAGTCCTTGGGAAAGCTTGAGATGGTTACTGTTCCTCCATATGGAACTCTGGCAGGAATATCTAAAGCAACAGTTGTTATAACGTGGAAATTGTCTAAGAATTGAGGCATAGGTTCAATGCAGTATAGTCGTTTTGACTGGTTGTCTTTTGTGTAGAAATATAAATAGAATGACCTTTCACCATGTTCATTCAATTCTTCCAAATAATTGTATGAATTTGGATATATACGGACAAATTCAGCAATTTTAACTTCTTGTAAATGCTTCTGCAAGTTCTTTGGAAACAAGTGAATGAACTGGTCAATAGCTTGCAACGCTATGAGATTGGCAGTAACAGGTAAATATGAAGCAAACATGTCAACAAGTACGCCAGGGTCTTTGATTTCGTTTTCAAAAGGCTGAATGGCATCCATGACAGCTTGAAACATCTCGTTATAATCTCGATTGTCTTCTGAACCCCACTGTTCATTTAACTTATCTAACAATTCGAACCTTTTCTTTGCGTATTTTCTACGAACTTTCTCTGAAAGAGGAGTGTCTCTATCTTGTGTGTCTTGAATTTGAGACTTAAATTGTTTGCTAAAGGCGATATATCGTGTTTGCGACCTAGTGGTCATTGCAGAATGTGTTTCTGTATGTTCGATTGGATGTGTTTCTGTATTTTCGGGTGGTTGTGTTTCTGTATGTTCGATTGGAGTCTGATTGGTATGAACTTCTTCTGAAAATGCTTCTGTTCCGATAGTTGTTGTTGCCTGACCTGTTGGCTGAGTTGTTTCTGTTGTGTTTTGAGAAGAAGAACTCAAATTGTTGGACAATTTGTTTGCAATTGTATGAGGAAGTTGCTTTGGTATTATAGGAGGTCGTAAGGGTTTTGAGAATGGTGAGACATAAGTTGTAGGAACTTTAACTGCAGAGGTAGTCGACGAATTGTTTGCGACACTTGTTCTTCCTTCCATTATGAAAAATGAACTGTTTTTTTCGGACCACTCATAGAAAAGTTTGAAATAAACCGTTTTCGTCAACGGAGACCCCATCTATAATTTTATTTTATTGAAAAGTCTCCGTTGGCAAACCGTTCCATCTCAAATATTTGAGAAGATAACTTCACATTTTGACTTTTAAATACATATTTTTCACCATCGGACAAACTTTTGACTGGATGGACTTTACACGAACATTACACTTGTCAAAATATTTTTAACATACGATAGTATATATTTGTTCGAACAAATAATGGTCTATCGTCAACGCTCATAGAGATAGACCCACTTTTCTAAAGTATATATTTGAGTACTTTAAAAAATATTATAGAACAATATAACAAATATTTTACAAAACCGACAACACTTTGACCAAGTAGTTTTTTGAGCTGAACAAAAAGTGTCATATAAACATCTGTCAAAAACCGCTTTTTAACTTCACTTAAAATGCCACGTAAGCTACGTAAGAATATACGTAAGAGGAAGGGAGCATTGAAACATCCAATAGTAAAACTGACACCACAACAACAGTTGCAACAACAAATGATGAATGACCCCACTATGTTGCAACAAATGTCAAGCAACCCTATGCTTTTAAACCGAGTTATTGGTGCACAGAGTGGAGGTTTAAGAGCGGCACTTTTAGCGAAAATGGCAGGCTATGGTGGAGCTGCAGACGGAACAGCTTATAACCCTCAAAGTCAAATGAATTTGAGTTCACTCAAAAATCAAATAACAGATGTCAAAAAGTCAAACATAGACATACAGAAACAAATAAATGAAAATGAAAAGAAACTAGAATATGACAGACACACAAAGAAACTCAATGAGTTAAACGTAGAGAAAAAGAAGAAAGAAGAACAACTGAAAGAACTAAGTACAGAGGAATATGCGAAAAAAGTGTCAGAAAAAGCAGCAGAAGTAGCAAAAATGGAACAAGATGTTATAAATTTGAAAAACCATACTACTCAATATAAAGTACTGAAAGATGAAGAGATAAAACAAAAAGCCATGAAGACATATATGGATAGCGATGAGTATAAAAAAGAAGTTGAAGCAAATGTAAAGGCAGAAAAACTTTTACAGTTGCAAAACCAAACCGTACAGTATGAAAACTTAGCACAAGAAAGTAAAAATAACGACGCAGCCATGCAAAAGGCAATGAAAAGCGCAGAATATATAAAAGCTAATAATGACTGGTTAGATGCCCAAGCCAACGCCAAAGCAGCCCAACTTATAGGGTCAATAAGGACAAAAATACAAGCGGATGAAGACAGTTCAAATGAAGCTTTAATGAATGCTGACTTTAAGAATGCCTTCGAAGCTCTTCATAGTAAGGTGAAACTAGTGAACGACTTCTCATCTGGAAAGAAACTGAAGTCTGAAGGTTTCGACAAAGAGTTAAGAGAAGTAGCACAAAATATGACGAAAATAACAGATGCAGCAACGAGACAGGCAGTTCAAAGTGCCTATGACGCCGTTAGAGCAGCTGTTGTGGAAAGTCAAGAAAAAGAGTTACAACAGACCAAAACAGACCTAGTAAATGCTTTCTTAAAAACGAAAAGTCAAGTAGGACATTATGCTGCAGATGGAACATATGTGCCAGCTGGTGGAACTTATATACCACCAAACCCTCCAAGAGAAGCACCTGCACCAGGACTACCTAAAACATTTACATCGTCACATGGACACAGACACAGGCATGCACCAAAACCAACACAACAACCAACAGTTCAAAATCCAGCACCACAACAACAACCAACACAACAACCACCTCCACAACCAGCACAGCAACCACAAACAGAGCAAAGACATAAAAGAAGTAGAGAAAAAGGAAACCAAGAATTCTTAAAAATGCTTAAGGAAGATTATGGTTACCCAGATACTCTTGACTTTAGTGACAGATATAAAGAAGCTATTAGAAAGTTCAAGGAAGGAAATACTGACCCGAACCTATTTAGCTTTATGGTTCAGCATCAAATCGGATATAATCTCAAACCTGGAAAATACAAGCTCGCTAAGGGATATGATTTAATAGCATATCATCCAAATGACATGGATGAATTTACTCCGAGATATTTGATGTCAGAGCTAAATGATAATTCAACTCTCTTCATGAAACGCGTAAAAAATAGAGACGGAACGAAAGAAGAAAGGTTTATGAGTCCGGATGACTTAGAGAGGGAACTTGTTAAAAACGGTCTCGGAATATATGAAATGCCAGCAGATGAGGTACAAGAAACTCCACAGGAAGAAGTTCAGATACAACCAGACACGGAAGAAATAGTTCAGCAACAACAGCTAGAAGAGCCTGAAGGAAACGAACAAGTCCCTCCTTTGGAAACTAACTTCACAGAACTAGATGAAGATTTGGAACAGCCGAAAAATCTTGACCCTCAACAAGTGTATGAGGAGAATATGGAATCTTTCCAAGAGTCTAAGCAAAATTCGGCTGACATAGTAGAAGAATATCGAAAAATGTTTACCGACATACAAAAGACTCCAACATCAGATGAAAATATTCAGCATAGAATGGAAGTACTGAAAGATAATGTACGCAAATACAATAATCCTTTTTACTTACGACCATATAACGTTCAATCTTTGGCTGAACTCGGTGAAAATAAAAGGTTAAATTTCAACAAAACATATAGAAATGAAACATTGTTTAAAGTTCATTCAGAACCTAACCAATATGGAAACAAACCTACTTTTGTTTCTGCAGACTATGGAACTACAATGAGATGAGGTCATAAAGCTAATCAGGATAGGTGGTTCATAAACTTACAACCTCAATTCCAAGAAGTTGTAGACGCAATGGAAGTGAATGGTGAACCAGATATAGCTGGTATTTTCAGCGCGGCTTTAATGCCATTGAAAGATATGAAAGATGCAGATATTTTGGACCAGTATGAAATGAACATGGCTGAGGGAAATATAACACCTGACGTTCTAGAACATTTATCTCAAAGAACTACACAGAACCATAGAGATGGTATATTTGGTGAAGAGTTTAGAAAGAGAGTTAGGGAGAGAGAAGGAAGAGAACCTATTGTACATGACCTTGCAAACGAATGTTTGCAAAATGTCATAAAAACTTACTTTGCAGACAATGAACCGAGAAGGGATGAATATTTAAGAAAACTCAAATGGACAGTACCAAATGAAATGTTAGTATTGAAAAACATGTTCCATGACAAAATAAAACCAACTACAGAAATAAATGACGCAAGACTGAAACGTTGGGTAAAAGCTTTCCCATTCACAAAAGATATTATTGGTAACATGGAAAGAAAACCAGAATGGCTACAAAAACATATATTTGGAAACGAGCTTATTCCATATGGACAAGCTATATTTGAAGAGCTTGAACCGGAAACTCAGGAAAGAGTCATGCAAACAATAAGCGACGACTCAAATACAAACTATGACAAAATCTTTCTAGGATATTGGTTACCTGAGATGGGCGACCAGAGCCCAAAGGCAAAAAGGACATGGGAAATTTACAACATACTAGGTGAACATGAGGCAAAGATGCAACAACTTGAAGCAGAGGGCAAGTTACCAAAAGCGACACCAAAGAAGAAGAGAAGAGTAGAACAAAGTGAAAGTAGTGAAGAAGTAACTTCATCTAGTGAAAGTAGTGGCAATGAAGGAAAAAGAAGAGTTAAAAACTCAGCCAGGAAGAAAGTAAAGCTTGGTCCGAGTGGGTTCTATTATGACATATAAATCCAACTATTCTATATTTTTACCCATATGAAATGTACGCCGCTCAGAATATTACGCCAACAGTTTTGGATGCCATGAACGGAAATGTTTCCGAATGGTATAACGAATGCGACAATGCCATTAGAAGGTCAGAAATAGTTCCTGGAACTTACGAATATACAACTGCTGTTTCTTATGGAAACGTAGGTGAGTTTGGAGAAGGTTCTTCAACAACAGTAGATATTGCTTGCGACAGGTTTCATATTATTTCTATTGACAACTCATTCTTATACGTGGAACAAGACATTGAAATAAAACCTTCTGCCAAGTTGTCTGACAAGAAAGGTTGCAATGGAATTTTCTATGTCGGATACCAATATGCTCCAGAAGTTTTTATGGGATATAAGATATATTCTAACTCTGACTTAGTTCAAACAGTAACATGGGCAAACTATGAATGGTTCGCTTTGAGAAACTCAGTACAACCACAAGCTAGAGAACAAACAGACCAGTATGCAACTATTGAGAAAATAAGAAGACTTGACCCTAACGTTCCAGGAGTTTATGTTAACCTTTCTGGTTCAGATGGAACTGCTGCCACTAAAGTAAAACTGAAACTTAGAGTTCCTTTGTCATCTTTCCTCATCTTCAGGTTTTTAAGATACTTGCCAAACTGGGCATGAAAAATTTCTATCGAACTTACTCCAAGCAAAAATAACTTAGTCATTGCACCAACACAAGACCCATTCACTATTGAAGCCAAAGCAACAGCTCAGGAAACATTCGCTGCCTTTTGCAAAAACAAAGTTGACTTAGACTTTGGTTTCTCAAACTTCAACAATGAAGTAAACTACTATATGAAGGATAATGGTGGTGCAAACGTATGGGACCCAGTTAAGTTCACATGCGAAAAATTTGAATGCAAGAGAATAGAAAGCAGACTTGCAGTCTATATGTTGGACCCAGATATTTCAAATGCTTTAGCTGCCAAATATATTGCAGTTCCACTTATGTTCCCTATACACCAAATATCTGTCAAAGACTTTGCAGGTGAAGTTGGAAACCAAAGTGCTGACCCAGGTGCAAGAACAGATATTGCCTTAACAACTGCAATGAAACATGCAGATACTATGTTTGTACTGTTCAGACGAACTATAAATGACTATTCTTGTTTCTACAACCCTGGTATTAAATATCATATAAACATAGATGGCAAATATTATCCAAGAGAAGAATATTCTACAGTTGAGGATATGAGGTCATACAACTTGACATTAGATGCTATGAACTTTAACAACAACTTCACAACAACCATTAACCCTGAAATGCAAAGTTCTATTATGCCATATGTGAAAGTATGGACTCATACAGGAGGTCAAAAAACTCAATATACAAATGGAGACCGTTCAAACTTTTGGCTTGGCATTCCATTTGCTGACTCAGAAGACTTTATGGGTGGTATTTCAACTGTTGGTACAGTTCAAATACAATATACTGGTGACAGAGACGGTCCAGATGAATTGAGAGCAAAGAAGTTTACAAAACCAATAGCACTTTTCACGGAAGATGCTCTTTTGAAGATTCGTTCGATGAAACCTGCTGGGGCTCCTCAGATTGGCATAACGACAGTTTCCATCGAGCAGATTTTGGCAGCAGGTCAGTAAGTTGTTCTTTGACACTTTTCTCACCATCGTAAATAGTTATGACACCTGTTTTGACATAATACTGTATTATAAACTTACCTTTAGAAATATCTGTAAGTTTTGAAGTTATATTTTTGTCTGCTTCAAGAACTTTCACCATTTCAGTTATACCAACTTTCTTTGCTTTATAAAAATATTTAGGTTCAGCAAAGACTGCTATTCTATAACATTTACCATTGTTTGTATAAAGAACTATTCTGTCAATGAACTTGTATTGTTTGTGAGTATAAACTTTGTTTTGCTTCAATTCAAAGAGATATCCGAATACGTCCATCTTTTTATTCTAAGTAAAATGTCATTTCCGAAAAATAGAAGCGTAAGTGTTTCAAAAGGTTTAATGGCGGTGGCAGATGTGAAGTTAAATTCACCAACTCAAACAAACAGTCAAAGTGTTATTGTCAATGTCAAAGACAGAGATGTTGAAATGGGGAAACCATACGAAGACGAAGATGGTATAACAATTGTTCCTGTAAAAGAACCAACATATCCTGAAGTTAACAGAGACTTAAGTTCTGTTGCAGATATTCGAAACGATTACCAACAACTGAAAGACAAACTTCAAACTCAGGAGAAGATTTGTCAAGCTTTAAGTATAATGTTAAACTTGGTCGAACACAACCCTGTAAAAGTGAACTCATATGTCATTGCACCTCATGAAGTTTTGAAAGAACTATTGAAACTTTTGACAGAGGCAGACGATATAAACATCAAAGAAATAGAACCCGACATTAGTTGCTGTGGTGTTTCATATAATGTCATTGACAAGATATACGTTATGAAAGGAGGTGAAACGTTGAACTTAAAATATAGTTTCCCAGACGTTATAAAAATATTTGACGACCACAACATTTCATTAAAATTTATTTGCTAAGTAAATGGCAGAAGACATAATGGTTTATACTATTACGACTAAAAACCCTGAGTCATATAATTCTATAACAACAAACTTACAAAGTCCTCAAGGACGATATTGTAAACTAACCTTAAACACAATGACGACTAAAGCCTGTTTTGCTCTTTTGACACCAGAAGACTTTATTGTTGTGAATGGTAAAAAATACTCCTTTGAAGATACTTACTCAGATATGCCACCAACAGGTTTTGTTGACTTATTTAATACTTTAAGTACGGGTGTAACATGTGCTGCAACTAGAGCAGGTTTCATTATGTTTGGATGTCCGACTGAGTTTACTATAAACGATATGAGCTATAATACAAAACTTATTTCTGGTTTTTACTACCAACAGTTTCCTATAACAGGAAAAGGTGTCATACAAGGAATGTCTATTCCATTGACATTAAGCACACCAATCTTATATATTGTTTCAAACTTAGGTTCAAAGTGTTATTCGAATGTCGACAGAAACTATTATGACCAAAAGATACTTATGCGTATAAACAATACTTTCTCTGCTGGTTTGCCTATTGTTCATTCGAATGCAGAATTTTCAACCTTAGTGAACTCAAACACTTTGGCAAGTATAACGTTGACATTAGTTGACGCAAACTTTGTTCCTGTAAAACTTTTATGTCCTATGTATTTGTCAATGACGGCAGAAAGTTTCGAATTGGAAGATGCAACTGGTGAAAGTATTGTATTACAAGAACAACTTCAACAACAAATAGCTCAAGAACAACAAATGCAACAAATGGAACAACAAAGTCAAGAATAAAAAAATAATATTTTTTTTATTCTTATAAAAATGTACAGAATAGATGTTTCAGATTTTTATGACTTCCAAGCATTCAGAAATATGTGTCCATTTCGAGACTATAACAAAGCAGTCGAGAATTTGAAACGTTTAGTCATTTATGTCGACTCTGCCCCAGAATGTTATGTTATGAAAGAATGGGATGTAGTCTTTAACAAACCTAAAGCGACAATAGTTTCAGAACAAGAATGTAGACAGAAACTTAAGAAAATAAAAGTCGTACAAGTTGGTATGAAGATGTTAGATGCTTGGGATATCTTATTGTCAAAGTTAGAAGATTTTTCAGTTCGAGGTATAAGTTCTATACACCATCTCCAAACTTCTATTCTATCTTCACTGGATATAAATATGAACAAGTAGAATGGAAAGAAAATATTATAGAAGCTTGGTTAGACCATGTCAAAGAAATTATATGCAATGGAAACGAAAAGGTTTATGAGTATATCTTATGTTGGTTTGCAAACATCTTACAACATCCAAGTGCTAAAAATGAAACTGCTCTCATTATAATTGGAAAACAAGGAACATGTAAGAACACATTCTTTACAGATATCTTATGCAAACTTTTAGAAGGTTATTCGAACCCTAATATGACAAACTTAGAAAACATCTGTGGTAAATTTAACTCTTCAATTGAGAATATGAAACTTATAGTTTGCAATGAACTTCAAAGTATAGATACAACAAAAGTTTTAAACTCAGATGCTTTGAAGAGTCTTATAACAGATAAAGTTGGAGTTGTTGAAAGAAAGTATAAAGACTCAAGAGTTTGTGAGAATGTTGCAAACTTCATTATGGTTTCAAACAATGCTGTTCCGATGAAGTTAGAAAGTTCTGACAGAAGATATGTAGTCGTCAGAACGTCAGATTCTCATATGCAAGATACTGAATATTTTGACGCTTTGTCAGAATGTTTGACATCTGACTTTTACAACCACTTGTTCTCATATTTCATGACATTAGATATTTCTAACTTCAATCCAAGACAAATTCCACATACCGAAGAGAGACAAACATTGTTAGAAGCAAACAAGAGTGTATATGAACTGTTCATAGAAGAAAGCGACTTTGAGTGTTTAGATGAAAAGTCTTTATATGATGAATATAAACAATATTGTCAAGAGTATGGTTATATGCCAGCGTCTAAACGAACATTCTTGGCAAATGTCAAAAGTCTTTTAGACGTACAGAATGGTGTATATACAAAGAAAATTTTTTCTGAGTAAATTTTAAAAAAATATTTTTTTATCCGATAGAAAAAGATGGCAAAATTCATCTCAGTAAATAAGTACATGACAGAAGTCAAAGATAAGTTAGCTCCATTCGCATATTTGAATGTTTACTTCTACAATTTTGAAAAGTCTACATTCAGCAAATTTTGGAACATCGAACCAGTTAAGTTTGCTATTGTGACTAAAAATGGTGCGAAATTTGAAGACTTAGACATAGAAGGTTTGTTAACAGTCAAAGAAAGTTTTGACAGAAGGTTCTCAAACCTTAAAGAAGGCAAAGCATACAAACTTGTTATACCTTATGAACCAAAGAAGACAGACGACTATGAATATTATGAGTCTAAAGTTGTAGAAGTTCAAGGTAAATTGGGTAAAAAGATTTTAGAGTCTAAGCCAGTGTTTACTCCTAAAGAGGAAGAGAACATTGACATTGACCCAGAAATGTTCTAAAAATAAAATTTTATTTTTACATGTCAAATTTCTTCTTCGGTGGAACTGGCTCTGGTTCAGGTTCTTTCTTCTCTTCTTCTACTTTCTTTTCTTTCTTCTTCTTTTCTGGTGGAGTTATGTCAAATTTGGCGCAACCATATTTATGTAAAAGTTCTTTGTCCTTTAATAGCTCTTCTATTCTGTTTTCTATTTCATCTTCAAGAAAAGCGCATGTGTCTTCTTTGCATTCTAAGAACTTTTGTTGGACTTCATCTTTCCAATCGGCGTCATCTCTGTCAACAAGTCTGTCATTGACAAATTTTAAGACTGCTCTGCTTAATGTTTTATGGTTCTTGTCATATTCCCAGAAACAGAACTTTAGAACAAATTCACCTTTCTTGTTTACACTATGTAAGATTTTATGGTCGACAGATGTTTTGCTGTCAAAAAGTTTGTCTCGAATATAGATAGCGAAATCGCTAGACATTTTCTAAAAGATAAAAATTTTAATTTTTCTAAAAATATGTTAGAAAAAAAGTTTGCTGACATTGACAAAAAATTTGAGAATGTTTTAAATAAGAACAAGAGGAAGTTAGAAAATGCTCAGATAAAACCTATACATGACAAGTTCTTATTTGCTCAGAATGGTATAACAGGTCTAATTGCACCACCTGGGTCGGGTAAGACTTTCACTTATCTTAAAATGGCTGCACAACAACAAGAACTAGATGAGAAGAACCCATTCTATGAGTTAGTTGTTATTTGTTCGACTTCTGGTCAATTTGACCAAACCGTCAATTCGTTCAAAGATATTATAAAGAAGTCTAAGTTAGTATGTATAAAAGACTCTGAGTTGTTAGATTGGATAAAGAAGTACCAAAGAAGAGTTTTGAAGTATAATGCTATAAATGAGTATATAAATTCTAAGTTCAAAGACCCTAATGAGGAAATGCAGAGAATATTAGAGAAGAAACACTTCAGAAACAAACAGAAAGAGATAGAATACATTTCGAAGAAATTGCAATCTTACGATTGGAAGACTTACCCTCACAGATGTCTTCTTATCTTAGATGACTTTGCTTCTCATCCTTTGTTAAAGAATAGAGAACAAGATATGTGTCGAATTCTCAAGAAGCTCAGACACTTTAACATCTCAGTCGTAATATGTGTACAGACAGCAAAGAGTTTAAGTAAGGATGTAAAGAGAATACTTACTGACATTATACTTTTCCCAGGATTGTCCGAAGACGATTTCATGGAACTTATGAAAGAGTCCATGGCAGGTAAGTTTGACAGACATGAACTATGGGAGAAGTATAAAGTCATACAAGACCCTCATACTTCTTTCAGAATTCATATCTACGCAAACAAAGTTCAAATTGTAAAAAGTCAAGCTTGAAAAATGTAAGTGTTTAGTCTTAGTAAGTAAGTCTGTTGTGGTTCTGCAGCTTTCGGTTCTTCTGGCTTTGGAAGGCATTCAGGAAGAGGAACGTCAGTCATCCGTTTGTGTCCTGTCGGAAGGAAAAATTTTTCCTGTCGGAAGGAAAAACTTTTTCTGTCGGAAGGAAAATTTTTTCTGAAGTTCGACCAAAAAGTTCTCAATTTTCGAAAATTTGAATGGTTTACGGACGGACAACTGGAAGAGTTCTTCTTGTCGTCGGGAAAATTTTTTCCCTTTGTCCGGAAAATTTTTTCCAGTTGTCGGGAAAATATTTTCCTGTCGGATGGAAGGACTCGGAATGCCAGAAGGATTTGACGAGGCAATTTACCTTATAGAGCTACCTGAGCCATCTGAAGTCAAGCTTGAAAAATAAAGAGTGCATTTACCCTACTTGTTTGAAGTTGTCAAAATACTCTGTTATTTTTTCCTTTAACAATGGCAAATCTTCTTTGAAGGTAAAAATTGTACAACCTTTAATATCATAGTGTGTTTGAGGTAACGTATCTTGAACTATTTGTTTCACATCTTCATTTGGAGTCATTGAAATCGGTAAGTTTTCGCGATAGAACCAATTTCTGTCAGATTTGCAAATCTTAGCAAGGTCGTAAAAGCTTTTGTTGTTTCTTCTGACTAAATGCAACATAACCATGTCACTGTCTTCCATATCTTCAGTATAAATCATATACTTATAGTTCTTTTCCTTTCCTTTTGGTACCGAACGTGGTATTCTTTTCTGAATGCTTTTGTCTTTTGCTTCAAGCTTGTTTTCCATCTCTTTTCTCATTTCTGTATGTAAATCGTCAAGAAGTTTGTAAACATGCCATGCATAACGAGGAGAAGCCCACATTGCAACAGCATTTACTAAAAGTCTATGAACATAATATCCTCTTAAATTTATTGGCAAATTTTTACGATTTTCATGTGTTTTATGCAAGACCGAGAATTCTCGGTCTAGAGAAATTTCACTCAAAAGTTCTTGTGTGCTTTGGTTTCTGAACCAGTCGTCTGTATGTTTGGTATCTGGAGAAAATAGAACGATATAAGTTTACATTTGTAAGGTTACTTTAGTGTTAGTCATATTTGAATTTTACGGTCAAAAATAAATTTAGGTGAACTAGTGCAAATGCACACAACTTTTCACCTCTTTTTTTAACCTCATATGTCCTTACTGAAAAAGTATGTGTTCCATATGTCATTTTACTCAGAATTTTATACAGAATTCGGCAAAAATAAAATTTAGGGTAGAAGGGTATATCTATCCCGTTTTCTACCCTTTTTTCTACCATAAAGTTTTATAAGCGTTTTACATGGTAAACATTGTGAATTCGTGAAATTCTAAACAATTTTGTGGCTTCGATTTCCTCTGTCAGTATGTCAAAAGTTTTCACAATATTGAATGTATCTTTATATTTCTTCTTGACATCTGAAAGAAGGAAATCGTCAGCTGTTGGATAGTTTTTGTTTAGAAATGCCAATATGTTCATTTTGTTTTCTGCTGGTTTCTCTATCTCTTTCTTTAAGTCAGCATAGTCGTTTCGCATACGTTCTATCTCTTTGACAGAATAGTTATATTTCCTTATTGCTGCTTTACATTTAGAACATTGTGGGTTCATTTTAGCATTGTACATTGAAATTTGTCCTGCAAGAACAACTAAAGCGTCAATGGTCCTCTTAAATTCAAAACATGCAGGTCTAATTTGTTCGTTCCATACCTTATTTCTTTTGTCTTTATTTCTTATTTCCCAAACACATTTAGCTACTAACGTAACAAAATTGTCATATGTTTTGAATTCTTCAGATTTGTATAAGTCAGATATGTTCTTATATACCATATTGCAGTCTTTGTCCATGACTTTGTGGTTGCAATGAATTCCAAGGAACTCATAGTTAACTTTACGTATGAACTTCTTAATTTCAACTGAGTCGGTTGGTCTGACTTCAATTTCTTCAAATTCTGGAATAGTAAGCTTTTGTTGTTGTATTTCAGGAAGTTTAGGTAGATGGTCAATAATATCCTGCATTTCATAAAGATATTGTTCATTTGTTTCATCTTTTGCAGTGCAATCTAAATCTCCTTGGAGAAGTTCTTGCTTTATCTTCTGGATTGTTGTTTCGAAATCAAACGAATCTGGAATAGTTTTTGACGTATCTACTAACATTGAAGTTGGGTTCATAACTAAAGAGTTTGGTAAAGTTGATGCTAACATGTTCTTACAATAAAAATAAAAAATATTTTTTAAAAAAACTAACTTTATTTTTTATTTTTTTGTGAAAGTGTCAAAAATAAATTGTTTTCATGAGTTTTCTACGATGGTAGAAAAAAGGGTAGAAAACGGGATAGATATACCCTTCTACCCTAAAAGTATTTTTCAATACTTTTTCAGCACTTTTCCGTAGTTATATATGAAAGACAATTCGAGATAAAAGTCATAGTACAATGGAATAATATATTGCACACCATTTGTTGTGAACCAAACTTGAAAGTCAGAGAAACTGTTACTAGATGGTTCGTAGAATTTGGAAGCAAAGTCATAAAAGTCCTTACCAATACATAGAAAACTATTGTTGCTTGAACTGAAACTTGCATGACACATAACATTTTGAGGGTCAAATACGTTTCTATAAACTGTCAAATCTGCTGGTGGAAGTATAAATTTAAATGGACCATCTGGTGGTAATGGTTCGTTCTGGTTTAGTAACCGAAGAAATTGTGCCCAAGAACGTTTGTCTACTTCCCAAAATAAAAACTCTGTATCTCTTGGAGGGTTAATTTCAATCTTTTGAAATGAAACGGTGGAGTTCATCTTGTCATATTCTAGTTTCAGATAGTATGTTCCATTTAGTAAAGAGTCGTATTTTTCTTGAAATTCCCAATAATATTTGTTCATTTGAGTTTGAAAGTCATTTAGAGTTTTCTCAAGACTTTCGTCTGAACGAATTGTAAAGATTCTCATTTCGTCAAATTTGTCTATTAGACCATCATGACCTTCATACTGCCCATGAAAATATACTGCGAACATAAATGCGTTAGTTCTATTTGAAAACAAAACTCTTCTAAATCCTATTGCCTTTGCATCTGAAGGACTTTGAAGCCAACGAATTGGATAGTCAAACCTGTATGCTCGGGATGAAATTTCTTCATCTGAAATAGTCCTACCAGCATTTGTAAAGATATAGTCTAACGGTTTTGTATCTGCTACTTTTGTTCTTTGTTTTTCAACCTGAAGCATTTAATATATGTAAAAATATATTGTTTTAAAATGGTATGCCATATAGCTTCTTGAATTTGTTAAGAAGTATTTGAACGTATTTTCCATCTGTATCTCTAGTGTTTACATAAGCATAGCCCGCCTTAGTAAAATATACTTGTAATTTCCTATGGTTTACGCCGGTATAAAAGTAGAAAGAGTCTTGTTCTTCGCTATAGTAGTAAAACTCAACGTATGCTTGCCATAGTCTGTAATTTCAATTGTTTCATCTTCTAGTTCGTCGACAAATTCGAATACAATATCTCCAAATTTGCCTTTGTTCTTATTGTTTTCAGAACGAGTGACCCAACGTAAGTTTTCAAGTCTATTGTCGTTTCTTATATGGTTTATATGGTCTACAAAAGGTAAATTGTTAGGATTCAGTATAAAATGAGTTGCAATGACAACATGTTTAAGATAGTGTTTTCCACCCATCTTCATAATAGCATATCCGTCATTTCGCTTAAAACTCTTTTTGTCTTTTTGTTTCTGACTTCAAATGACTCACAACAGTGAATTTCATATTTCTCATCTAACAAACAAGTTTCCCAACGGTCTTCTCCAACAAACTCAGCGTACATTTCAAATAAAAAATGTCACTTTTTTAAAAATAAATTTTTTACTTCATGCAATGTTTTATTTTTGTGCCGTCTTCAAGTATGCCCCAATATTTCCTTTTCGATATTACATGAACTTCGGAAAATACCTTATCTAGCTTAAAACAGCCCATCTTTTCACCGACCATACCCATTTCAATGAGTTTGTTGTATCTTTCTTCGTTCGTCATGAGTGCGTCAATGTTCTCATAGTAAACCTTAACTTTCGATTTGACTTCGGAGAAGAATTTGTTGTAGTTGTCAAGGACTGCTTTTGCGAACTGAGGGTAAGACCAATGTTCGACAATAGGTTTTAATGTGGTTACTAAGCCACTTTGACCTTGAGTGAATTCGTACTTCAAAACAAAAGGAGAAAACCTTTCAACAAAGTTGTCGACCTTCTCATAATGTTTACTCTTCATCTCTTGAGGTTTCTTAATGGAATATCCCCATGTCGAATTCATAAGCAATTTGAGTGTCATTGCAAGTTTGGGGTTTGAAGCTTTCCTAATATCATACAGTTGTTGTATGACTTTTCCAACTGTATAGTTCCTTCCCGGGAACTCACCATCTTCGTTTGGAATTCCAGTCGGAATATATTGGACAAACCTCATGTACGCAGGTTAAGGTCGACATAGTATATCTTTTCGTTTGAGTCGAACTTGTCGCAACCAATTGGTCCAGTTTGTGGAAATTCAAGTGAGTCTCTTATCTTCTGAGAAACTTCTCCTGTTATCTCATAAACATCGTCGAAGCAACCTGTTTCATATAAAACCTTCTGACCTAACTCAGATGCTCTCCAATACAATTTGACGTCAATTGGATGTCTCAATGGAAGTTTGTTTATAGCATCTTGAAGTTCTTGCAACCTCATTGGAAGTTCTTCTGGTTCAGGTTGGTATCCGAACAAACCAACTCCTTGTGGAACTGTGTACTTCTTTTGTACTAGAACTTTGTCTGGAACAACTTTTGGTCTTGCTAACAATGAAAAGTTTGTTTCGTCTTTTGGTACAAAAGTTTCTGTCAGCTTGTCATCTGGAATTGGTTCCAACAAACCTTTCTCGAAAAGAATGTTTACAGCTCTGACAATGTTGCACTTACTTTTACCAAAGAATGGGTTTGTAAGACTTTCGTTCAACATGAAGTGGTTGTGGACAATTACAATCTTCAACCATGGTAAGTCTTTGTCAACAACATAGTCGTCATGTGAAGAACCTTTAGCTGTAGGTATGTTGACTCGGATATTGACATTTGCCAACGGTGCAATTTTTGCCAATTGACCTCTGAGAATGTACCTTGTCTTCACACATGACTCAAGATACTTCATCTTCTCATCTGTAACAAGACCAGAGTTCCTGAGACATGTAAGAATGCAAGGTTCGTTGACAATTGTTTCAATTGAATTGTAAATCCCATACCTTGTCAAGTCAATGTCAGACTTATTTATGAACGGGAAGTATCCTGCATGTTGTCTGACTGCTTGAGGGTTAGGTTGGTACCATTCGAACTTGACACTTGCAATTCCTTCAATTGCATTCAAAATGTCTGAGTTGGAGTCAACCATTTGTTCTCTCTTTGTAGTCTTGAAAGCGTCAAGAAGTTTTGCGGCTGTTTGTTCATTGCCATGTGCATAGTAAATGTGACCATCCAAATCTGTTATGGTCAATCTGAGATTGTGTCCTTTCTTATTTCCGTCTTGAATTGCAGCAAGTACACCCATGAAGCCTTCTTTGTTCTTTCCTTCGTCAAAGTTTACTGTAAAGGTTCGACCGGATGTAATTTGACTTCTAACTTCACGATACTTTTCATATGCATATCTTGTTCTTTCCATGGGAGCATGTGCGTCTTCACCTTTTCCTTTTTTCCTTCTCAAAGGATGCAATTGTTCGTCATGTTTCCAGTAGAATCTGGCAAAGCCGTCGTGTCCTTCAACTTGAGGTTCACTAACATCGAAAGGCATGTCCATAAGACGTTCTTCTTCTAACCTCTCTAGTCTGTTTGGATAATTGCACGTGCTGTTTCCAAATCCATTTCGTAGCGAAGACCAGACAATTTGTCATAGACTTTTATGGGTCTTCCCTTCCTATATTTAAAATTCTTCGAAACTCTCCAACCATATCTTTGTAACTCTGCTTTTATTCTAGCAGATTTTCTATCCATTCTATATGGGGGCATTTTTATAAAAATAAAAAAATATTTTTTTTCTCTTTACTTTACATAACCGCCTGCTGCCATAAGTCTTTGACGCCAACCCATACCAGCTAATGAAGGTTGACTTGGTTTAGTTTGGAAACTAAACTTTGGTTTTGGTTTATCTTCAGTTTTTGGTTTTTCTTCTTCTATCGGTTTTTCGTCACTTTTCGGTTCCTCTGACTTTACTTCACTTGCAGGAACAGTTGTGTCGTCAACATCTTCATAAATATATATGCCATTTGTTTTTGTTTTCCTTTCAACTTTTTGTGTTTGTTGTAAAGTTTAGAATATTTCGACTCTAAGTCAATGAGATGTTCTATAATGAACTGTTGGTCAGTGAAGTATACTTTCCCATCTGTTGTCTCGAAAGCTCCTTCAGACTTCAATATTTTATTTGTGAGAGTCTGTTTCTTTTTTGAGAGACTAGCCGTTCCATTTCTATGAAAAGTGACTTTATAGTTAGGGTTTGTATTTCCAGACCTGGCACTTTCTATTATTGAATTTTTCTCTTCATCTGTAAGTTCTTTGACAGGTTTTGACAATGGTTCTGAACTTTTTGTTTGTGGTGTCAAATCTACCGTTTCAACTTCTTCGGTCATTTCATCTCAGTAAAAAATTTTAATTTGGTTTGTTTTCAACTGGTTGTTGTTGTGGAGGTGGGATGATTCCTTTAATAATATCATTCAGTTTCACATGCTGAGCCTGACTATATGGTATCGGTTTAAATGCTGGAAGCCGACAAATCCATCTTGAACTCATTTGTCTCAATGCTGCATTGTTCATTTCATCTCAATAAAAAACCTTACATTTCCCAAGTTTGAGGTGGTTGCGGTTGGTTATTGCTTACCCATTGTTGTGCATGGTTATATCCTCTGTTAAAGAATCTTTCACCTTGGTCCATATAGTGTCCTGCTTGGTTATAGTAGTTATTTGCTTTGTTATAATAGTTTCCTGCTTGTCTTCCTACATTGTCCATCCATCCTTGAACTTTTCCTCTTGTTTCAGGATTTGGAATAAGATTTGTTGCATCTCGTGCTACATCCCAACCTTTCTGTACAGTTTGTATAATAGGTTGTGCTTTCTCTTTAAGTATACCTAATGTACTCAAAATCTTCCTTCCAACTCCAAATACACCTCTGGCTATTGTTCCCACTGCGGGTAAAAATCTAGATGCGACTCCTGCTAATGCGCCAAATAAACCCATTTCTTATGGGTTAAAAAATGACGAATCCAAACAAGGACCCCTATGTTTCTAAGGCAACAAAGAAAGCACTCATGATAAAAATCTTTAGTTCAACACCAAATGCTTGGTTTATGGATATCTTGGAAAACATTCCGAGGTATAGAGAAGATGGACCACCATACTGGTTAATATTTGTTGGTCAAAACACAAGATACTGTGAAGCCATACCATTATGGTCCAAAAATATTTTAGATGTGAAAACTGCTTTGACAATATTCGTTGACAAATACCATCCAACAAAACTGACATCTGACTGTGAAAGTTCTTTCAAATCAGATGATGTAAAAAACTATCTGCGTTCAAAAAATGTAAACCAATATTTCATTGTCGACCAAAACCATTCTGCTCTTGGTGTCATTGACGGATGTATAAAAATGTTAAGAGACTTAAACCAACCACAAGGTGGTGAAGCAAATGAAATGTCATATGACGACAAGTATAGACACTTCTCCATGGCAAAGATGAGACAAGTTTTAAATATTTACAATAACCGTAAACAAAAAGGTTTGGGAAACCACTCCCCCGAAGAAATGAAAAACAACCCTGACTTAGAGAAAGACTATATATTTAATAATTTAGTCAAAAGAGACAAACAAGAAAGAATGCCGGGCTTCAAACTTCAGAAAGGAGACAAAGTAAAAATAGAAATACCTAAACGCGACCCATATGAAAATACTATTGACTATGACAACAATGGGAACCCGACAGGTACTCACATTCGTGTTCGTAAAAATAGAAGAAAGTATACAAGAGAATATTATGAAGTTTTAGGCAAACATGGCAAAATGTACACACTGCAAGCAGAAGATAAAACTACTATTGTCAGACCTCGTTTCAAACTTGTCAAAGTTCAAGGTGGTATACTTTCAAAGACAGTTCCTAACAAATATAAGACAACTCCTGACGAATATGCTAAAGAAGTTGAAAATGACGACTAAGCAATTCTATACCATGCGTAAACTGTCATGTAAGGTGGCATGTAGTCTTTACTTTGTCCCGTTGTTTGCGTATATCCTGAAACGAAATGTGTATGGTTTCCTTCTCCCTGAGTGTCATCCCAGTAACAATTTATAGCAAACTTAACGTCCTCTTTAACATCATATCCTTGACCTTTTGTCATTCCTGACCAATCCCAATATCTATGCTTATGCCAACCTGCTTGAGATGTAGTTAATCTTATGTAATGACTGTATGCAGGTAAATTTTCACCTGAAATCGTTTTACTTCCACCTGTTTCCTTTGAAGAGTTTGCACAATACAAAAACCTGTCGACTATTTGTTCCCATGCACCAACACCAAACATTACTTGAGGACCTCTTGCATCCATAGATGTATAAATAGAACCTACTGGGTTCATTAAATCAAACATATGAGATATTATAGGATTGTCTCTTTTGAACTTAAAATATAGTGCAACTATTTCAGGTTTCTTCTGGTTTGTGTCAGAATATTTTTTATAATATAATCTTATGTTTTCAGGGTAGGTACAGTCTTGACTATAATATTTATTTCTGTCATCTGTATAATAATATACTATTCTCGTTTTTCTATTGCATTATATCTTTTATATCTATAATAATCTAAATATAATGTTAATTTTTTTGGGTCTACATGTGGTGTTCTGTCGTCATCTCCATAGTCATAATAATGTGGTGCTGGAGCTGGGTCAGGCAATGTCATATCTGCCATTTCATAAACTCTTAAATATTTCTTTTGTTCGTCTCCATATAAGTTTAAGTAGCAGTTGTTGTCTAATGGAACTTTAACTTGTGTACCATCATTCTTTTTATAGCTTACATACATTTCATTGTTATTTTTCGGAATGAGTTTATGCCGTGTACCATTTTTTAAGGACTGTACCAACTGCCATCTAAAATAGTTATTTTCTTCATTGACAGAAAAGTCACCAACAATAGTTTCAATATTTTTTGTTCCTATCAAACTTTGGTATATTTCATTGACATATGTTTTATCTGCTTTATTTTCAAGGCTAACGTTTAAGTCTGTTATTTCAGAAGATGTATGTGTATGTCCAATGTCACTTTTCCTGTTTAAGGTTTCTTGTAAGTTTGTAATATTTGCAATGGTATGTGTATGAGTCTTATTTGCTTTTGTCTCTAATGTTTCTTGTAAGTTTGTGATATCAGATATAGAATGTGTATGAGTCTTATCTGCTTTTGTCTCTAATGTTTCCTTAAGACTTGGTATTTGGTTAATATAATGTATATGAGTCTTTTTAGAATATTCGTTTTCAGCTCTTGTCACTTCACTTGACATTTTATTGTCAACATATGTTTTGTCTGCTAGTTCAGGATGAGTATGTTCTTTTGTTGCATAAGCATTGTTAGCTCTTTCTTCTTCTTTTGCTATTGCATCGTCTACATATTCTTTGTCAGCTTTGTTGTCAACATCTGCTTTCAAAAGAAGTTCATTTATAGGTTTCTCGTTTAAAGTTCCTTTTGTTGGATTTATACAGACAGTATGGTTCTTATTGTCTTGAAATAGAAACTCATCTGTTATAGGGTTTAATGTCAGTTTTAAGTTTCCTTCTTTCAATGACTCAGATATCTTAGAATAGTTTGAAAAGTTTGTTGTGTTCTTATTTAGAGCTTGCATAATGAGTTGTCGGTTGTGTTGTATTTCTCTCATAGACGCTGTTTCATTTGACATTTTTATTATAGATAAAATATGCTTCCAATAGAAAAAGAAAATTCTAGAGTTGCTACAACTAAACCATTAGATGAACTTTTTACTAATGTCGGTCAAAAGGTTGACATAGATACTATAAAGCATGAAGGCTATCGTTCTGACTACCCATTAAGATGGTTAAGAGACCCATCCGTCACAAAAGCTATTGGCTTTCGTAGAATGAAGTTTGTCTCACAAGTTCAAACAGGTTTTCCATTTATTGTAAGGTTTCATATAGATTATACATCTGAAGGGCAACGAAAAATGTGGGAAGAAATTGAGCTAATACAAGTTGACCTCTCATCTTCTCTACAGACTGCATTAAAAAATATAGAAGATAAAATAAATTCATGTTATGCAAAATATGCTGATGAATATGCGAATACCGATAGCACACTTTATGTGAGAATTGTATATGACAAACAAAATTCACAAGTGTCATTTCAAATCTCCGAAGACAATCCAAATAAAGACGAACAAATATATACAGAATTCACTGCAATGCCATGGTATTATTTGCAAAGAATGTTAAATCAGAAAGTTGAACCTCCTTTAGCAAATATCTACAATCGATATGCAAGAGATGAACCATATTTATTTAAAGATGTTTTCGACCAAGATGCTGTGATAGTTCATGCTTCATTTTCTGGCGCCCAAAACTCTTTCTTATGCTTGGCAAATGACTTTTACGAAAAACCTACAAAGTTATACGAACCACCAAGTGGAAGTATTTCAGACTTTCAAGTATGGTTTACTACAGATGGAAGAAAAAGAATAATTCCATTATACCATGCGTTTTACTTAGAACTTAGTTTCATATACAACTACTATCGAACGGTAAAAATATAATTTTTTAATACGGTTGAGGTGTTGGATTTGGTTGCCAACTAGACTGTGGTGCAGGTTCAGGCTGTTGTATAACAGGAGCTTGCTCTTCTGGTTCAGGGTCTTTAGGTATAATACCAACGAACTGACCTACTCTTTTACCAATATTTTTGACACCGTTCCATACTCCTCTTCCGACAGATTTTATTCCATTCCATATACCTCTTCCAACTCTTCTGAAGAAGTTTCCAATACTACTGAAGAAACCCATTTACTACGTGTAAAAATCTAATGTCCGCCTAGTCTCTTACGTTTCCTGTTGAGTTCCATAGCATTCTTTAACTGGAGCTCATACATTCTGTTTCTCCTCTGGTAGAAAACATATTCTGGGTCAACTCCTGTGTTCGCGTCATCTGCATAAAGTTGTTTATATCCCACTTCAGGGTTTGTATAAAACTCTTTCCATCTCATATTTGCATACCATGGTGGCAAACCTAACGCAGCGTCATTTGACATGGCAGTTTGCATTTGTACATCTGTTGGCACTTGACCATAGTTTGCCATTGCAGTTTGTATTGTTGTAAACGAAAACGATAAAAACTGTTTGACAGAAAAGTGACACTTTACATGGCAAAAAATAGAGCCTTACTTTTGAGATACTTGAGATTGAAACTGAATCTTATGAGGCGGTGATCTTGAATCACTACCTCATAAGGTTCAGTTTCATATAAAATTTGTTGCAATTTGTTATTCTTTTGCAATTATTTCTTATAAGATTTTACATCTTTTAGCGGGGAATGTTTGTTATCATGTATATATTATAAATATCTACACGATAACGAACATTCATCGCTAAATTGCTGAGAAACTTTGAGGAAATGTCGAACAATTTCCTCAAAGTTTCTCAGATTTATATAGATCACTAGAGTCCCCTAGGCACTGATTCTGGTTCAGTACCTAGGAGGCTCTAGTTCTCTAACGAACTGATAAAATGTTTTTAAATTTTTGGATATTGCTACCTGTGAAGCACTGACTTCAAGTCAGTACCTCACAGGTAGCAATTACATTGAAAGATGGGAGAAACTTTGTCCGAATGTTAAACTATTCGGACAAACTTTCTCCCATTTGTAGTGGAGATGGAAGGCTTTGAGGTATATTATATTAATGTATACCCCAAAGCCTTCCATCTCCACTTGAAAGTTCCAAAACTTTGGGTTAATAGTTTGCAATTAACCCAAAGTTTTGGAACTTTCTAGAAGGAATTGCAGGGTAGGAGGTACATATTCATACTATGTACCTCTTACCCTCCAATTCCTTCCTTAACATAAACAAATTTGGAGTTAATTGTTTGCAATTAACTCCGGGTTTGTTGACCTCCAAATGAAAATGAAAGGGTAAGAGGTATATAGTGACCCTATATGCCTCTTACCCTTTCATTCTCATTAATTATGGGAGAAGCTTTGGCCGAATGTTAAATTATTCGACCAAAGTTTCTCCCATTTTTTGAAGGGATTGGAGGCTATGAGATACTGATGCAATGTCAGTACCTCATGGCCTCCAATTCCATCCTGAAACTGATCAAAGTGGACCTTACATGCATTTGAAATTTGCCATGTAAAGTCCACTTTTTGAGAGAGAGGATTTGACTGCGTCAAATCATCTTTTTCGTTTACGAGAGTATTCTAACTTCATTTGGAATATTCTCTGGGTTTGGTTGTCCAGGTTGCTGTGCATTCGCTAAGTTCTGTGCGTCCATTTAATATTAGATAAAAATATCTCTTACGAGTACATATGCTGAACATTTGCAGGCATTGGTTCATCTTCATATTCTCTGTACTTTTCTGCCACGTCAAATAAATAAATGACACAATGGAAAAAACCTAAAACAAGTAGTCCTATTTCAAACCACATTTACTTACTAATAAAATTTCTTTGTTATGACACTTTCTCCAGTTTATAGGACCTCTCTCATATTCTATCTTGTCATATATAAACTCATAGTCATGTATGTCCTCTAACCATCTCATAACGGTTTCCAAACCACTTTTATCGGATGTAAAGTAAAAGCATGGATGGTTATGTATAACGTCTAAAGTTTCTAAAGAGTCTCTCAAAGTCCAGTCTACTTGGTATTGAAAATCCCATGTGTTATAGAACGGCGGGTCCACTATAAAGAAAACATTTTCCTTGTCTTTATATTTTTCATACAACTCTGTCCAATGACATCTCACAAACTCTATACCCTCAATATATTTTTCTATGTCCTCTTTGAAAACATTTGTATAGTTAAGATATAAAACTTTTGACATAAGTGTTTCAATGTCATGAACTCTTATAGCACCACTATATAATAGTCTAGCAGATATACTATCCCAGTCTATATATTCTGCTTTTTTCAAAACCTCTCTCACATATATTTTCTTATCTAATGGTATACGTTCCATCTTACCTATAGGTATCTTTTCTTTTAACTCTTTCAATATATTGTTTGTGTCTGGAATATGTTTGAGACGGTACATATAGTTGTCGAAGTCATTGCATATAATCTTTGAGTCTGGGAATATTGTATGGCACAAATGGGATATATAGAAACTTCCACCGAACAAATCTACAAATGTTAGACCATTCGGTAGTTTCTTAAGTTCTCTCAATATAATATCTTTACATCTACTCTTATTTCCAAAGAACGGTAACAGCGGTTTTGTAAAATTCATTTATATATAATAATAAAAATGTTTTACCCGAAAAGTGACAGAAAAGTGACAAAATATGAAAACATATATAATTTGTGAAAAGTGACACAAAAGTGACATATTAAAAGTGATATAAAAATGACACCATTAATATGATGTAAATAACAACGGTTTTGGTTTTGTCACCGGCTGGTCGGCTGGGGTTCGGTCCTCCTCTTGGGTCTTGGGCAAAATTTCTTAGGGGCTAGAGGGCGCAACGCGCCTGGAAGCCCCACTCACCTGACCTTATTTCAATAAAAAATGAACATCGGATGGGCCAATTTTGAAAATCTTGATCAGCGGGCTCTCAGTGAAAACTCCAATGTTTAAGGTTTTGATCAAATCTCTTCTTTTTGATATCTGAAACGACAGATAGGTAGATAATGATATGGTCATGTTATAGCCATGCTTATGCAGAATGATATCTATTCTATCAAGAGAAAAAAGACCTCGAAGTGCAGAAAATTGAATAGTTGTAAACTAAAGCGGTGATTATTCAAATCCACCATTAAAAAATTGATTATTCAATTTTATTATAAATATATATCGAACACAATTTGAATATCATATTTCATTGTGAGATTGTCGATTATGTTGAAGAAAGTCACTCAATAAATTCGATTTTTTTACCAAAATTCAATTTAATCGTCATCTCTTAGAGTGAAGCTCCTCATTGGAGCTATAGGACCCCAACGTGGCAATATATTTCACCTCCATCGTGCTATGTATACATCAATGAATGTTGAGTTATATATAATAACACTGCAAGGACATACATGTCATAGAAATGAATCCCTGTGAATAAGGGATCCTTTGCTTTTATATGTATGTTTTATTAACAACATTCATATCTAGATACTCGCAACTAACATAACCTTATGTCATTTAAATACTATGAGATAATAACAAAAGCGTATAAATGATAGGTTTTTATATCAGGCAAATACATATATAAATTTCTAAAGGTGCCATTTTTTGATGAGATAATTATTTTTGAATTGGAACTGAAGTATTTCTGGTGATTTCAACGAAATCGAAAGATTTATCGAGGAACTTCAAGCATTCTACTCTTGCTTTGCTGTTGAAGGCTTCTTGACAGCCCAATTGTATTTTGAAGGTGGTGCTTTATATTATAATAGATAGGGCGATTCCCGAAAGCGTCATACGCTACGTAGTTCATGATGAAGTCTTCACAATTGTTTTTCTCAGCCGAATAGTCTATTACGCTTTTATATTTATATGAATGATAGATTTCAAACAAATCTACGTTTATAAAGGAAAGTCCAGTAAGAACAATGTTGAAATCACGGCCTCTCTTCCAGCTATACTTTCCTTTTCTCCAAAGAGTTGCGTAATTTCCGAAAACTGACAATGGAAAGCCTCTACGTTTAAATTCTTCAAAAGCAGTGTCTAAAGCTGTAAAATTAACGAAAATATCATCATCAATATTGCATATGGTCTGAGTCTCGAGGTTTTGGGGTATTAAAAATCGAGCAACAAGTTCTCTCATTTCAGTATCAATTATTTCAATAGGAACTGTAGAGTTTGAAATGTTATATGCAGTTAAATTAGGAGCCGGTATTGAATGCTTGAAATCGTTCCAATATATGTAAATTTTTTCGCAATGCTTAGATTCTTGCTTTAAAAGTGAGTTTAATATTTTAGATAGAATTGGAATTCGACGGAAACTACTTAGGTATATGATTGAGTATTTGTCTTTACTTAATTCTCGATCAGGTTTAAGATTTGATAATCCAGGGCCAATAACTTGTGAATATCCGCTTGTTTCAATTATTGAAGTACCAAAAATGACTGAAAAGAATATACATAGCAAGGATAAAAATGTTATTGATCCAAAATTTGTCCATAATTTAACCAGAGCATAACTCATATCTTTTAAGGTTATCGTCCGACCAAACACCAATTATCGTTTTTTATATTTATGATTATCTCAGGAATATTCATGCTATTTACTTTATCATTTCAACAGGCAATATCAATATATTTTACTTTCGCTATTGTAGTTCCAAATAAATAGCATACACAATATTTTGATAAAAAATCAATCTGACAGCGAAAAACGGTTATTTGTCGGTACTTTCCCTTTTATAGCAAACACTTTTTTGACACACATATGACAACAGAGGATTATACCATGTTTGAGTTACTAAAAAGAAAAGATACAGGGTGAGATATAAAAAGACATCGACAAAAACGAAGTTCATTATACTCAGAATTTAAAGAATAGTAAAAATGAATATGAAACATGACTTTCATTTGATTTCGAGATAACATATCAATATAGAGATCTTATTGTGTTATGAAAATCAAGCTAAAACAGAGCTTGGCGAGCCACAAAAATTTGACGTCAAGGGTTAAATGAGTTTTGGTTTTATATTTCAAAAATCTTCCATATATATATTAGTCATTGAATCAGTATTTATCATCGTTTTGTTTTCAACTATTGGCGGTATCACGTATAATGGAGAATTCCACAGTAACATGAATGTTTTATTGTCATGGTCAGGAGACCTTTTCAATCTTGGACCAGCTATATACGCCGTAGTCAATGCACATCCAGATCAACATATTTCCTTTTATATTACAACTGTCAATGCAGATTTATTACCAAAATATAAAACTCATTTTGCAGAACGCCCAATCCTTAATACAAAATTCTATTTCGAAACATACCAAACACGGTACTTGACTAAAAGAATATGGATAGTTGGGTACGACACTTATATTCGAATTGTTTTTCCTAATGCGCATCCTGAAATGGAAAGATTCTTACAATTAGATGGAGATGCAATTGTAGTACAAGATATTAAAGATATGTACTTCCATGATTTCAACAACCAATCTGCAATCGTAGTTTTTGATTTTGCAAGAAGATTTGAAGGATTCAAAAATTACTTTAACGCCGGTGTTATGGTATTCAATAATTTTAAGTACATAAATGATAATATTCTGAATAAATCCATTGAATACTTGAAATGGCTCAATGGACACATGGGCCGTTGGTACAATGATCAAAGAGTATTAAACAAAATGTTTATAGACTCAAGAATAGTTTTCCCTCAAAAATATAACGAATTTGATTTCAGAAAGTTTGGGAATAACACCAAAATCTTTCATTTCTATCGTGCGAAGTGTAAACCATATAACCAAAAATGCAACAGAACGCAAGCTCCATACAAACTTTGGGATTGCTTTTATAAAACATACAAAGAAAAGCCTCTTTTATGGCGCGATACTCGTAATATTACAATCTGTACAAATGAAATGTTCAATTAACGTAGATGGTAAATTAATTATGATTCTCACAATTTTGAGAACTTCTGACATCATTTGCCAGACAAATTGAATGCAATGAAGTATGATTTTTTAATGCTTGATATAGATTTGTTATAATATAATGTATTTATTTTTCTAGTTGAAGTCTTGCGGACATGAAATTAATTTTTTTTATTTTGGATATAGGTCAGGTGCGTGGGGCTTCCAGGGGCTGCGCCCCTTCTAGCCCCGGAGAAACTAGAGGAGGAATGATACAAAGACCAGATGAAAAAAATAAAAATATTATAATAAAATTAAATTTTTAGTCTTAAATTGTTTTTTTTATTCGGTATATTCTGAATCTTGAATGTCTTGGAAATTTTCTTCTTCTTCGCTCTCTGAGGTGAGGATTTCTTCGACTTCTTCTTCGCCATTGGGAGCAACAAATCCTGCGATGAAAACTTTGTATATACCTTCTTGAGGAGTCTCTATGATGAAAGTCGTATTGTTGAGGAAATGGAACTCGACATCTTGAACAAATTGGCAACTGCTGTGTGTGAATTTTGCAATTGTGAGAGGCTTTCCTTTATAGTCCTTGGGAAAGCTTGAGATGGTTACTGTTCCTCCATATGGAACTCTGGCAGGAATATCTAAAGCAACAGTTGTTATAACGTGGAAATTGTCTAAGAATTGAGGCATAGGTTCAATGCAGTATAGTCGTTTTGACTGGTTGTCTTTTGTGTAGAAATATAAATAGAATGACCTTTCACCATGTTCATTCAATTCTTCCAAATAATTGTATGAATTTGGATATATACGGACAAATTCAGCAATTTTAACTTCTTGTAAATGCTTCTGCAAGTTCTTTGGAAACAAGTGAATGAACTGGTCAATAGCTTGCAACGCTATGAGATTGGCAGTAACAGGTAAATATGAAGCAAACATGTCAACAAGTACGCCAGGGTCTTTGATTTCGTTTTCAAAAGGCTGAATGGCATCCATGACAGCTTGAAACATCTCGTTATAATCTCGATTGTCTTCTGAACCCCACTGTTCATTTAACTTATCTAACAATTCAACCTTTTCTTTGCGTATTTTCTACGAACTTTCTCTGAAAGAGGAGTGTCTCTATCTTGTGTGTCTTGAATTTGAGACTTAAATTGTTTGCTAAAGGCGATATATCGTGTTTGCGACCTAGTGGTCATTGCAGAATGTGTTTCTGTATGTTCGATTGGATGTGTTTCTGTATTTTCGGGTGGTTGTGTTTCTGTATGTTCGATTGGAGTCTGATTGGTATGAACTTCTTCTGAAAATGCTTCTGTTCCGATAGTTGTTGTTGCCTGACCTGTTGGCTGAGTTGTTTCTGTTGTGTTTTGAGAAGAAGAACTCAAATTGTTGGACAATTTGTTTGCAATTGTATGAGGAAGTTGCTTTGGTATTATAGGAGGTCGTAAGGGTTTTGAGAATGGTGAGACATAAGTTGTAGGAACTTTAACTGCAGAGGTAGTCGACGAATTGTTTGCGACACTTGTTCTTCCTTCCATTATGAAAAATGAACTGTTTTTTTCGGACCACTCATAGAAAAGTTTGAAATAAACCGTTTTCGTCAACGGAGACCCCATCTATAATTTTATTTTATTGAAAAGTCTCCGTTGGCAAACCGTTCCATCTCAAATATTTGAGAAGATAACTTCACATTTTGACTTTTAAATACATATTTTTCACCATCGGACAAACTTTTGACTGGATGGACTTTACACGAACATTACACTTGTCAAAATATTTTTAACATACGATAGTATATATTTGTTCGAACAAATAATGGTCTATCGTCAACGCTCATAGAGATAGACCCACTTTTCTAAAGTATATATTTGAGTACTTTAAAAAAATATTATAGAACAATATAACAAATATTTTACAAAACCGACAACACTTTGACCAAGTAGTTTTTTGAGCTGAACAAAAAGTGTCATATAAACATCTGTCAAAAACCGCTTTTTAACTTCACTTAAAATGCCACGTAAGCTACGTAAGAATATACGTAAGAGGAAGGGAGCATTGAAACATCCAATAGTAAAACTGACACCACAACAACAGTTGCAACAACAAATGATGAATGACCCCACTATGTTGCAACAAATGTCAAGCAACCCTATGCTTTTAAACCGAGTTATTGGTGCACAGAGTGGAGGTTTAAGAGCGGCACTTTTAGCGAAAATGGCAGGCTATGGTGGAGCTGCAGACGGAACAGCTTATAACCCTCAAAGTCAAATGAATTTGAGTTCACTCAAAAATCAAATAACAGATGTCAAAAAGTCAAACATAGACATACAGAAACAAATAAATGAAAATGAAAAGAAACTAGAATATGACAGACACACAAAGAAACTCAATGAGTTAAACGTAGAGAAAAAGAAGAAAGAAGAACAACTGAAAGAACTAAGTACAGAGGAATATGCGAAAAAAGTGTCAGAAAAAGCAGCAGAAGTAGCAAAAATGGAACAAGATGTTATAAATTTGAAAAACCATACTACTCAATATAAAGTACTGAAAGATGAAGAGATAAAACAAAAAGCCATGAAGACATATATGGATAGCGATGAGTATAAAAAAGAAGTTGAAGCAAATGTAAAGGCAGAAAAACTTTTACAGTTGCAAAACCAAACCGTACAGTATGAAAACTTAGCACAAGAAAGTAAAAATAACGACGCAGCCATGCAAAAGGCAATGAAAAGCGCAGAATATATAAAAGCTAATAATGACTGGTTAGATGCCCAAGCCAACGCCAAAGCAGCCCAACTTATAGGGTCAATAAGGACAAAAATACAAGCGGATGAAGACAGTTCAAATGAAGCTTTAATGAATGCTGACTTTAAGAATGCCTTCGAAGCTCTTCATAGTAAGGTGAAACTAGTGAACGACTTCTCATCTGGAAAGAAACTGAAGTCTGAAGGTTTCGACAAAGAGTTAAGAGAAGTAGCACAAAATATGACGAAAATAACAGATGCAGCAACGAGACAGGCAGTTCAAAGTGCCTATGACGCCGTTAGAGCAGCTGTTGTGGAAAGTCAAGAAAAAGAGTTACAACAGACCAAAACAGACCTAGTAAATGCTTTCTTAAAAACGAAAAGTCAAGTAGGACATTATGCTGCAGATGGAACATATGTGCCAGCTGGTGGAACTTATATACCACCAAACCCTCCAAGAGAAGCACCTGCACCAGGACTACCTAAAACATTTACATCGTCACATGGACACAGACACAGGCATGCACCAAAACCAACACAACAACCAACAGTTCAAAATCCAGCACCACAACAACAACCAACACAACAACCAACAGTTCAAAATGCACAGCACCACAACAACAACCACACAACAACCAACCTCAAAACCTCACAACACAACCACAAACAGAGCAAAGACATAAAAGAAGTAGAGAAAAAGGAAACCAAGAATTCTTAAAAATGCTTAAGGAAGATTATGGTTTACCCAGATACTCTTGACTTTAGTGACAGATATAAAGAAGCTATTAGAAAGTTCAAGGAAGGAAATACTGACCCGAACCTATTTAGCTTTATGGCTCAGCATCAAATCGGATATAATCTCAAACCTGGAAAATACAAGCTCGCTAGGGATATGATTTAATAGCATATCATCCAAATGACATGGATGAATTTACTCCGAGATATTTGATGTCAGAGCTAAATGATAATTCAACTCTCTTCATGAAACGCGTAAAAAATAGAGACGGAACGAAAGAAGAAAGGTTTATGAGTCCGGATGACTTAGAGAGGGAACTTGTTAAAAACGGTCTCGGAATATATGAAATGCCAGCAGATGAGGTACAAGAAACTCCACAGGAAGAAGTTCAGATACAACCAGACACGGAAGAAATAGTTCAGCAACAACAGCTAGAAGAGCCTGAAGGAAACGAACAATCCCTCCTTTGGAAACTAACTTCACAGAACTAGATGAAGATTTGGAACAGCCGAAAAATCTTGACCCTCAACAAGTGTATGGAGAATATGGAATCTTTCCAAGAGTCTAAGCAAAATTCGGCTGACATAGTAGAAGAATATCGAAAAATGTTTACCGACATACAAAAGACTCCAACATCAGATGAAAATATTCAGCATAGAATGGAAGTACTGAAAGATAATGTACACAAATACAATAATCCTTTTTACTTACGACCATATAACGTTCAATCTTTGGCTGAACTCGGTGAAAATAAAAGGTTAAATTTCAAGAAAACATATAGAAATGAAACATTGTTTAAAGTTCATTCAGAACCTAACCAATATGGAAACAAACCTACTTTTGTTTCTGCAGACTATGGAACTACAATGAGATGAGGTCATAAAGCTAATCCGGATAGGTGGTTCATAAACTTACAACCTCAATTCCAAGAAGTTGTAGACGCAATGGAAGTCAATGGTGAACCAGATATAGCTGGTATTTTCAGCGCGGCTTTAATGCCATTGAAAGATATGAAAGATGCAGATATTTTGGACCAGTATGAAATGAACATGGCTGAGGGAAATATAACACCTGACGTTCTAGAACATTTATCTCAAAAAACTACACAGAACCATAGAGATGGTATATTTGGTGAAGAGTTTAGAAAGAGAGTTAGGGAGAGAGAAGGAAGAGAACCTATTGTACATGACCTTGCAAACGAAGTTTGCAAAATGTCATAAAAACTTACTTTGCAGACAATGAACCGAGAAGGGATGAATATTTAAAAAACTCAAATGGACAGTACCAAATGAAATGTTAGTATTGAAAAACATGTTCCATGACAAAATAAAACCAACTACAGAAATAAATGACGCAAGACTGAAACGTTGGGTAAAAGCTTTCCCATTCACAAAAGATATTATTGGTAACATGGAAAGAAAACCAGAATGGCTACAAAAACATATATTTGGAAACGAGCTTATTCCATATGGACAAGCTCTGTTTGAAGAGCTTGAACCGGAAACTCAGGAAAGAGTCATGCAAACAATAAACGAGACTCAAATACAAACTATGACAAAATCTTTCTAGGATATGGTTACCTGAGATGGGCGACCAGAGCCCAAAGGCAAAAAGGACATGGGAAATTTACAACATACTAGGTGAACATGAGGCAAAGATGCAACAACTTGAAGCAGAGGGCAAGTTACCAAAAGCGACACCAAAGAAGAAGAGAAGAGTAGAACAAAGTGAAAGTAGTGAAGAAGTAACTTCATCTAGTGAAAGTAGTGGCAATGAAGGAAAAAGAAAAGAGTTAAAAACTCAGTCAGGAAGAAGTAAAGCTTGGTCCGAGTGGTTCTATTATGACATATAAATCCAACTATTCTATATTTTTACCCATATGAAATGTACGCCGCTCAGAATATTACGCCAACAGTTTTGGATGCCAATGAACGGAAATGTTTCCGAATGGTATAACGAATGCGACAATGCCATTAGAAGGTCAGAAATAGTTCCTGGAACTTACGAATATACAACTGCTGTTTCTTATGGAAACGTAGGTGAGTTTGGAGAAGGTTCTTCAACAACAGTAGATATTGCTTGCGACAGGTTTCATATTATTTCTATTGACAACTCATTCTTATACGTGGAACAAAGACATTGAAATAAAACCTTCTGCCAAGTTGTCTGACAAGAAAGGTTGCAATGGGAATTTTCTATGTCGGATACCAATATGCTCCAGAAGTTTTATGGGATATAAGATATATTCTAACTCTGACTTAGTTCAAACAGTAACATGGGCAAAACTATGAATGGTTCGCTTTGAGAAACTCAGTACAACCACAAGCTAGAGAACAAACAGACCAGTATGCAACTATTGAGAAAATAAGAAGACTTGACCCTAACGTTCCAGGAGTTTATGTTAACCTTTCTGGACAAACTGCAGCACTAAAGTAAAACTGAAACTTAGAGTTCCTTTGTCATCTTTCCTCATCTTCAGGTTTTTAAGATACTTGCCAAACTGGGCAGAAAAATTTCTATCGAACTTACTCCAAGCAAAAATAACTTAGTCATTGCACCAACACAAGACCCATTCACTATTGAAGCCAAAGAACAACATCAAACACATTCGCCTTTTGCAAAAACAAAGTTGACTTAGACTTTGGTTTCTCAAACTTCAACAATGAAGTAAACTACTATTTAATGGTGGTGCAAACGTATGGGACCCAGTTAAGTTCACATGCGAAAAATTTGAATGCAAGAGAATAGAAAGCAGACTTGCAGTCTATATGTTGGACCCAGATATTTCAAATGCTTTAGCTGCCAAATATATTGCAGTTCCACTTATGTTCCCTATACACCAAATATCTGTCAAAGACTTTGCAGGTGAAGTTGGAAACCAAAGTGCTGACCCAGGTGCAAGAACAGATATTGCCTTAACAACTGCAATGAAACATGCAGATACTATGTTTGTACTGTTCAGACGAACTATAAATGACTATTCTTGTTTCTACAACCCTGGTATTAAAATATATATAAACATAGATGGCAAATATTATCCAAGAGAAGAATATTCTACAGTTGAGATATGAGTCATACAACTTGACATTAGATGCTATGAACTTTAACAACAACTTCACAACAACCATTAACCCTGAAATGCAAAGTTCTATTATGCCATATGTGAAAGTATGGACTCATACAGGAGGTCAAAAAACTCAATATACAAATGGAGACCGTTCAAACTTTTGGCTTGGCATTCCATTTGCTGACTCAGAAGACTTTATGGGTGGTATTTCAACTGTTGGTACAGTTACAAATACAATATATTGGTGACAGAGACGGTCCAGATGAATTGAGAGCAAAGAAGTTTACAAAACCAATAGCACTTTTCACGGAAGATGCTCTTTTGAAGATTCGTTCGATGAAACCTGCTGGGGCTCCTCAGATTGGCATAACGACAGCTTCCATCGAGCAGATTTTGGCAGCAGGTCAGTAAGTTGTTCTTGACACTTTTCTCTCGTAAATATATGACACACCTGTTTTGACATAATATTGTATTATAAACTTACCTTTAGAAATATCTGTAAGTTTTGAAGTTATATTTTTGTCTGCTTCAAGAACTTTCACCATTTCAGTTATACCAACTTTCTTTGCTTTATAAAATATTTAGGTTCAGCAAAGACTGCTATTCTATAACATTTTCCATTGTTTGTGTAAAGAACTATTCTGTCAATGAACTTGTATTGTTTGTGAGTATAAACTTTGTTTTGCTTCAATTCAAAGAGATATCCGAATACGTCCATCTTTTTATTCTAAGTAAAATGTCATTTCCGAAAAATAGAAGCGTAAGTGTTTCAAAAGGTTTAATGGCGGTGGCAGATGTGAAGTTAAATTCACCAACTCAAACAAACAGTCAAAGTGTTATTGTCAATGTCAAAGACAGAGATGTTGAAATGGGGAAACCATACGAAGACGAAGATGGTATAACAATTGTTCCTGTAAAAGAACCAACATATCCTGAAGTTAACAGAGACTTAAGTTCTGTTGCAGATATTCGAAACGATTACCAACAACTGAAAGACAAACTTCAAACTCAGGAGAAGATTTGTCAAGCTTTAAGTATAATGTTAAACTTGGTCGAACACAACCCTGTAAAAGTGAACTCATATGTCATTGCACCTCATGAAGTTTTGAAAGAACTATTGAAACTTTTGACAGAGGCAGACGATATAAACATCAAAGAAATAGAACCCGACATTAGTTGCTGTGGTGTTTCATATAATGTCATTGACAAGATATACGTTATGAAAGGAGGTGAAACGTTGAACTTAAAATATAGTTTCCCAGACGTTATAAAAATATTTGACGACCACAACATTTCATTAAAATTTATTTGCTAAGTAAATGGCAGAAGACATAATGGTTTATACTATTACGACTAAAAACCCTGAGTCATATAATTCTATAACAACAAACTTACAAAGTCCTCAAGGACGATATTGTAAACTAACCTTAAACACAATGACGACTAAAGCCTGTTTTGCTCTTTTGACACCAGAAGACTTTATTGTTGTGAATGGTAAAAAATACTCCTTTGAAGATACTTACTCAGATATGCCACCAACAGGTTTTGTTGACTTATTTAATACTTTAAGTACGGGTGTAACATGTGCTGCAACTAGAGCAGGTTTCATTATGTTTGGATGTCCGACTGAGTTTACTATAACGATATGAGCTATAATACAAAACTTATTCTGGTTTTTACTACCAACAGTTTCCTATAACAGGAAAAGGTGTCATACAAGGAATGTCTATTCCATTGACATTAAGCACACCAATCTTATATATTGTTTCAAACTTAGGTTCAAAGTGTTATTCGAATGTCGACAGAAACTATTATGACCAAAAGATACTTATGCGTATAAACAATACTTTCTCTGCTGGTTTGCCTATTGTTCATTCGAATGCAGAATTTTCAACCTTAGTGAACACAAACACTTTGGCAAGTATAACGTTGACATTAGTTGACGCAAACTTTGTTCCTGTAAAACTTTTATGTCCTATGTATTTGTCAATGACGGCAGAAAGTTTCGAATTGGAAGATGCAACTGGTGAAAGTATTGTATTACAAGAACAACTTCAACAACAAATCGCTCAAGAACAACAAATGCAACAAATGGAACAACAAAGTCAAGAATAAAAAAATAATATTTTTTTTATTCTTATAAAAATGTACAGAATAGATGTTTCAGATTTTTATGACTTCCAAGCATTCAGAAATATGTGTCCATTTCGAGACTATAACAAAGCAGTCGAGAATTTGAAACGTTTAGTCATTTATGTCGACTCTGCCCCAGAATGTTATGTTATGAAAGAATGGGATGTAGTCTTTAACACAACCTAAAGCGACAATAGTTTCAGAACAAGAATGTAGACAGAAACTTAAGAAAATAAAGTCGTACAAGTTGGCATGAAGATGTTAGATGCTTGGGATATCTTATTGTCAAAACTTGAAGATTTTTCAGTTCGTGGTATAAAGTTTTATACACCTTCTCCAAACTTCTATTCTATCTTCACTGGATATAAATACGAACAAGTAGAATGGAAACACAGTATTATAGAAGCTTGGTTAGACCATGTCAAAGAAATTATATGCAATGGAAACGAAAGAGTCTATGAGTATATCTTATGTTGGTTTGCAAATATCTTACAACATCCAAGTGCTAAAAATGAAACTGCTCTCATTATAATTGGAAAACAAGGAACAGGTAAGAACACATTCTTTACAGATATCTTATGCAAACTGTTAGAAGGTTATTCGAACCCTAATATGACAAACTTAGAAAACATCTGCGGTAAATTTAACTCTTCAATTGAGAATATGAAACTTATAGTTTGCAATGAACTTCAAAGTATAGATACAACAAAAGTTTTGAACTCAGATGCTTTGAAGAGTCTTATAACAGACAAAGTTGGAGTTGTTGAAAGAAAGTATAAAGACTCAAGAGTTTGTGAGAATGTTGCAAACTTCATTATGGTTTCAAACAATGCTGTTCCGATGAAGTTAGAAAGTTCTGACAGAAGATATGTAGTTGTCAGAACGTCAGAAGCTCATATGCAAGATACAGAATATTTTGACGCTTTGTCAGAATGTTTGACATCTGACTTTTACAACCACTTGTTCTCATATTTCATGACATTAGATATTTCTAAGTTCAATCCAAGACAAATTCCACATACCGAAGAGAGACAAACATTGTTAGAAGCAAACAAGAGTGTATATGAACTGTTCATAGAAGAAAGCGACTTTGTGTCATTAGATGAAAGGTCTTTATATGATGAATATAAACAATATTGTCAAGAATATGGTTATATGGCAGCTTCTAAACGAACATTCTTGGCAAATGTCAAAAATCTTTTAGATGTTGAGAATGGCATATATACAAAGAAAAAATTTTTCTGAGTAAATTTTTTAAAAAAATATTTTTTTTATTCTGAAGAAAAGATGACAAAATTCATCTCAGTAAATAAGTATATGAATGAAGTCAAAGATAAGTTAGAGCCATTCACATATTTGAATGTTTACTTCTACCATTTTGAAAAGTCTTCATTCAGCAAAGTTTGGAACATCGAACCAGTTAAGTTTGCTATTGTGACTAAAAATGGTGCGAAATTTGAAGACTTAGACATAGAAGGTTTGTTAACAGTCAAAGAAAGTTTTGACAGAAGGTTTTCAAACCTTAAAGAAGGCAAAGCATACAAACTTGTTATACCTTATGAACCAAAGAAGACAGACGACTATGAATATTATGAGTCTAAAGTTGTAGAAGTTCAAGGTAAATTGGGTAAAAAGATTTTAGAGTCTAAGCCAGTGTTTGCTCCTAAAGAGGAAGAGAACATTGACATTGACCCAGAAATGTTCTAAAAATAAAATTTTATTTTTACATGTCAAATTTCTTCTTCGGTGGAACTGGCTCTGGTTCAGGTTCTTTCTTCTCTTCTTCTACTTTCTTTTCTTTATTTTCTCTCTTCTTCTTTTCTGGTGGAGTTATGTCAAATTTGGCGCAACCATATTTATGTAAAAGTTCTATGTCCTTTAATAGCTCATCTATTCTGTTTTCTATTTCATCTTCAAGAACAGCGCATGTGTCTTCTTTGCATTCTAAGAACTTTTGTTGGACTTCATCTTTCCAATCGGCGTCATCTCTGTCAACAAGTCTGTCATTGACAAATTTTAAGACTGCTCTGCTTAATGTTTTATGGTTCTTGTCATATTCCCAGAAACAGAACTTTAGAACAAATTCACCTTTCTTGTTTACACTATGTAAGATTTTATGGTCGACAGATGTTTTGCTGTCAAAAAGTTTGTCTCGAATATAGATAGCGAAATCGCTAGACATTTTCTAAAAGATAAAAATTTTAATTTTTCTAAAAATATGTTAGAAAAAAGTTTGCTGACATTGACAAGAAATTTGAGAATGTTTTAAACAAGAACAAGAGGAAGTTAGAAAATGCTCAAATAAAACCTATACATGACAAGTTCTTATTTGCTCAGAATGGTATAACAGATCTAATTGCACCACCTGGGTCGGGTAAGACTTTCACTTATCTTAAAATGGCTGCACAACAACAAGAACTAGATGAGAAGAACCCATTCTATGAGTTAGTTGTTATTTGTAGTACTTCGGATCAATTTGACCAAACCGTCAATTCGTTCAAAGATATTATAAAGAAGTCTAAGTTAGTATGTATAAAGGATACTGAGTTGTTAGATTGGATAAAGAAGTACCAAAGAAGAGTTTTGAAATATAATGCTATAAATGAGTATATAAATTCGAAGTTTAAAGACCCAAATGAGGAAATGCAGAGAATATTAGAGAAGAAACACTTCAGAAACAAACAGAAAGAGATAGAATACATTTCGAAGAAATTGCAATCTTACGATTGGAAAACGTACCCTCACAGATGTCTTCTTATTTTAGATGATTTCGCCTCTCATCCTTTGTTAAAGAATAGAGAACAAGATATGTGTCGAATTCTTAAGAAGCTCAGACACTTTAACATCTCAGTTGTCATTTGTGTACAGACAGCAAAGAGTTTAAGTAAGGATGCTAAAAGAATACTTACTGACATAATACTTTTCCCCGGATTGTCCGAAGACGATTTCATGGAACTTATGAAAGAGTCCATGGCAGGTAAGTTTGACAGACATGAACTATGGGAGAAGTACAAGGTCATACAAGACCCTCATACTTCTTTCAGAATTCATATCTACGCAAACAAAGTTCAAATTGTAAAAAGTCAAGCTTGAAAAATGTAAGTGTTTAGTCTTAGTAAGTCTGTTGTGGTGCTGGGGCTGTCGGTTCTTCTGGCTTTGGAAGACATTCAGGAAGAGGAACGTCAGTCATCCGTTTGTGTCCTGTCGGAAGGAAAAATTTTTCCTGTCGGATGGAAAAACTTTTCCTGTCGGATGGAAAAACTTTTTCTGTCGGAAGGAAAATTTTTTCTGAAGTTCGACCAAAAAGTTCTCAATTTTCGAAAATTTGAATGGTTTACGGACGGACAACTGGAAGAGTTCTTCCTGTCGGAAGGAAAAATTTTTCCCTTTGTCCGGAAAATTTTTTCCTGTCGGATGGAAGAGTTCTTCCTGTCGGAAGGAAAAATTTTTCCCTTTGTCGGGAAAATATTTTCCTGTCGGATGGAAGGACTCGGAATGCCAGAAGGATTTGACGAGGCAATTTACCTCATTGAGCTACCTGAGCCATCTGAAGTCAAGCGTAAAAATAAAGAGTGCATTTACCCTACTTGTTTGAAGTTGTCAAAATACTCTGTTATTTTTTCCTTTAACAATGGCAAATCTTCTTTGAAGGTAAAAATTGTACAACCTTTAATATCATAGTGTGTTTGAGGTAAAGTATCTTGAACTATTTGTTTCACATCTTCATTTGGAGTCATTGAAATCGGTAAGTTTTCGCGATAGAACCAATTTCTGTCAGATTTGTAAATCTTAGCAAGGTCGTAAAAGCTTTTGTTGTTTCTTCTGACTAAATGCAACATAACCATGTCACTGTCTTCCATATCTTCAGTATAAATCATATACTTATAGTTCTTTTCCTTTCCTTTTGGTACCGAACGTGGTATTCTTTTCTGAATGCTTTTGTCTTTTGCTTCAGGCTTGTTCTCTAGCTCTTTTCTAATTTCTGTATGTAAATCGTCAAGAAGTTTGTAAACATGCCATGCATAACGAGGAGAAGCCCACATTGCAACTGCATTTACTAAAAGTCTATGTACATAATATCCTCTTAAATTTATTGGCAAATTTTTACGATTTTCATGTGTTTTATGCAAGACCGAGAATTCTCGGTCTAGAGAAATTTCACTCAAAAGTTCTTGTGTGCTTTGGTTTTTGAACCAATCGTCTGCGTGTTTAGTGTCTGGAGCAAAACATGCAGTCAAAATACTTTGCATTTGGTACATATCGTCTTTGACCGAACGAATTAGACGCAATTGTTTGTTATATTGTATCCATTCATATTCTTCATTTATAGCTTCATGGACTATAACTGTTGTTGTGTTCTCGGTTGTTGACATATCTGTCTTTATATTCCGGATAAAAAATATTTTATAAAAAACTAACTTTATTTTTTTAAGTTTGGTCATCCTTCACTGTATGACAAATATACTATATTTTACTTAAAAATATGCAAGCGGCTCATGGCTCAGTGGTATGGGCTACCTCGTTCCAGGCGTCGAAGACCTCGGTTCAAATCCCAATTCGCGCATTTTTTTCCTTTTATGCATTGAAATTGCATGTTCCATTTAGTGTTAGTCATATTTGAATTTACGGTCAAAAATAAATTTAGGTGAACTAGTGCAAATGCACACAACTTTTCACCTCTTTTTTAACCTCATATTTCCTTACTGAAAAAGTATGTGTTCCATATGTCATTTTACTCAGAATTTTATACAGAATTCGGCAAAAATAAAATTTAGGGTAGAAGGGTATATCTACCCCGTTTTCTACCCTTTTTTCTACCATAAAGTTTTATAAGCGTTTTACATGGTAAACATTGTGAATTCGTGAAATTCTAAACAATTTTGTGGCTTCGATTTCCTCTGTCAGTATGTCAAAAGTTTTCACAATATTGAATGTATCTTTATATTTCTTCTTGACATCTGAAAGAAGGAAATCGTCAGCTGTTGGATAGTTTTTGTTTAGAAATGCCAATATGTTCATTTTGTTTTCTGCTGGTTTCTCTATCTCTTTCTTTAAGTCAGCATAGTCGTTTCGCATACGCTCTATTTCCTTGAGGGCATATGTGTAACCTCTAATTGCTGCTTTACATTTAGAACATTGTGGGTTCATTTTAGCATTGTACATTGAAATTTGTCCTGCAAGTACAACTATAGCGTCAATGGTCCTCTTAAATTCAAAACATGCAGGTCTAATTTGTTCGTTCCATACCTTATTTCTTTTGTCTTTATTTCTTATTTCCCAAACACATTTAGCTACTAACGTAACAAAATTGTCATATGTTTTGAATTCTTCAGATTTGTATAAGTCAGATATGTTCTTATATACCATATCGCAGTCTTTGTCCATGACTTTGTGGTTGCAATGAAATCCAAGGAACTCATAGTTAACTTTACGTATGAACTTCTTAATTTCAACTGAGTCGGTTGGTCTGACTTCAATTTCTTCAAATTCAGGAATTGTAAGCTTTTGTTGTTGTATTTCAGGAAGTTTAGGTAGATGGTCAATAATATCCTGCATTTCATAAAGATATTGTTCATTTGTTTCATCTTTTGCAGTGCAATCTAAATCTCCTTGGAGAAGTTCTTGCTTTATCTTCTGGATTGTTGTTTCGAAATCAAACGAATCTGGAATAGTTTTTGACGTATCTACTAACATTGAAGTTGGGTTCATAACTAAAGAGTTTGGTAAAGTTGTTGCTAACATGTTCTTACAATAAAAATAAAAAATATTTTTTTAAAAAACTAACTTTATTTTTTATTTTTTTGTGAAAGTGTCAAAAATAAATTGTTTTCATGAGTTTTCTACGATGGTAGAAAAAAGGGTAGAAAACGGGGTAGATATACCCTTCTACCCTAAAAGTATTTTTCAATACTTTTTCAGCACTTTTCCGTAGTTATATATGAAAGACAATTCGAGATAAAAGTCATAGTACAATGGAATAATATATTGCACACCATTTGTTGTGAACCAAACTTGAAAGTCAGAGAAACTGTTACTAGGTGGTTCGTAGAATTTAGAAGCAAAGTCATAAAAGTCCTTACCAATACATAGAAAACTATTGTTGCTTGAACTGAAACTTGCATGACACATAACATTTTGAGGGTCAAACACGTTTCTATAAACCATCAAATCTGCTGGTGGAAGTATAAATTTAAATGGACCATCTGGTGGTAATGGTTCGTTCTGGTTTAGTAACCGAAGAAATTGTGCCCAAGAACGTTTGTCTACTTCCCAAAATAAAAACTCTGTACCTCTTGGAGGGTTAATTTCAATCTTTTGAAATGAAACGGTGGAGTTCATCTTGTCATATTCTAGTTTCAGATAGTATGTTCCATTTAGTAAAGAGTCGTATTTTTCTTGAAATTCCCAATAATATTTGTTCATTTGAGTTTGAAAGTCATTTAGAGTTTTTTCAAGACTTTCGTCTGAACGAATTGTAAAGATTCTCATTTCGTCAAATTTGTCTATTATACCATCAGGACCTTTATACTGCCCATGAAAATATACTGCGAACATAAATGCGTTAGTTCTATTTGAAAACAAAACTCTTCTAAATCCTATTGCCTTTGCATCTGAAGGACTTTGAAGCCAACGAATTGGATAGTCAAACCTGTATGCTCGGGATGAAATTTCTTCATCTGAAATAGTCCTACCAGCATTTGTAAAGATATAGTCTAACGGTTTTGTATCTGCTACTTTTGTTCTTTGTTTTTCAACCTGAAGCATTTAATATATGTAAAAATATATTGTTTTAAAATGGTATGCCATAGTCTGTAATTTCAATTGTTTCATCTTCTAGTTCGTCGACAAATTCGAATACAATATCTCCAAATTTGCCTTTGTTCTTATTGTTTTCAGAACGAGTGACCCAACGTAAGTTTTCAAGTCTATTGTCGTTTCTTATATGGTTTATATGGTCTACAAAAGGTAAATTGTTAGGATTCAGTATAAAATGAGTTGCAATGACAACATGTTTAAGATAGTGTTTTCCACCCATCTTCATAATAGCATATCCGTCATTTCGCTTAAAACTCTTTTTGTCTTTTTGTTTCTGACTTCAAATGACTCACAACAGTGAATTTCATATTTCTCATCTAACAAACAAGTTTCCCAACAGTCTTCTCCAACAAACTCAGCGTACATTTCAAATAAAATAAAAAATGTCACTTTTTTAAAAAACGTTTTTATTTTATGCAATGTTTTATTTCTGTGCCGTCTTCAAGTATGCCCCAGTACTTACGCTTGGAGAGGACATGAACTTCGGTGAAAATTTTGTCCAATTTGAATTGACCCATCTTTTCACCGACCATACCCATTTCAATGAGTTTGTTGTATCCTTCTTCGTTCGTCATGAGTGCGTCAATGTTCTCATAGTAAACCACAACTTTCGATTTGACTTCGGAGAAGAATTTGTTGTAGTTGTCAAGGACTGCTTTTGCGAACTGAGGGTAAGACCAATGTTCGACAATAGGTTTTAATGTGGTTACTAAGCCACTTTGACCTTGAGTGAATTCGTACTTCAAAACAAAAGGAGAAAACCTTTCAACAAAGTTGTCGACCTTCTCATAATGTTTACTCTTCATCTCTTGAGGTTTCTTAATGGAATATCCCCATGTCGAATTCATAAGCAATTTGAGTGTCATTGCAAGTTTGGGGTTTGAAGCTTTCCTAATATCATACAGTTGTTGTATGACTTTTCCAACTGTATAGTTCCTTCCCGGGAACTCACCATCTTCGTTTGGAATTCCAGTCGGAATATATTGGACAAACCTCATGTACGCAGCGTTAAGGTCGACATAGTATATCTTTTCGTTTGAGTCGAACTTGTCGCAACCAATTGGTCCAGTTTGTGGAAATTCAAGTGAGTCTCTTATCTTCTGAGAAACTTCTCCTGTTATCTCATAAACATCGTCGAAGCAACCTGTTTCATATAAAACCTTCTGACCTAACTCAGATGCTCTCCAATACAATTTGACGTCAATTGGATGTCTCAATGGAAGTTTGTTTATAGCATCTTGAAGTTCTTGCAACCTCATTGGAAGTTCTTCTGGTTCAGGTTGGTATCCGAACAATCCAACTCCTTGTGGAACTGTGTACTTCTTTTGTACTAGAACTTTGTCTGGAACAACTTTTGGTCTTGCTAACAATGAAAAGTTTGTTTCGTCTTTTGGTACAAAAGTTTCTGTCAGCTTGTCATCTGGAATTGGTTCCAACAAACTTTCTCGAAAAGAATGTTTACAGCTCTGACAATGTTGCACTTACCTTTTCCGAACAATGGGTTTGTAAGACTTTCGTTCAACATGAAGTGGTTGTGGACAATTACAATCTTCAACCATGGTAAGTCTTTGTCAACAACATAGTCGTCATGTGAAGAACCTTTAGCTGTAGGTATGTTGACTCGGATATTGACATTTGCCAACGGTGCAATTTTTTGCCAATTGACCTCTGAGAATGTACCTTGTCTTCACACATGACTCAAGATACTTCATCTTCTCATCTGTAACAAGACCAGAGTTCCTGAGACATGTAAGAATACAAGGTTCATTGACAATTGTTTCAATTGAATTGTAAATTCCATACCTTGTCAAGTCAATGTCAGACTTACTTTATGAAGGGGAAGTATCCAGCATGTTGTCTGACTGCTTGAGGGTTAGGTTGGTACCATTCGAACTTGACACTTGCAATTCCTTCAATTGCATTCAAAATGTCTGAGTCGGAGTCAACCATTTGTTCTCTCTTTGTAGTCTTGAAAGCGTCAAGAATTTTGCGGCTGTTTGTTCATTGCCATGTGCATAGTAAATGTGACCATCCAAATCTGTTATGGTCAATCTGAGATTGTGTCCTTTCTTATTTCCGTCTTGTATGGCAGCAAGTACACCCATGAAGCCTTCTTTGTTCTTTCCTTCGTCAAAGTTTACTGTAAAGGTTCGACCAGATGTAATTTGACTTCTAACTTCACGATACTTTTCATAAGCATATCTTGTTCTTTCCATGGGAGCATGTGCGTCTTCACCTTTTCCTTTTTTCCTTCTCAAAGGATGCAATTGTTCGTCATGTTTCCAGTAGAATCTGGCAAAGCCGTCGTGTCCTTCAACTTGAGGTTCACTAACATCGAAAGGCATGTCCATAAGACGTTCTTCTTCTAACCTCTCTAGTCTGTTTGGATAATTTGCACGTGCTGTTTCCAAATCCATTTCGTAGCGAAGACCAGACAATTTGTCATAGACTTTTATGGGTCTTCCCTTCCTATATTTAAAATTCTTCGAAACTCTCCAACCATATCTTTGTAACTCTGCTTTTATTCTAGCAGACTTTCTATCCATTCTATATGGGGCATTTTTATAAAAATAAAAAAATATTTTTTTTTCTTTACTTAACATAACCGCCTGCTGCCATAAGTCTTTGACGCCAACCCATACCAGCTAATGAAGGTTGACTTGGTTTAGTTTGGAAACTAAACTTTGGTTTTGGTTTATCTTCAGTTTTTGGTTTCTCTTCTTCTATCGGTTTTTCGTCACTTTTCGGTTCCTCTGACTTTACTTCACTTGCAGGAACAGTTGTGTCGTCAACATCTTCATAAATATCATATGCCATTTGTTTTTGTTTTCCTTTCAACTTTTTGTGTTTGTTGTAAAGTTTAGAATATTTCGACTCTAAGTCAATGAGATGTTCTATAATGAACTGTTGGTCAGTGAAGTAAACTTTTCCATCTGTTGTCTCGAAAGCTCCTTCAGACTTCAATATTTTATTTGTGAGAGTCTGTTTCTTTTTTGAGATACTAGCCGTTCCATTTTTATGAAAAGTGACTTTGTAGTTAGGATTTGAGTTACCAGATCTGGCACTTTCTATTATTGAATTTTTCTCTTCATCTGTAAGTTCTTTGACAGGTTTTGACAATGGTTCTGAACTTTTTGTTTGTGGTGTCAAATCTACCGTTTCAACTTCTTCGGTCATTTCATCTCAGTAAAAAATTTTAGTTTGGTTTGTTTTCAACTGGTTGTTGTTGTGGAGGTGGGATGGTTCCTTTAATAATATCATTCAGTTTCACATGCTGAGCCTGACTATATGGTATCGGTTTAAATGCTGGAAGCCGACAAATCCATCTTGAACTCATTTGTCTCAATGCTGCATTGTTTCATTTCATCTCAATAAAAAACTTTACATTCTCCACGTTTGAGGCGGTTGAGGTTGGTTATTGTTTACCCACTGTTGTGCATGGTTATATCCTCTGTTAAAGAATCTTCACCTTGGTCCATATAGTGTCCTGCTTGGTTATAGTAGTCATTTGCTTGTTATAATAGTTTCCTGCTTGTCTTCCTACATTGTCCATCCATCCTTGAACTTTTCTTCTTGTTTCAGGATTTGGAATAAGATTTGTTGCATCTCGTGCTACATCCCAACCTTTCTGTACAGTTTGTATAATAGGTTGTCTTTCTCTTTCAGTATACCTAATGTACTCAAAATCTTCCTTCCAATTCCAAATGCACCTCTGGCTATTGTTCCCACTGCGGGTAAAAATCTAGATGCGACTCCTGCTAATGCGCCAAATAAACCCATTTCTTATAGGGTAAAAAATGACGAATCCGAACAAGGACCCCATGTTTTAAAGCGACAAAGAAAGCACTCATGATAAAAATCTTTAGTTCAACACGCAAATGCTTGTTTATGGATATCTTGGAAAAACATTCCGAGGTATAGAGAAGATGGACCACCATACTGGTTAATATTTGTTGGTCAAAACACAAGATACTGTGAAGCCATACCATTACAGTCCAAAGCTATTTTAGATATCTTAGCAGCTTGACAATATCGTTGACAAATACCATCCAACAAAACTGACACATCTGACTGTGTGAAGTTCTTTCAAATCAGATGATGTAAAAAACTATCTGCGTTCAAAAATGTAAACCAATATTTCATTGTCGACCAAAACCATTCTGCTCTTGGTGTCATTGACGGTTGTATAAAAATGTTAAGAGACTTAAACCAACCACAAGGTGGTGAGGTAGATGAAATGTCATATGACGACAAATATAGACACTTCTCCATGGCAAAGATGAGACAAGTTTTAAATATTTACAATAACCGTAAACAAAAAGGTGGGAAACCAACTCCCCCCGAAGAAATGAAAAACAACCCTGACTTAGAGAAAGACTATATATTTAATAATTTAGTCAAAAGAGACAAACAAGAAAGAATGCCGGGCTTCAAACTTCAGAAAGGTGACAAAGTAAAAATAGAAATACCTAAACGCGACCCATATGAAAGTACTATTGACTATGACAACAATGGGAACTCGACAGGTACTCACATTCGTGTTCGTAAAAATAGAAGAAAGTATACAAGAGAATATTATGAAGTTTTAGGCAAATATGGCAAAATGTACACACTGCAAGCAGAAGATAAAACTACTATTGTCAGACCTCGTTTCAAACTTGTCAAAGTTCAAGGTGGTATACTTTCAAAGACAGTTCCTAACAAATATAAGACAACTCCTGACGAATATGCTAAAGGAGTTGAAAATGACGACTAAGCAATTCTATACCATGCGTAAACTGTCATGTAAGGTGGCATGTATTCTTTACTTTGTCCCGTTGTTTGCGTATATCCTGAAACGAAATGTGTATGGTTTCCTTCTCCCTGCGTGTTATTCCAGTAACAATTTATAGCAAACTTAACGTCGTCTTTAACATCATATCCTTCACCTTTTGTCATTCCTGACCAATCCCAATATCTATGACTATGCCAACCTGCTTGAGATGTACTTAAATCTATGTAATGACTGTGTGCAGGTAAATTTTCACCTGAAATCGTTTTACTTCCACCTGTTTCCTTTGAAGAGTTTGCACAATACAAAAACCTGTCGACTATTTGTTCCCATGCACCAACACCAAACATTACTTGAGGACCTCTTGCATCCATATATGTATAAATAAAACCTACTGGGTTCATTAAATCAAACATATGAGATATTATAGGATTGTCTCTTTTGAACTTAAAATATAGTGCAACTATTTCAGGTTTCTTCTGGTTTGTGTCAGAATATTTTTTATAATATAATCTTATGTTTTCAGGGTAGGTAAAATCTTGACTATAATATTTATTTCTGTCATCTGTATAATAATATACTATTCTCGTTTTTTCTATTGCATTATATCTTTTATATCTATAATAATCTAAATATAATGTTAGCTTTTGTTCATCTACATGTGGTGTTCTGTCGTCATCTCCATAGTCATAATAATGTGGTGCCGGAGCTGGGTCAGGTAATATCATATCCACCATTTCATAAACTCTTAAATATTTCTTTTGTTCGTCTCCATATAAGTTTAAGTAGCAGTTGTTGTCTAATGGAACTTTAACTTGTGTACCATCATTCTTTTTATAGCTTACATACATTTCATTGTTATTTTTCGGAATGAGTTTATACCGTGTACCATTTTCTAAGGACTGTACCAACTGCCATCTAAAATATTTATTTTCTTCATTGACAGAAAAGTCACCAACAATAGTTTCAATATTTTTTGTTCCTATCAAACTTTGGTATATTTCATTGACATATGTTTTATCTGCTTTATTTTCAAGGCTAACGTTTAAGTCTGTTATTTCAGAAGATGTATGTGTATGTCCAACGTCACTTTTCCTGTTTAAGGTTTCTTGTAAGTTTGTTGTAATGCATGAAAATTCGGTTCACTTCATTTTTGACACTTTACATATCGGATGTATTATCTAAGAATTATATTATAAAATAATAATTTTGTGTTTTATAAGTTTATTTGTATAAATTGATTCAAAAAAAATGGAAAGACAAGAAGTGGATCTGCCAAATGAAAATCAGATTTATAGTTTTAGAGAGTTACATACATGAAATATGAAAATTGAACTTTGTATAAGGAATTGTTGGCTATGATGTACTGATCATGAATCAGTACATCATAGCCAACAATTCCTTCGCAAACAGCGGGAAACTTTGTCTGAATAGTTTAACATTCAGACAAAGTTTCCCGCTGTCAGAGAGGGAATGGAAGGGTAAGAGGTATATATTCATAATGTATACCTCTTACCCTTTCATTCCCTCGAGAAAGTTCAAAAACTTGGGTGCAATCAGAACTGATTGCACCCAAGTTTTTGAACTTTGTATAAGGAATTGTTGGCTATGATGTACTGATCATGAATCAGTACATCATAGCCAACAATTCCTTCCCAAACAGCGGGAAATTTGTCTGATTCCACACTAATTTTATTAATTTATCTAAACTTTTATCCTCGTCTACAATTTAATCATCAATAATTATCTCTTGTTCTATTTCACTATTATATATATATATATATATTTATATGATTTGATTTAAAAAAAATAAATAAATAAATTAATAAATCATTTACTCAAATATATCAAAAGTTTTATTTTTATATATAAAGATAACTACTTTTAAAAAAAATACCCTATATATTTTTGCCATGTAAACTTGTCACTTTTGTCAGAAGTAAAGTGAACCGATAGCACACTTTATGTGAGAATTGTATATGACAAACAAAATTCACAAGTGTCATTTCAAATCTACGAAGACAATCCAAATAAAGACGAACAAATATATACAGAATTCACTGCAATGTCATGGTATTATTTGCAAAGAATGTTAAATCAGAAAGTTGAACCTCCTTTAGCAAATATCTACAGTCGATATGCAAGAGATGAACCATATTTATTTAAAGATGTTTTCGACCAAGATGCTATTATTGTTCATGCTTCATTTTCTGGCGCCCAAAACTCTTTCTTATGCTTGGCAAATGACTTTTACGAAAAACCTACAAAGTTATACGAACCACCAAGTGGAAGTATTTCAGACTTTCAAGTATGGTTTACAACAGATGGAAGAAAAAGAATAATTCCATTATACCATGCGTTTTACTTAGAACTTAGTTTCATATACAACTACTATCGAACGGTAAAAATATAATTTTTTAATACGGTTGAGGTGTTGGATTTGGTTGCCAACTTGACTGTGGTGCAGGTTCAGGCTGTTGTATAACAGGAACTTGTTCTTCTGGTTCAGGGTCTTTAGGTATAATACCAACAAACTGACCTACTCTTTTACCAATATTTTTGACACCGTTCCATACTCCTCTTCCGACAGATTTTATTCCATTCCATATACCTCTTCCAACATTTCGAAAGAAGTTTCCTATCTTACTGAAGAAACCCATTTTACTATATGTAAAAATCTAATGTCCGCCTAGTCTCTTACGTTTCCTGTTAAGTTCCATAGCATTCTTTAACTGGAGCTCATACATTCTGTTTCTCCTCTGGTAGAAAACATATTCTGGGTCAACTCCTGTGTTCGCGTCATCTGCATAAAGTTGTTTATATCCCACTTCAGGGTTTGTATAAAACTCTTTCCATCTCATATTTGCATACCATGGTGGCAAACCTAACGCAGCGTCATTTGACATGGCAGTTTGCATTTGTACATCTGTTGGCACTTGACCATAGTTTGCCATTGCAGTTTGTATTCTAACTTCATTTGGAATATTCTCTGGGTTTGGTTGTCCAGGTTGCTGTGCATTCGCTAAGTTCTGTGCGTCCATTTAATATTAGATAAAAATATCTCTTACGAGTACATATGCTGAACATTTGCAGGCATTGGTTCATCTTCATATTCTCTGTACTTTTCTGCCGCGTCAAATAAATAAATGACACAATGGAAAAAACCTAAAACAAGTAGTCCTATTTCAAACCACATTTACTTACTAATAAAATTTCTTTATTGTGACACTTTCTCCAGTTTATAGGACCTCTCTCATATTCTATCTTGTCATATATAAACTCATAGTCATGTATGTCCTCTAACCATCTCATAACGGTTTCCAAACCACTTTTATCGGATGTAAAGTAAAAGCATAGATGGTTATGTATAACGTCTAAAGTTTCTAAAGAGTCTCTCAAAGTCCAGTCTACTTGGTATTGAAAATCCCATGTGTTATAGAACGGCGGGTCCACTATAAAGAAAACATTTTCCTTGTCTTTATATTTTTCATACAACTCTGTCCAATGACATCTCACAAACTCTATACCCTCAATATATTTTTCTATGTCCTCTTTGAAAACATTTGTATAGTTAAGATATAAAACTTTTGACATAAGTGTTTCAATGTCATGAACTCTTATAGCACCACTATATAATAGTCTAGCAGATATACTATCCCAGTCTATATATTCTGCTTTTTTCAAAACCTCTCTCACAATATTTTTCTTATCTAATGGTATACGTTCCATCTTACCTATAGGTATCTTTTCTTTTAACTCTTTCAATATATTGTTTGTGTCTGGAATATGTTTGAGACGGTTCATATAGTTGTCGAAGTCATTGCATATAATCTTTGAGTCTGGGAATATTGTATGACATAAATGGGATATATAGAAACTTCCACCGAACAAATCTACAAATGTTAGACCATTCGGTAGTTTCTTAAGTTCTCTCAATATAATATCTTTACATCTACTCTTATTTCCAAAGAACGGTAACGGTGGTTTTGTAAAATTCATTTATATATAATAATAAAAATGTTTTTACCCGAAAAGTGACAGAAAAGTGACAAAACATGAAAACATATATAATTTGTGAAAAGTGACACATTATATAATGTTTTCGACCCAGAAGAAGGCTTCTTCCCAGAAACAATGGAGGAGGAAGAAGAGGAGGAGGAAATACAAGACTCTATCCAAGAAGAGTCCTCCGAATTCACACCAGAAGACTAACAATTTTCCGAATAAAAACTTCATTTATACTAAACATCTTCGGGGCTAGAGGGCGCAACGCGCCTGGAAGCCCCACTACCTTTTTTTTAAGGATATTCTGGTATTGATTCGAGAAGTATATTTCAAGAAAATAAAACTGGCAGAACGGTTTTAAACAATTCAATAATAAACATCATTTTTAATGCTTTTTACCCTAATTGTTGATTGTGTCTGTGCTGGTAATCTTATATATGATCAAACTAGATTGGTCATTGTTGGATGCACAAGTGATTTTGATGAAGATATTGTTATTGGGGAAAATGTAAAAGAAATTTACAGTGAAGGTCAGAATAAATATGCATTTATGAATTGTAAAAAGATTCCTTCAATTTCTTTCAAAAAAAAAATAGCAATCTCATAAGTATTGGGAAATATAGTTTTCCCAATACAACTATCCAAAAAGTAGATCTCGAAAACTGTGAAAATCTTGCATTTCTTAACGATTCTGTTTTTGAAAGTTGTTCAAAATTGAAAACTGTATCACTTCCAGAAAGAATTTCAAAAATTCATAACTATTGCTTTTACGGGACTACAAGTTTATTGACAATAAAAATACCAGATTCTGTTGAATCTATCCAGAGTTATGCATTTTATAAAAGTGGTTTACAAACAATTCTTATTACTGGAAACTCAAAATTAAAAGAAATTAGCTTTGATTGCTTCTCATACACAAAAATTTCTTCGTTTTATATTCCCAAGTCTTTAACAAAACTCGATATTTCAAATTTAATCAATTGTCCATTAAATGAAATAAGAGTTCATCCAAATAACATGAAATATAGAGGTGATGTTAATAATAAATTTCTTGCTAGTGGAAATACGTTAATTAGAGTTGTTGAGTCATGTTCAGAAGATTATATTGTTGATGATTTAATCACATCTATTGCTCAATATTGTTTTTATAATACTAGAATTTCATCAGTTAAACTTAATGATAAAATTCAATATATTGGGAATAATGCTTTTAAAAATTGCTATTCATTAACAAATATTATAATACCTGGAAGTGTAATCGAAATAGGATTTAATGCATTCTTCGGCTGCAATCATTTAAAGGCTATTAAATTTTTAAGCAATAGCAATAAAATAATTATTGGTTTTTCTTTATTTGATGGTATTTCGAACCCAATAAATATTTATATTCCTGGAAAGTTTGACCTTAATTCTTCAATAAATAAGTCTTTTCCAATAGGAAGCCATTTATATATCACAAGTCATACGACTTTATCAGATTCATCCAAGACTTTTTTTGGTAATCAGTCAATGATAGTTCACTTCAATAATCAATCTATTATTGCAGATACAACAACAAATGCAGTCATTCGTTACATCAGTATATACATCATACAAAAAACTGAACCATTTCCATTCTTCATTTATAGTGGCAAAAGAAAAATATATAAAAAATAACATAAAAAACAATTAAAAGTATTCACTAATTAATATAGGGTGTCCAAAGGTGTGTTTAGCACAAACCTGAATACTGCGAATAGAAATAAACAAGTTACATATATATAAAGTTTATTTAAATATAATCACCATTGGATTCAATCACGCGTTCGCAGCGATCGATCCAGGCTTGAAAGACACGCTTTAAATCATCATGAGAAAATTGCTCAAATTGCTCTCTTACAAAATTTTCAAGATCATCTGGACTCGCGAATTCGCGTCCTTCAGCTCTCTTTTTTAGCGTGCCGAATAAATAAAAGTCAGAGGGTGCAATATCAGGTGAATAAATTGGGTTTGGAACAACTTTGACATTGTTTTCCACCAAGTAATTCATTACCTTATGACTTTTGTGAACTCTTGAATTATCAAAATGAATTGCAAACATTTGTTTTTGTTGTTTGGATTTCTCAAACTCATCAGAATTGATAATTTGAGTAAGAACATTGTCAATTAGATACTGAGCATTCATCGTATTAGGTTTTTGAAGAATATCAATTGCGATGATGCCATTCACGCCCCAAAAAACCGACAACATCATCATTGGTGTGTCAATTTTTTTCTTCGGGAATGTTTGCGGATTTTCATCCTTCGGGATCCACATGATTTTGGCTTCTGTTGCATATTGAAACCAAGACTCGTCCCCTGTTACTAAAAAGCGAAACTTCTTGGATTGATACGCACCCAATATAGAGAGGAGCTCTTTCGAAGATTGGACTCTAGATTTTTTTTGAACTGAATTAAGGTTGTGCGGAACCCAACGTGTATACGCTAGTTTGTAGTTCAAATAATTGTGCAGATAATAACTGACTGTTGTAGGTGGTATCTTTGTCATCTCCTCTATCCTTCTGAGTGATGCTCTTGGGTCTTCATCTAGCGCTTGAAGAATTGCTTTGATTTTTCTTTGATCCGGCGATTTTTTGTCAATTTTTATGATGGGCGCCTTTTTGTTCATGAAGTGATACATCCTAACATGATACGTTACAGTGGAATAGCTAGTGTTTCATATTAAGTTCTGTCAAAATGTAAGCTATTGAATTTTTTGAGAGGGAAATAATCATCGAGGAAGTAAAAAGTGACGCTTTAGGAAATATTATTAGAAATATGATAATAAATATATTTGGAAAAAATATGTTTTTTTCAAAAATTGAAATGTTCATAGAATATTTTGAAATATGTAGGGAATTGAATTCGGTAATATATGATAAACAGGATTTTTAAATTTCAAGGAAAAATAGCTTTTGTGAATACTTTTGAGAACTCTTCTCAAAGATCATGATTCAAATATATTAAGGAGCCAAAATATTAGAGATGAGTTCACAATCAAAATTTTCTCACTTTTCTTCCAAATTGACATCCTTACTCACCACTTTCAAGTTTTTCATACATATATCTTACCCATTCATTTGGAATACGAGGTCTCGAGTTTTCGTTCATTTTTTTTACTTTACAAAACTGTTTATTTTTCAGAATTTTTAAATTTGAAAAAATCCATTCTATATCTGATAAATAATATATTATTTTTCAATCAAAATATTTTGATTATCATCTCAAAAGTGTTCTCAAAACCTAGTTTTTCTTATTTTGGATAATCTTAATATTTATATTATTATAAACTAATTGAACACCATATGTTTTTGTATACTTTTACAAAAAAATTGATAGATTTGTGATACTTTCCCCGACGATAGAATTGAATAGCTTACATTTTGACAGAACTTAATATGGAACACTAGGAGCATCCATACCGAAGCATTTTACCAATGTCTCGTAGATTTTTTTACAGTCTTTGCATTTTTTTGCAAGAGCGAGGATGTTTTCTTTATGATTCATTAAAAAAATGAAAAAAATCCCGCCAAAATTTCCCGCGAAACCGCCTCTTGTCTCAAAATTCATTTTATATCCCGGCATGGCGCCAAAATACAACATACTCATCATATACATATATTCATATTTTTTATTATATATTTATAATCAGCATATATCTCCTTTAATAGTCTCATATAGAGCGCTGTGCTAAACGCACCTTTGGACACCCTATATAATCGACTCGTTCTCTTTCCATATCAATTTGGATGTAAATGAAACTATTTTACACCCAATTTACATGTAAATCTCTTTAAACCAATTATGAAAATGATTTGAAAATATAGATCATATATAAATTGTTTTGTTTCCTATAAACCATTGTTTAAATTTCTAAACTTATAAAGCATTTATCAACAAATCATTGAGATATCTATAGCTAATTATTGATGAAAGTATTCAGTTCATGCAAAGAAAATCTTCTGTAAATAAGAATTGACATTAAAACTATCTGTACAACATTTTGAACGTGCTTTGGGAACAGAAAAATCTTTAATTGATATATAAAAAGAAATAAATGTTCTACATTGAAGAAAAAAAAAAGAAATAAACTATTTAAAACAAAAACAAATTAAAAATAATAAATAAAATAAAATAAAATTAAGCTTTCTGGATGCAGGTATCACAAACTTCGTCAATAGTCTGGAAAGCGATTTCGTCTGTTATCTCTTCAACGAGAGCGAGGAAAGTGATGGCTCCAATTGCGCATTGGTCGACAGCTCTCATTGCAACACTTTGTACGTCATCCTCAAGGGAAGGAACGACTTTTAGCGAGAATGTGGCCATCTGTGCCAATTTGGCGTTCTGAAGAGCAACATGTTCTGGTGGTCTCGGGTGAATTATGGCCATCAGATCGTCTTCTGACATAGAAGTAGAAATTAAGTTGTTCTTTCGAGACCTCGTCCTATGTTGTCCCTTATTTTCATCTCTTTTGAGGTTAGGAAGCTCTCCAACGGTATCTTCCGAGTTATTTTTGACTAATTTCTTGTCATTGTCTTCTATGTTGATATTTGCATCGAAATTATTACCAGACTCCTGCGTTGGTGCTGAAATGTCTGTAATTTCTCTCTGTTTCTGATCTGAATTTTGATTATTTGAATTTCCAAGTTTCATAGAGAGTGGATTTGGAGATGTAGGCTTCTGTTCATCATTGCTACCGAATGCATACATTGATAAGAGCGGACTTGCTGATGATGAAGCAGATATCGACTTTGGTTGGTTCTTTTGTGAATTTTGTGGACTTTTTGTGTCCTCTTTCGGTTTGTTTTCGGTTTCTTCGGCCTTTTTCTCTGTATCGGATATCTTTTCTTGTATTTGATCAGTAAGGTTGATAGAAAGGGCTCCTTTCTGTTGGGCATTCTCTTGCTGTGGTTCTTCCTTCTTTTCTGAAAGTTTTTGTTGAACATTTTCTGAGATACCGATAGAAAGTGCGGGTTTTTGCTCCGGAGATGGTTGCTTTGGTGGTACATTCTCTGCTTCTTCTGTTTTCTGTTCGGTTTCGGCCACTTTTTCTTGGAATTGATCTGTAAGATTGATTGCCAATGGTTTCTTTGGTTCTTCTTGTGGTTTAGCTGGTTCTGGTTGTTCCTGTGGCTTTTCCTCTTCTTTCTCGGCCTTCTCTGATGTTTCTGAGATTTTTTCTTGAACCTGATCTGTTACATTTATTTCTAAAGGCTTCTTTTGCTCTTCTTGTTGTTGTGGTTGTTCTTGTGGCTTCTCATCTCCCTTTTCTGCCTTCTCTGATGTCTCAGAAATCTTTTCTTGGACTTGATCAGTCAAATTGATTTCTAAAGGCTTCTTTTCTTCTGGTTTGTTATTGTTTGTGTCCTCTTGTGGCTTTTCTTCAACAGGAGTAACGGATTCGAGCTTCGTTTTATCAAATATGTCTGCATCTTCATTATTATCCTTTACAGGCTCTGCAATAGCTTCTACAGGTTTGATTGCATCGCCAAGTGAAAGAACTGGTTTCTTGTTTCCAGTGATATCAGAAATAATTCCAGAATACGACTCATTAAAGAGATTTGAGATCATATCCTTTGTCTGTTTATCGAGTTCTTCATTGTTAAGCAATCCATCGTCTTCAAAGTCTTTTTCTTTAGATTCATTATTATCATTTTGAATTTCTGAAATAACTTCGCTAACTGTTTCATCGAGCATGCTGTTCATGATCTTACTAGTCTCTTCGCCGCATTGGATGATGTCATCTTCGGTTTCTACGCCTTCATTTGAATCATCGTCGAAAAGTTCGGAATCAGAGACTGGATCTGTCTGTGTAGCAACTTCTGGCTTTGCAGGAGGAAGTGGAGCCAATTTGGAGTTCGGTCTCATTGGAGAAGATCTCGATTTCGATTGTGAACGCTGAGTTGTATCCGGAGCGATGATTCGTGGTCCTTCCTTTGGATTAGCGGTTCTGGCCAAGTCCCTGTTCGCTAGTTTTGCCTTTGCCTGATTTAAAGATTTATCTGGCATAATTGGCTGGCTAGGAAGCATTGCTTGGCGTGCACGTTTCCTTTCGGACATGTAGAGCTGCATTTCCTTTCTTTGCTTCAAAATCATTTGTTCGCGAGAAGAATTGTAGTCGCATTCGAAATTCTGAGAGTTTTCCATGTTCTCCTGGTTCTCTAATTCTTCGATTTCATCTCTTAAATCTTTTGCATCTTGTTTACTCATTGTTCTTGCATTTTGATTGTATTCTCGCTTCTTTGAGGCCAATTGAGGGGAATCTTGGAAGTATTTGTTACGTATCTGAGAGTCCCAAAGCTGATCGAAGTTGTTAAGTAATGATTCATGGCGTTGTTTCATTTGAAGAATTCCTTTTTCTGTTTCTTGATCGAATTTGATGAGTTTCTTACCTTCAACAGAGTTCTTAGGGAAAGTTACTGGCTTCTGTGGTGCGAGACGTGTATTATCTATTCTTCTTCTTGCTTCATGATCAATTTTTGATGAAAGTTCCTGATATTTGCGTGCTTCAACGTAATTTCGCTCAGTTATAAGTGTTTCTATCCTTTTAGTCGTGTTTTTCTGTAGTGCAACCAATTGCTCATTTGTAATATTTTTAAAATCACATTCTTCAAGTAATTTTTCTCTCAATTGCTCTATTTTAGCTTGTTCTGCGGCGGTTTTCTTTGGCAGATTCTTCCGCGTATTCTTATTTTTAGGGCGCGTATTGTAAGGGAACATATAACGTGATTTTTGGACGATAGAATTTTTTTGCAAAAATAAATAAAATGAAGAAATATTATTTGTAATTTTGTTTTATGTATGTTTGATTCAAATTTTTATCTTTTGAGAAGAATAAAAAAGTGACATGATGAGAGTTTCAAGAGAATCAAGTCCACGTCCAACAATAAGTCCAAAAGATTATACGTATAAATCTGGGTTCGCCAAATTCGATAATTCATTATTTATCAAAAATGCAGAAAAACCATCAAAATTTTGGGTAGTTTTATCACTTATTTTGACAGTTTTCTCTTTGGTATATCTTTTCAATGAAAATAATGAATTTAGTGAATATATGGGCCCGCTAGCATTAATATTTTTCATTATAACAATAATTTTAATAATAAAATACCGCAAAGATGCAAAATTCTACGAGAACCACAAAAAAGTTATGATATATATCGAAAACATTATTCCGCAAACAGTTAATTTAAATAATGTCCTTCAATTTTTACAAATTGAAATTACTACTGATCAAAAACGCAAAATACTTAAAAGTCTAACACAATTACCACAATACGACGTAAATTTTGATACGATGACGATTGTTAAGCGCATGTAAAAAGAAAATTTCATATTTCTTGTTTGTTTTCAGCCTTAATAGTATAAACACGACTATATTATCTAATTAATTATTAACCTCTATTTTTTATTATCAGTAATAAGAGTACTGGAAAATTCAAAATTAAATCAAGTTTTCGAACAAAATTTGATATGTAACAAAGGTTAAAATTTAATGTTAGCATGAAATAATTACTTTTTCTTTTGGAGAATACAATTGATTTACAATTTGAGTAAAAATGAGATTCCATGTGTAGTAATACTTTATCATATTATGTATTTGTTTATAACAAACTTACTCATTATATATATAAGGATGCATTTGTAATATATTCTCTCTAGAGAGATTCTATTCAATTATATCTTTTTTATTGTAAATAATGTTCATGACTACCAAAAACTAAGATCACACACAAACATGAGAAAGATTGTATTCATATGTTGGGAATCAATAAGCTAGAAAAAGGGATTTTATATAATCAATAAATGAATTTCAAATAAAATGGGATTTTTGGATGGAATGCAATGTCTCAATCCATTTTTGTTTTATTATGATTTAAAAGACTCATCTTCCTTACTGTTTCAATTGACGAAGTTTATTGACATTGATCGAAGAAAAAAAAGTCGTAAACTGAGAAGATTTTGATCGTATTTTAGACAGATTTTTTTTGAAAAAAAAACGATAAAATTTAAAATAAATAATATGTTTAGAAAAAAAAATAAAATATCTATTAAAAGTAAAGATCAGTCGATCTTTTCTATCTCGACATCATGACTACTGCCTGAAAAACTGTCGTCGATGTCGAAATCGTCGTCAGACAACTTCTTTTTGCTGGATTTCTTCACAGCAACCTCTGGAATTGCGCTTGGAATGGCTGTTCCGACGTATTCAGTTGGATCTTGGTCCAAAATTCCGATATCATTTTCAGAATCCTGGAAATTGCCATCATTTGCGTTAACCCAACCACTTGGATTGAACTTGAACCAGAAGTAGCCATTCATTGACAACAAACAGATCAAATAAGTTGGAGAAATTAATAATGCGACTGTATCCACGAATCTGGCTTCAACTGTTGTCAATCCGATAGTGAGAACAACAATTGCGATGGATACGAGTATGTACGATGCAAAAGAAGCGACAAAAGATACCAAAAAATTCTTTCTTCGAGAATCTTCATTTGTTTCTTCAGGAGCCTTCTTTATTGCAATGATTGCGATGGCTACTGATGAAATAGAGAGTATAAGGAAGTCTAGGAACGGGACAGCGCCAAATCCAAGGAACCATCTTCCATTTTGACGGGAATTGATGGTTGTTATGCCTGTAATGTCGACAAATGATGATGGGGATAATGTAAGAAGGACGGCAGCGAATGGATGAATCTGAATTTCAAGAGGATATTGAAGTCCAAGAATTGTGCAGTATAAAAGGCCTGCAAATGATGCAGAACGACATACCGCTGCAAGAATAATGCAAAGAGTAGCTGCGTGGTCGAGATAAGTCCAAAGCCAAAACATTATTGATTCGAAGAAGAAATAACCCGCTGCGAAGCCAGCAGAACCTATAAACATGTAGTGTTGGGTTGTTAGTTTTGGTCTCCTCTTTGTAATAAACATAAACCATCCAATTGTGAAAGATATTCCGAATAAAGTTAAAATTGTAATTATGTACTTAAAAGAAGAAAGACGCAAGTCGACATATCCTTTTTCTGAATGAACTTTAATGTATCCATTCAATCCAAATGGTCTATCGCCGCAATTTGCTAAAATTATTGAATAAAGTTCGCGATTTTCAGATAATGATAAAGCTCCAGGGTATTTCTGAGATAGCATTTGTTGTCCTCTTAAAGAAGCTGGCTTGATATTGAATTGCTTGTTTTCTGGGTCTTGAGGAATTGGATTTTTGTTTGATTTAGATTTCTCTTCAATTGGCTCACCATCAATTTGGAATAATCTATAAACTACATCAGATTTGTTATTGAAAACAATGTAATCTGGATTGCAATTTTTCATATTCGAATCACAGCAAATAGGCTGATGATCAGGATTATCTGGGAAGACATTCTTTCTCGTTTTCTCTGGGAAAATGAATAATTCAAGGTGGCAGGTGCCTTTGCATTGTAAAAATGAGAAATTTTGTTCTAAAACACCACCTTCAACATCAATCCATCGTTGAACAACATATCCTGTAGGCATTTTGTTGTTAGTAAAATGGATTAAAGTGGATGAAACTGAAGAAAGAAGGAAGGAAAACATCTTTTTTTGAAAAAATATTTTTGGGGAGTTCTAGAAGTAGATTTTTGATTTCTACAAATAAATTTTAATGGCTGAATATATGAAACTTAAAAATGATGATAAAATGATAGATTTCGAACTATTTTAAAAATTTACAGGCGTGAAGCCTGTTAAAAATGCAATAAAAGTGTAATTATCTTACTAATGATAATTTTTGATTCTCATCCCGAAAGGCATTTGAATTAAAAAAAATAATCGTTTTGTAGTTAATTTTTTTTAATGTCTGAACAAGACATTCATCTAGATAAATACACTGAATTGCGAAGTAACCATAAACACTACATAGATTTGTTTATTGCATTATATCAGCTGAAAACGGAAATAAAGACGAATTAATCAAGATTTACAAAATCTTGCAGGTAGAACTGAATGAATCAAAGAAATGTCTTCCCCAAAATATGGTTAAGGACATTTTAAATATAATCCCGTATAATAATCGCTATAAAAGGTCATATTTATTTCTTGCCAAACTCATTTGTGATGATTATCAAGTGGAAAAGGTCATTGGTGTGGAAAATATTTCCACATACCTGTTTTATAAAGGATATGGAATTAAATTAGACAAATCTGCTGATATGGGAATAGAAAAATTAGTAAGACATGATATTCATACAGAAAATACAATTTACAGAGCAATTATGTATAATGACTTAGAAAGATTCATCCAATTCACGGAAAGAAAAGAATTTTTCGAAGATCAAAAATTTTATAGTTTATTATATCCATCAAATCTCGAAGGATATTCTTTACTTGAATTATGTTGTTACCATGGAGCAATTGATTGTTTCAAGTTATTAAGGACAAAATTTCAATCAGAAATAACTAAGCTATGTCTTGAATTATCATTTTTAGGAGGAAATCAAGAGATCATGAGTGAATGTCTGAAATATCAGAAACCAGATGAAAAATGCATGGAATATGCAATTATTTCACACAACATTGATTTTGTTACATTCTTGATGAATGAATACAATATAGAGATCGATCTATATTATTGTGGAAAATATAATAATCTTGATGCAGTGTTAGTTTATTTCGATCAAACTAATAATATTAACAAATGCTTTATGTACTCAGGGATGTTTAATATTCCATCCCTTTCCGAATATTTTCTTTCACTTGGTGCAAATATTAACGAAAAACATAAAGATGGACTCACAGCTCTTCATTATGCTGCAATTAAAAATAGTGAAGAAACAGTTAAATTTCTTGTTTCACATGGTATAAATATCAATGAAAAAAATAAATGTGGAGAAACAGCTCTTCATTATGCAGCACAATATAATAATAAAGAGATTGCCAAACTTCTTATTTCACATGGTGCAAATATCAATGAAAAGGATAAAGACGGAAAAACCGCCCTTCGTTATGCATTAGAAAATAATAGTAAAGAAACAGCAGAACTTCTTATTTCACATGACGGAAGGATATTATCAAAATAAATGTCAAATATAATATAAGATATTTTGAACATAATATAGTTACCGCATCACATAGTCAAACTTAGTTCTTTTCAAATTCATGTGTGATAATTATAATATAAATGAGGTCATACTAATTCAAAATATTTCTAACTACTTATTAATTCATATTATTGACGCAAATGATTAGGAAAAGAAAGCATCTGATTGAAATCTTTATCAATAACTTATTATTATTAAATTATTTACAAAAAAAAATATTGAATAATAGTTTACAAATATATGAAGGTATTTAATTTTGAATATTCAATGGGATTGATTATATTTGATCCCCTTGATCATTGTCTGTGTTTTGATTAGACTGACGTTTTCTGATAATAAAGAAGCTGATAACAGCAATGATAGCAATGGCTGCAATAACACCAATAACAATGCCAACGATCATGCCTGTGTTCTTACCTTTTCCATCACCTTTTCCGCCACCTTGGCCATCTTCTTTTCCATCTCCTTTTCCATCAGTAGTTTCATTGCCTTTATTAGGATTTCCTGGTTCTGGATTTTTCTCTGGCTCTGGATTCTTCTCTGGTTCTGGTGGAGGAGGTCTTTCATGATATGTGATATTGACTTTTTCTTCTTCTGATGAAATGTCGACGGAGAAAGATGGAGCGCCCGTTGATTGTTGAGTAGGTGTGACTCCACCAATACTATCCGTCGAGTAGTCGTCTGCCAAGATGACAGTTTCTACATTTTTGGCGTTCTTAAAGAAGTCACCATTAAGATTTGTGAGTCCAAAGTAGCCGAATTCTTTGATACTGCAATCCTTGAACGCATTAGAGTTGATTTCGCTGATATCATCAGCAATGTAGATGTTGACATTTTCACAAGCTAAAAATGATTCTGGAATAGAATATGATCCTCCCAGTTTTTCAATAACAAGAACTGATAGTTTTGAATAATCCTTTAAACTTGGAAGAGTGTTTGTTGAATATAACAAACGACTGGAACTTGATGATGATACATTAAATATGATGCATTTAACTTGTCTTTGAAGAGTTACATCATTAAGAACTGATGGTGAATAGCCTTCAAATACTATTGTATCAATTTCAGTCATTTGAAAATGATTGATACCACTTAATAACGGCTCTGCATTTGTTTGAATGACAAGAGTTTTAATACTTTTGCACAAGAAAAATGCAGCCAATTTAACTGATGTTACTGATTTTGGTATAGTTATTTTAGTAATGGAAGAGCACATGGAAAATGCACTTTCTTCAATAACTGTTACTGATTCTGGTATTATTATATTAGTAATGGAATAGCAATTACAAAACGATCTTACTCCAATAACTGTTGCAAGCTCTGGAATGACGAAATCTGTAAGATTGTTGCAATCATAAAACAAAGAATTACTAATATTCTTTAATTTATTAGTAAGCACAGCAGTCTTAAGGCTTTTACAACCCATAAATATGCCGATACCTAATTCTGTTAATGAATCTGGCATTATGATACTAGTTAAATTTGAACAATAAGAAAAAGCCCAGTTATTAATTACTTTAATTGATTTACCTAATGTCACAGTTGTAAGACTAGTTGCACTCTCAAACGCTTCTTGCTCTATTACTGTTACTGAGTCAGGAATAGTAATAGATTCTATATTACTATGTATAAACAAACATTTTGAAATTGTTTCCAATCCATTAGGAAGAGTAACACTTTTGATTGACTCACAATATGAAAAAGCATATCCGCCAATTGATTTAACTGTATTAGGAATTGTGATATATTTCAAATTATTGCATTTAGTAAAAGCATAATCTCCTATTGTTTCAAGACCATTTCCAAAGTTAACTATATAAAGATAATAACAATTAGAAAATGCGTAGTCAGTGATTAGTTTAACTGAATCAGGAATTGTTATTGTTGAAAGCTTTGAACAATTTGTTAAAACATTTTTCTCAATGCGTGTCAATTTACTCGGAAATGTAAATTTTTCAATCAAATAACATTCAGAAAATGCAGATTCACCTATTGAAGTTACCGACTCGGGAAGTGATTCAATAACGAGTTTTCGGCAGTCTTTGAAAGCACTTTCACCAATTGTGGTAATTGTATTACTAAGGGTAACAGTAGCAAGTTCCCAGCACTCAAAAAAGGCATATGAATCGATTTTTATTATGGATTCAGGAATTATGATATTTGAAAGAGAAATACATGTTGAAAACGCATTTGGCCCGATTTCGGTGACAGAATTAGGAATATTAACTGAGTAAAGATCAGAGCATCCTTCAAATGCAGAATTTGAGATTTTTGTTACTGAATTTTTGATCACAACTGTTTGGATTTCACCACATCGTTTGTATTTCTCTGGTGGAATTATCTCATCTTCGCCTGAAATTTCTAAATTCTTTTCTTGTGGGCACTCACAATGAACTCTAAACAAGAAAAGGGGAAGCATCTGTAAATATGTTTGAAAAAGAAAATCGGTTTCTCAGAAATAACTGAATTGTTTGATTTACATTTTCGTAAAAATTTTTACTAATGATGAGAGTTATCATTTTATTATGAATTTTTAAAAATTAGGATCAAGATGAAGTGAAATCAATTTAAAAAAGTCATGCAAGAATTTCGTTATATTCTTCATAATATATTCATTGATATATCAACTTCGAAATGAATGGGAATTACTACTTCTCAAATTTTTAATGTTCGTCAAAATGGGAAAAAAAAATCAAAAAAATGTACTTCAAAATATATTTATATACGAAATATTTTTTGCGCCGATTTTTCAATGATTTTTCGCCGTTAGTAATAAATTTTAATAAATTCTGCATAAAAAATAATAATAAACAAAGAAAGATTTATATAAATAAAAAACAAAACAAAAAAGAAATAAAAAAAAATAATATCTAAAGTTTTCCTTTCAATGAAAATCGACGACCTGTGATCTTAGGAAGCTTCTTGATCAATGATTGCTGGTATATTTTTGGATTTGGTGACTTGATCGCTGGTCTTGAACTAAAAAGTGCTTCTGACTTAGATTTCAAGTGGTTTGTGTTAACAGATTTCGCAACTTTAACGGAATATATCAAGTATTCGTCATCACCGGGGTCAAATTTAGCCATCAAATACTCAGCAACTTTCTCAGCGTTGTCATCAAGTTTCTTGAAGTACTGGATGAACTTTGGAAGGTTCTGATAAGCTGCTGATGTCACATTTGTGATTTTGTCGTTAATAATCTCTTGATATAACGGCCAAATGTTTGTAATGATAAGAGGATGAGGAACAATGAACAACAAGCTCGATGCAAGTTCTGTGAATAGCATTCTGTTGGAAAATTTTGTTGATTTTCCAAATTTTTTCACAATTTCGTGAACAATTGTTTTCTGCTTCTCCGGAGAGTTCTCGCAACGTAGTATTCGGACGTAGAAGCACCTCAATGACTCTTTTAGCGTATGCGGATTCTCTTCAGCCCATTCATTAAAAATAGGAAGATAACTCTGCCACAAACGGGTCACGGCTTCGTTCTGTAGTGAAAGGAATATCGTGGCAACATGTTTAAGGTATCTGTATTTGTATTTTGGAATCCTTTGGATCAATTTCAAAACTTGCATCATAAAGTTGATGCTGTTTGATAATCCAAGGACATTTATGATGTATGGCGATAGTAATACGAAATGTATGTTCTGGTCTGTATCGTTGAAAAAGGGAGTTAAGCTTTGTGTCAAATAATCTCTGTATTTCGTAGGAATTATCGATATTAAGTTAGGGAAATTAGTAATAATGATATATCTGCCTTCAGCGGTTGGTTCTTCTGATAAAGTTTTGATGATTTGTTTTAATTGCGAATCTAAAGCTGAAACAAGTATTTTTGATGACGCAAGTGTTTTAATTAATCGGTATTTGGTTTGAGGAGTACTAGAAGCGAATAATTTCATGACTAATTCCTTGATAATTATCACAAAATCGGATCCTTTTTGAGAAAGTAAAACATCGCAGAATTCTACTAAAACAATTCCTACATTCTCATCATTAAGAGCCCATTGGAAGGCTGTTAATGTAAAAGAATACGTACCAAACTGCATTGCCGTGATATCTGCAAAATTTAATACAGTTTTGAGTAGTCCTTCCCTCATGTTTTCATGGGAATTCGCTATAGGCAAGAAAATACTAGGAAGTTGATTTGTTGGCCAATCCGCTTGTTGATAAGGAGCCATTGCAGATACAATGGCTTGGAGGTAATTGTTGATGATTATAGATGAATTTAATATGATTGCTATTAACGAGGAAACGTTTACAGCAGAATATGGCAAAAATGTTAAAAAATATCCGGCTGCGTATTGATGTGATTCACTTTTTGATATCAATTCTTTGATAGTAGGTAGTATATTGTCAGAAATTATTGATGGAGTCGCAATTGAGATACATGATTTTATACATTCGAAATATTCAACGGCAGGAAACACAAGAACTCTTTGTAATAGCTCAAGAAGGATGATTTGGTTCAAATTAAAGTCATTCAGCTTGGCCAGGTTCATACAGCAACAAATTGCTCCGTATTCGATAAATTGGTTATTCGATGAAAATAATTGAAATATCAGATATACGTATTGACCAATCTGAGGATAGGCTTTGAACATTGAAGGAAATCGTGACAATGCCCATAGAATATGAGACTGGTTCGTGGATTGAAGACATAACGTTATTTTTTCGAGAATTGGCTTTTGTAGTATGGGATCTGTTGGAGAAAATGGTGAGATATGGGGGTTCCGGTCACCTAAATCTGAAAATAATACTTTCTGCTCGCCTAAAATTTTGCGAAGCGAAAGCATTAAGGGTGCACACGAGAGGATCATGTAAACTTCAGAATTTAGAACCTTATTTTTAGGCATTATCTTGGCTACCTATTTAGGCTCGAAAAGCAAAAAATATCAAAAAATACAACTTGACTCCATTATGACCCTTTCATGGAGGTAGTTTTTATCCGCTAGTATTTTCCCTTTGAATCTCTTTACAATTCGAAATCAAATTCAAAACTCAGTAGAAGAAAGGAAGAATCGACTTACTACGGTTGTAATACGAATAAATACATATATTTAATTATTTTTATTTACATAATAATTGTTTGAAGCTCATATTCCATCAAATTTTTAAATAAAAACATTAAAATGTTGAAAATGTTCATATATTTTAATAGGTTTTTGGCACTTTATTGAGGAATTACTACATACATAGTCGAACTGAACTTGATATTTTGAAATTTAAATTATTTATCAAAATTAAAATTTAACTTGAAATTTATAATTATTTAGTCATATTTTGCATAATTCTAAGTAGATTTTGTAAAAAATCAAGAAAGAAAAATTTTAACGTGCTTTATTTTTTCTTTTTTATAATAATACATATTATTATATAATTAACATATTCATAATGTTTCACCCTTTCAAAAATATAATCCTCCTCCTCTCAAATAAACGTACATACGGGTGGCCTCTTTTTTCAAAAAATTAAAATTTGAAATTTTGGGCTCAAATATTAGAGATTTTTTCAACCTTCAACGATATATGTTGTCTATATCAGACCTCCTTTCTTTTTGATACTTAACATTGTTCCTAAATCTTAGCCGTTAAGGCTGTTCTGAAAAAATTTTTTTTCGAAAAAAATCGAAAAAAATTCTTAAAATTCAAAAATCCCTTAATTCCTGAGGATTTTGGAAAAAAGTTTTTACATGAACATGTGTATATTATATGAAGTATATTGATAAGGTAAAAATCAAATTTTATTGCATATTCATCGAGAAAATAAACTAACGAATCCCTCAAAATTGAGAGGGTAATCCTCCTCCTCTCAAATAAACGTACATATGGGTGCACCCTTAAAAAATTTTTTTAGAACGAAGAAAAATCTAAAATAAAAAGCCTTTTTATTTTCAAAGCCATCGAATGGTTTATTGAGATTGTATGTGTGACAGTATTTTCGATATAATTTGGTTGATTTTATTGCGTAAGAATATTTGAAGTTCTCAATTCGGTTATTTATCTTTGAACTAAAAAATATTAATCTTTGTGAGTACATCATTTTTATTAGTAGTATAGGTATCGCATCCTACGAACTATTTTGAAAAACTAATTTTGTAATATACTTAAGAAATAGCCGAAAATATACGAATTTTATGCATAAAAGGGCTCAAAATACACACTATCATTAGTTTTTTAAAGCAAATTAACTAACGTTATGAATATTTTAAAGCAAATTAACTAACGTTATGAATATTTCAAAGCAAAATTCATGAAATCGTATATTTTCCTTTAATTCCTAAGCACTTAAGGAAAAAATCAATGATTTTTAAGTAATAACATCACTTTCTTTAGTGTTAATTTAAAGAATTGTTATAAAACTAATTTTAAATAAAATCATTGATTTCCTTAATGAATATGATAATAAAAGGGTAAAGTAGCCCCGTTAATTACAATATTCATGATAATAAAAGGGTAAAATAACCCCCTTTTTATTAAAAGTTTTTCAAAATAGTTCGTAAGAATCCGATAGGTTAATTAAAAATTCTTCTGAATCCTTAATTAACCCTAAAGCCTCCGTATTAATGTCGGGGCTAACTACTTCTATCGAGGATTTTTTCTTAATAAAGAAAAAAGAGATAGAAAGTAGAAAGGAAAAATTACTAACTATATACAAATAAAAAAATTAAAAAAATAAAAAAATTAAAGTTAATTTTAACAGTCAGTCAGTCAGTCAGTCAATCGTCACTGACTGTTTTTTTTTAATTTTGGAATTTAGAAAAATATGAAAAATGAAAAATGAATTTTAATGAGGAAAATTAATGATATTCATAAGTTTTTTCATTAATTCAACAGTCAGTCAATCGTCACTGACTGTTTTTTTTTAATTTTGGAATTTAGGAAAAAATATGAAAAATGAAAAATGAATTTTAATGAGGAAAATTAATGATATTCATAAGTTTTTCATTAATTCAACAGTCAGTCAATCGTCACTGAATGTTTTTTTTTTCTTAAATATTTTCAGGAGGAGGTGGATAAATAGGTTTTTCATAATAAGGTAAATTCGATTTTATCTCAACAGAATTTCTTTTAACAGGTTCAACATTTTTGATGTTGTTTGAATTCTCCTTTTCACCCAGAATTTTCGCATTTTTTAAAAAAATAAAAAATGTTAAGCGATGAAGAAGACAGTTTTTCATTTACTGAAGAAGAAGAACAAACACAAGAACCAGAAAATTATGATGCTTATATTGATAAACAAATTCAAGATGCTTTAAATGAAAATAAAGGAAATTTAGAAAGAGAATTATTACAAAAAATACCTAATTCAGAATGTTATTATAATTCAATAACAGCAGCAATAGGTCAACAAAATAAAGGTAAAACATTATCAATTTTAAGGGTGCACCCGCATGTACGTTTATTTGAGAGGAGGAGGATTACCCTCTCAATTTTGAAAGCTTCGTTAACTTAATATCTCGATGAATATTGTATTAAAATTGAATTTGCACATACCAATATATCTGATACAATATCCTTAAGTTTTACTAAAAAGAATTTTTTAAAATCCCTGCAGATTCGGGGATTTTTAAATTTTTTGATTTTTTTCGAAAATTTTTCGAAAAAAAAATATTTTCAGAAGAGCCTTAACGGCTAAGTTTTATGTTTAATGTTGAGTATCAAAAAGAATGGGCATCTGATATAGCCATCATATATCCCAGAAGCAAATAAAAATTCTGACTTTTTAAGCATAAAAAATGAAATTTTATTTTTTGCAAAAAACAGGCCACCCGGATGTACGTTTATTTGAGAGGAGGAGGATTAAATTTTTGAAAGCACTAAAATTTGTAAATATGCTAGTTATATAATAATATGCATTATTTTAAAAAATAAAAATTAAAGCACGTTAAAATCTTTTTTGATGAATTTTTACAAAAGCTACTCAGGATAATGCAAGATATGAGTAGTTAAACATAAATTTCAAATCAGATTTTACTTATAATAAATATTTTAAATTTCCGAAAATTAAGTTCAGATCGACTCTATACGTAGTAAATACTAAATAAGGTGCCAAAAACCTATTAAACAGTATCAAAACTATCAAGATTGTAATGTTTTTGAAGAAAAATTTATAGAATTATGGACTTCAAACAGATATTATGTAAATAAAAATAATATAATGAATTTATTTATTCGTATAATAGCAGTAATAAGTCGATTATTCACTTCTACTTCTGAGATTTGAATTTAATTTCGACAGAAAAAGAGATTCAAGAGGAAAATACTAGGGGATACAAACAGCCACCATGACAGGATTATTATGGAGCCAAGTTGTATTTTTTGATATTTTTAGAGTTTTCCTACCTATTTAGGTACCAAGTTATTGCTTAAAAATTAAGGTTCTAAATTCTGAAGTTTACAGGATCCTCCCGGGCGCACCCTTAAAAGAAATTATTAAAATATCTCAAAATGACCCTTTTTGCCATTTATTAATTTATATTAATAAAACAGGAGAACCAACAGATTCAACATTTGAATCAATAAAGAAATTAATTAAAGTACCGATTGTTTATCGTAGTCATGAAGATGCAGAAGAATATATACATCAATTGTTATTATTTAAAAATTTATATACCCAGATTTTCCTTACTTTTACCACCTCTCTAAAGCTGGGGACACCGCCTATCGTTTGGAGTAGCTATTAAATAGAACCACCAAGGATATTTTTGGAACTGCTGGTGTAGTGTAGTGGAAACATTCGACATAATGATTCATTATGCCAAGGTTTGATTCCCATTCAGCCAATTTTTTCTTTTTTGGATCATGAATTTTTTTTGGGTCACTATAAGATTTGTTTCATGTTCTAAATCTGCTGCATATGTAATCTATTTTTATTTACCTATTTTTTAAAAATCTATTGAATTGCCAAATTTGAATATATTTAAAATCATAAAACTCCAAAAAAACTATAAATATATGTTTTATGCATAGTGCCGATACTCAAATATCAGATTACTTAGATCCATGAATAATATCCGAATTTTTTTTCTTAAAATTAAACTTCAAAACTTCTTCCAATCTTATTCTTAATCAATTGTAAATTTTTAAAAACATTTTTTAAAATAATTTTGCGTAAATTTTATTCTCATGTTGTTTTAATCGAAAATTGATACATTTTCAAAAAAATAATATTGACTTATGAAATTCATTTTTAAGGTGAAATGGTATTGTTTTTATTAAAGTATATGAATAATATATAAAAATTAATGAATAATATAAGCAGATTTTTAGTTTACAAAACAAATATGAGCAATGCAATTTCAAACTTTTGCTGGCAATTTCGATATTGCTCAAGTTTGTAGTATTTGTGATACCTATAACATCGGCTTAATCAAAATTCGATTTTTCTTATGAGTTATTGAGAAAATTTGATTGCAATGAGAAGGATTTCGACGTTTTTGATAAACTAAGAGCTGAGCTTTAGGGGTTCAGTTCATTTATGGCTGTAGTTTGATGCGTAGTTCTCTTTTTTATTGTAAATTCTTTCAGCATGGAGATCGAGAATGAATCTTTTGAGAACTTTATGAGTTTTTACACCCGTAAAGAGGTCCTTCGAGGAAAGATAGTCCAGACTACATGAAGATGTGGGTTAACCAAAAAAATCCGATGGTTTCCCCATATTCATGTAGATCTTCGAAAAAATGAGCACCAAAAAAGCCAAAAAAATAGACTTTTTATTGGATTTGTACACTAGATCAATAATCTATTTAGGATCTGACACTCTTTTTAGCCAGAGATATGAGGTCCTTTCTAGGAAAACGATCTATTCATCCATAAAAAAAATGAATTATCGTTTTCCCCAGAAATTACATGGGGAGTGGTAAAAGTAAGGAAAATCTGGGTATTATTATGCTCATTTTCTTATTTTGATTTTTTCTCATTATGATATAAATAATTTATTAATGCATTTATCCAATAATTATGCTATGATATTTTTATGCCTTATTTCATTTCTCTTATATTTGATAATCTGGTAAAATATAGTTCAGACTATAATCATTTTAGATTATTGATATATTTATATAGGTTAGAATAAAATTAGTTTCATTTTCTACTTTTATTTTGAATTAATAATTTATAATATCAAATATTATGGCGTAACCTCTCCTTTAAAATATAGATATATATAGGCCTATAGAGTTTATTGGCACTCTCAAAACTCTAGAATTTTGAGTTTACTATACCCTTAAGTATATTACAAAATTAGTTTTTCAAAATAGTTCGTAGGATCCGATACCTTTACTACTTTTATTAATATTTTAAAATATGCAAACTGTTTTTCTTTCAAAATTTGAGTGTATTGTATAGACCTATTACAGTGCATTTTGCTCCTTACACAATCAAAGGAATTTTGTTAGAGAGAGAATATCACTCTACATTCTCTAATTTATGTCTGTTTTTTGGGAAAAAAACAACACAATAGTTGATAAGTAGTTTTAGTTGAGTTAAGAGGTTAGATAGCTTGTGGAAGTTCTATATCTGTTTTGTGGGTTAAAATATTTGTAAAATTACATTACGTTCTATTTGATGAGCTAATATTAGAGCTTTTATTGATGGCAATCCACTTTTTATGCATTTCTAGTTAAAAATTCATGTTGTTTAAAGTATTATAATTTATAAAATAAAAAATATAAAAGTTGAATTTAGAATAAAATTGATCTCTTTGGCATCTTACCATAGAAATTACTAGAGTGGATCTCTTCTTGCTTTGGCTGATCATTTCCGCCTAAGAATAAGCTTGACATAACAGCTTTTCCTGTTGGTTGGCTTGGAGGAGGCTGTTGGGCGAATCTTCCGGCCATTCTTGGTGTTTCCATAACAGGAGTAACGTCTACATCAGGATATGAAATAGAATTTTGGTTAGAATGCTGAACACTCGATGTAGTATGAGGAGATTTAGATACTGGTGTGTCATTTACACTGCTACCACCATATTTGACCTCAACGTAATCACCTTTTGTTGAATCATTTCTTCTATTTAAGAATTCTTGAAGAGTCAAGGCTTCAGAGCTTAATTCGCTAATAATTGAATCATTAAGATCACTGTATTTATATTTGTCCAATTTGCGAAGTGATGTATCTGTCAATCTCAAACAAATTTCTCTGCGATGAGTAATTGCAGAAATATCCTTCCTTTCTTTCTCTTTTTCATTGGCAATATCGGATAAGTCATTGGCGTAATTCTCCATTTGAGCAATGGCTTTCTTGATGGATAAAATTGTATTTACTTGATTTGAAGATAATGGACTTAATGATGTTGATTTAATGTAGAAACCTCCAAACTGGAGTCTCTGGGCAAGATTGTTGTCGGTAAGATACTTAGCTAAAATTGGAATTGAGGAGATATGATAATCTTTCAAAATTTCTTCATCACTTAATATCAAATCAACGGATGAAATAGCTTTTGATTGAGCGGCCAAGCATATTGTTTCACCTGTTGTGCGTAGAACGTTCTTGAAAACGTAATCAATTCCGATTTGAGGAGAACTGGAGTCTCCACATAGGATAGATGTGACTAACGAACCAAGTAATGATCTTTTTGGTTTCATAAATTCAACTACTGGCTCTAATATCTTTGAACGGATTAATTGTTGAACAGGTTTGTCTAATTTTGGTTTTCTGTAGTTTGTTGCGATTGATTCTTCCAATTGACGGATGTTAAATGAAATTATATGGTATCTGTTTCCCCAATCTTGAATAAATTTTGTCCAAAATTGAAGAATTGGTTTCTCAATGATATCATCATTGTTTACTACTGGATTGAAATACCTATCTGGATCATAATGACCAATATGCTCATCAAGAAGCTCCTTAGCACGAAGATATTCCATTTTTAAACGATCGCAAAATTGAAAAATCTTTGATTTCTCTTGATATAACAATTATTTCAAAAAATAAGTAAGATAAAATGTTTCGACACACAAAATGTTAATGTTCTATATATTTGAAATCTCATAATTCTTTATTTTTAATTCTAAATTTTTTAGAGTTTTCAAAAAATCAAAGAAAAAAATTTAAAGTTGAACATCAAAATTAGAATTTCAAAATATTTTTGGAATAATCAGGTCTTTTGATTCTACAATATTATGAGTTATTTGTTCAAAACTTCTTTCAAATGTGATAAATTTTGAATTTTCATAAAAATTTGCATTGAATTTCATTTAAAAACACAACATTCAAGTTAATGAATGATATTTATTTAGTATATTAACCAAAATAAACCTTTTTAAAGTATCCAAACACAACATAAACTATTTTTTCGAGGAAACAATTAGACAATTTAAACAATTTCTAGCATTTAAGTAAAAATAGAGTCAAAAATATGCATAATTATAACAAAACAAACAAACAACGCAGTTTATGTATTCAAAAATAATACAAATATAAAAAATTATAATCTAATATATCTCTTAACAAAGGTTTTTCCGCATTCAAGCATTGTAGTCATTGTAGAAAGGAATTCCACCTTTGCATTTGTCAATGCTTCGATCTGTCTGTTGCAAGACACTTTAGTTGTGTCCAGCATCAGTTTTATCAGGATAATCTGGGACTGTATGTATTCTATGTTCATGTGGACTTGTAATTTATCCGGAGATTCGCTGTCAAAAAGAGAATTAAAGTTCGGAGTGATGGAAAGTTGATGATTCTGCATCATAATGAAATCTTTGATCAACAGGTCCTTTGGTTTTTGCGGCACGAACATGTGATAGTACGCGGCAATGTTGTTTAGAGCAGATAACAAATCTGAGTCATCAGGATCAACATCTATCCTAAACTTGAATGAGAGATCTGTAGGGATACTAGAACTGATCATCTTTTGGTATATACTCTCTGTCTCATTCTCTTTCTTCGTCTCAAAAATTTTGAATGATGAATCAACGATGTCACTTTTTTCCAAGTTCACCATCATTTGTAAATTCTTTGATAACAAAGATGACGATAATTTGTAAAAAAGTGACACCAATGACATTTCTACAATTTCGAAATATTGAGAGGAAGAAATCTGTATTTCTGAGGACATCAATGCGAAGAACAATCTAGATATTGTTGCGCATTTGACTCCCCATGTATCGAAGCCCATTATCGACAAAGCTTCGAATAAACATAAAATATTCGAAAATTCCTGCATCAAATTCTTCGAATTGTTCAACCCGCAGCACAGAAACTCAGCAATAATCGCATTATCACTCGCTTTATCGCTTACAACTGCTGCACATAGCGGAAGAATGAACCAACCTTCAGAACTCGTGTCTGGAGCAGGAATGTTCCGTAAAGGAATACCTCTGACTATAGATCTGATCGAAACAATGTCCGAATCTTCGAAATTTATCTCAGAATAAATTTTCGAAAAAAGTGACACGGCTAAATGACATTTTATGAGTCTTTCGTCAGGGGTATTGATTCCATCGACCAACTTGTAGAGCTCTACGAAGCTTTCTTCGTCTTGAACGCAGTAGCTCATCTGTGAACAAGGTTGGGCGTTTTGTACCCTCATAAAATGAGAATAAATCGATGCGTTCTTAGGATCTTCGATTGCACAGCCAATAATGGCATCGCGCTCATCTCTGGATATATTCGATTTGATCATCATGTCTAAAACTCTGAAAATTACAGGTTTTGAGCAATTTTCGTTCAATAAAAGCTGAGGAAGTATTAAAGTGAAAGGTTTCTCACAGTCTATCCTCGGCCAGTTGTCAATGATTCGTCTGAACACTCTTTCGTTGCGATCTCCCCATAGAAATGTGTTGAATATGATATATTGAAATTCTTTCGACTTCAAACGGTTGTAGACCGTAATAAATGGATTGAAGTAAGAGCTGGGGAGTGGAATTTGGGCTTGAAACAGTAAATAAATGAAAGCAAGGAAAGAACTTTTTTGTATCTCGATTTTTTTGACTTTTTCGTCGAATTCTATACCTAATGTCTGCTTCACTTCATTGCAGGTATCTTCTATCGTTTCGAGTTCGATATTAATCGGAATAATATTCATTTTCCCTGCAAGAAGCAAAGCAAGCTCGATTACGTGTGGTGGAGCCTGCTTGGCGTATTTAAATATGTCTATTATCGACAACGGATCGATCTTTTCGAAGAATCCGATGACGGAATTATCAGATTCTAAACTTTCCGAGTGTATTTTACAGTTTTTGTTACTGTAAATGCACTTGTCGACACCATTGGCTGTTATTGATTCGAAATTCTCATAAGAACTGTCTTGAATAAACGAAAATGGTCCTAAAATGACACTTTTTTCTTTATCAGAAACTTCAGAGAAACCAAAATCGATATTTACGAGTCCTTCGAGTTGTATTGCTCTGAAAGATATTTCTATCTCCATTTTGTGGTCCACAGAGCATAGAACTTCGTAATTTTCCTTAGAATTCGTCGAAACACAAACAACAAAGAAATTCCAAATGGAAGGCTTCACTTTTTTAGTGATAATACTGGATGTGATCATATCACTTTCAAATCTAAGGATAATATCGCGGCCGTGAAGATATAATTGGATATTATTCTTATTTTGATCGACAGCCTTGAAAATTGCATACTTATTCGATGAGTTCTGGATATAATTTACATCGGCCTTCAACCAAAACGCAAAACAATAGCCATTATTAAATAATGAACTATTTGTTTCTAATTTTAACGAAGGCTTGGGTGTTGAGCACGAATACTGAGGACTAGGGTTAACTGAGAAGTTAGAGGATATGTTGTTGACCACTGAAAGCATCTTGAACGACCTTTCTGAGAAATTTCCGTTTTCATCTGGCAAAATACAGCTGATAATGGATTGTGCGCACTTTAGATCTGATTTTACTTGCATGATCAACGTTATTATCTTATACAAGAGCTCTTCTACCTCTTCATTTAATTTGATTTCGATTTGAATGTTTCTGAACGTGAAAGGACCAACTAAACCCCTCGAAATCAATACATCGATCTCACTTAAATGACATGCATAGCAGTTGTGCTCTGAATACTGACATAATCCTAAAAAAATTTCTAAAACTTTTTTGAAAAAAGGTGACTTACAAAAAGTGACAAAGAAAAGTGATATGAACTGTGGTTCTGAAATATTGAAATTGTCAGATTGAGCTGTATTAATACTTTTGTTCATCATGCATAAGAACTTTCCGATCATTGACTCAGGCGGGTCCTCTTGATACACGATTTTGAACAATTTGACTAAAGGTTCGAAACGATCGTCGATATTAAACTTTTTTGACTGGCAAATAAGGGTACAGACCGACAATATCATATTAAGAAGCTCTGCCGATGGCTGTTTCATAGCAATTTGTATCGCTTCGTCGATTAATGGATCAAAATAAATTGCTACGATGGCATTTTGAAGAATTGCCTTCAATGTAGCATTGAGGAATAAAATTGATTCATTTTGGTATATGTTATCAAGTACATACGATGAAAATAAAGACCTTTCAAAATTTAGAAAGGATTCAGGGAGATCTTGTGAATTCTGGATAGCTCTGGATATAATACTCACAATAGAGTTGATAATATCAGCCTCAAAAGCTAAAGAAAGTATAACTGAGAGCATTTTTTTCGAATGAAAAACAGTTTGAAGGGCTTGGTCATCATTTAAGATGTCAAAAAGGAATTCCAATGGAACACCTCTTGTTATGTTCAAGCTGATGCAACTTGGCAGGTTTTTCGGATCCATTAATAATCCACCAACAATTAATGACTCAATTCCGCTGTTTTTGAGCAATTGAACACTGCTAGAGTTCAATATATACAATATTCTCGTCAAAATCTCCGAAAGAAGCAACGGATCGTGAGATATATTTTGAATAACTAAATGTAGCAGTTTTTCGTTATCTGCTATTTGAATCGCGTTGTTCCTAACGAACTGTTGGCATTCCCTTAGCTCACCATGGAATATTGTACAGTTATGATTGAAAATAAAATCATCAAAAATAATATTCAAAAATTTTTCAGTGACATTTACCCTTTTTGAGATGATCGTCAGCATTGAGATTATGTATACAATGAAATCAGGGTACATTTCCGTACACTTTGAATGTTGACAAGTAACAAACATCGTTTGTGATATGATATTGAGGACTTCGATGCTCGCGTTGTCAATGGAGTTCTTTATTTGGTTGATTGTACCTTCGAATGTCCAACTAAACGAGTTATGTACGTTTCGATTATCAGCTCCAACGGAAGATTGAGGTGGAATAGGGAAACCATCACCATTCTTTTGTTGCTCGACAAATCTGGAGTTGTCAAATGGAAGAATTGTTATGAAATCTTCATTTGTCAATTTTGTCTTCGATTTTCGGATTTTTTGGATGACAAAATGGTCCATCATGGTAAAGTTTCGAACAATGACTTTATTCATCTCAATTTGAGACGAATTCGCGAAGATCGAAATTGCAATTGGATTTAAATTGATAAATGAAGGTTCTGACATTGTAAGAATGGCTGACATCTCTTCAGATGTAAATTTGTTCTTGTTTTCTTTCAAAGTACTGTCTAAAAAACATAGATAATTGTTGATTGAAACAGAATCATCTGTAGAATGGATTTTTTGGCCAAGTTGAATAAGAATACGCGCTATTCTCTTGCCTAGTGTTTTATTTATGTATAGTTGTTGAATAATTAACGTGAATAACTCTGTATTAAAATAATTATTGTTTTCATTTGAAATTAACTCGCAAATTGAAATCAGTAGTTCATCAAATGCATTTTGGTAAGAAGTTTTTGTGATTTTGTTAAGAAGATTGAACAATTTCGTTAATTTATTCAGAGAATCTTGATTTGAATAGATGGTTAGTATGCAAATAACAAGGAAAAACAAACACACAACTGATGATTCGCTTATTTCTGGTTGATTAAACCTTTCTGTGATTTTATTAATAGTAATGTCAGGAATAATAGCATTAAAACCGATTTGACTCAGCGATTTGATGAATGTACTGCCTTTCTCAATTGATGTATTGAGAATTTCTATTAAATTATTTGAAAGAAGTGGTAAATCGAAAAAAATTGTCTCATTTAATAAATCTTGTGTGAGAACGGGCGGTATACAAGATTTATCAGCCCAGTATCGCATGATTTCTATTAACGGATGAACAGAAGTCCCTTTTGAGACTTTGATATTCATCCTTTGACAATTTTGCCAAGATTTAGAAATAAGATTTTCTCACAATTCTGGAATATGACCTCATAGCAACGAGAAAATCCGAAACACTGAGAATTAATGAAAAATACTCTCATTGTAAACAATTTCGATTAGTAGTATATGATGCGGGTTGTGTGACTTTTTTTGTAATCGTAAGAATTCTCACATAATTGAATGATTTTTGAACATACTTCCGAATAGCAGATTTTAAAAATTTATGAATAATTTATAAAAAGTTTTTATTCCTACAATTCCTATATTACCATTAATAAAAAGAATATATTTTTGACGAAGTGAAGATTCGCACTTCGTCACAAAACTCCGAAAAAATAAAGTTAGATTTTTTTATTTAATATAAAATGTATGGAAAAAGAATAATATCTGATTTTGAACATTATTTGATTGATTTACTAATTGATCCACAAAGCTGTTGTAAAATTAATTTTGAATTTAAAATTAAAGGAACCGTAAATTTTGTATTTATTTATCACTTAAAAGAATATGACCGATATCATAATTTGATATATGAAACTAATATAATATTTGAAGATAACAAACTTACAAGCTTCGAACATGAAAATGATATAATATTCGAAGATGAAAAAAAGAAAGAGATTGAAAAGCAATTCAATGAATGCCTTTTAAATACATATGCGCACATTATAAGACATAAAATGAAATTAATTCCTTATTAATCAAAAATATTTTTTATCTTTATATAAAGATTTTGTTAAATTTCTTATTGAAAATTATTTGAAGCCTGAACATGTGATTCCAAAATATCACCGATGATATTTTAAAAAATAAAATAAATTATATTTTTTAAATAAAAAAATAATTTTTATCTGATAGAAATAATACCTACAAATGACGGTATATAAAAAATTGACTTCTTACGTAAAATTAAAACTAAGTTAAATTTATTTTTTTTATTTTTTATTTTATAATAAATGAGTATAACAACTAATTCATTGAAATCTTTAAAGTTCACTAATTCAGAATTAGAAAATATTTTAGAAAATTTTGGAGACGGTTCTTATCCAACATATATGCAGAATGTGAAAGAGTTTTCCAGATTGTTGAATGAATTTAAATATAACGGACCAATTACTAAAAAGGCTATAATGAGATATTTATATCCCAAAAAAGTTGAAAAACAGGAGAATATTCCTCTTTATGGTCCAGAGGACCTGGGCTCAGAGAGCCTTGAAACACCTCCTGAATATTTTGAAGAAAAAATTAAACAAGATGAATATTATAACGATGAGATTGAGAAATTGGAACAATTAAGAAATGAAATAGATGAAAAAATTAGTGAATTGAGAAATGCTGAGAATGAAGTAGAGGGTTTAATGAATATCCCAGCTTCAGAATCAGAAGTTCAAAAATCACATGAGGAAAGATATAAAAATTACTTTTTGGAATCTACTAAAAATTTATTAGATGGTGATATTGACGAAACACTTTCAGAAGAAGGCACAAAATTTATTCATAAACATAAGCTTCAGTTTATTGACGATGGAGATTATCCATGTATATTACTTTCACCTCCTCTTGATTCTGAAAAATTCAAAAAAGCACTGAAAAATGTAACATATGCAACAAATACGATTAAGAAAGAAGACCATGATATTTACACAAATTATTATTTAAATAAATGTACAGGTGTTGATAAAGTTTTTGATTTGTTAGATAAAATATCAAAAGAAACAATTGGTACATATAAAATTTTATGCGATTGTGGTTTCATTATTGAAGATACCAATAATGTTTCATATGAAAGAACAGCACCGAAGGAAGACGAAGTTGAAAGGTCTATACCATTCGTTATTAAGAACATAAAAGATATGAAAACTTATAAACATTATATTTATTCATTTATTTCAGAAAAAATGGAAGCAACCCATAAAACATCTCATCATTTTATAGCTATTCATACATTCCTTTTCAAAGTTGTGAAATTAAATAAGACAGGAATTAGATTTAATGTATCAGGGTACGCATTCTTGAGTAAATTAAAATGTATTCGTCACGTCGCAGATGATAAAAATTTATGTGTTCTTAATTCATTTTATGGACTTTAGCCCTGGACTCTCTGAGTCTCGGACTTTAAAAAAATAAACTTTATTTTTATTTATTTTTTAATTTTTATTCTTACATAAATGAACAAAAATGGAACAGCTAAAATGAATGATAATCAAATAAGAGCCGAAGGTAGAAGGTTATTTAAACGCTTCTATAACATTCCTGATGGTGTTAATCCTAAAACTCGTAGAAGTTATTTAAATGAAGCCATAGATGCATATGAAGGATTTGACATTTCATCAGAAAGTGAGAGGTTAGCAAGAATGTTAAACGTTAATATTGATTTTTATTATTGTGACCCTCAACCAGAAGACGTAGACATTAACAAGGTAGACTTTCCATTAGTGGAATCAATAATGATAGATCCAGAATTTGAAACAGTAAATATTTTATTAACACAGAGTCCATGTGGAAAACTTCACGCTGACAGAATTACAGACGTTGAAGCACTCACAGGATATAAAGTTTGCCCCTTTTGCAAAGAAGAAGTTATTCTATCCGTGATGATCCAGAAAGGAAAAACCAAAGAAGATTTTTAAAACATTGTGAGAAATGTAAAGAAAATAATGGAAGATTAATTCAAGACGTTCAATTGCAAAACACACAACAACCATATGCACCACATATCACGAAACAGAAGATATATCAATGGCTATTAGCACATAATTTGCAGGAATATTATAAACCAACAAGATATTATATTACTTTTGACTTCGAAACATTAGAGACTAAAGAAGAACTTCAACTTTCTGAATGTGCAACTTTGAACGCTTACTTAAAACCATTTATGGTATCATCAACTGTCAAAATAAAGCCGCAAAGCGGCGAGGTCGTAGACCGTGATAAAACATTTACGAGGAATTTTTGCTTAACATCAAGTGATTCGTTCATCTCTGATTGGATTGAATTTTTATTTTCAACCTGTTCATTAGTTGCTAAATCAAATATTGAACAATATGAAGAATTAATGAATACATTAAATGAGAAACAAAAGGAAGCAATGAAAGAGCTTTTAGATGAAGAATTTAATAAAGTGAATATCATTGGTTTTAATTCGGGAAAGTTTGATTTAAATTTAATTCTTCGTGATTTAAATACTGCAAAATGGAAGATAAAATCAATGCTGGGTTCTTCTTCTCAATTTAAGCAAGTCATAGTAAAGAAAACAAACTGTCCATATGAATTAAGATTTATTGACATCAGAAATTATATAGCGGGTGGAACATTAGACCAATTCACTCAAGATTTCGGAAACAATAAATCACGTGTTAAATCCTTTTTCCCTTATCAATTCATCACATGGGAGAATTACGAAGATGAATTATATAAAAAGGAACCATTCACTCAAGATTCATTTTATTCAGCATTAACACAAGAAACAATATCCGATTCAGATTATCAAATATATCTCAATGATGCTAAAAATTTTGAGAATAGATTAGAATATTTTATTCATTATTGCAATAAAGACGTTGAAATTATGATTGACCCAATTGATAAAATTATTGAAGAAACATTTGTTTATAAAATTGACATGCTTCATAATCTTTCTTATCATCGAATGCATCAATGATTCGTTACGCGTTAGCATATAAGAACTTCAATCCTAACGAAACATATCCAGAAGAAGAAAATGTGGAATCAAGTTTTGAATTAACAAAAAAGTATTGGAAATATAAAATTGATTCATATAAGAAAACAAGATGAAAAGGCGAAAAGAGATACAAAAACAATGTTTCAATGGATGACTATCAATACTATCACGATTTAATCCTTTCATCTAAATGCAAAATGTGTGGTAAAGCGTTTACATATGCAAATAAACCAACATTGGATAGAATCGATAATGAAAAACCACATACCAAAGAAAATTGTCAGTTAATGTGTTGTTATTGCAATGTCGTAAAATCAAATAAAGATGAAGATGTTCAACGTTTAAGAATCAATTTAAGAAATTATGCATTAAAAAATAATTTACCAATGACTTTAGATTCAGTTGAAGCTTATCACATTCTCCGTAATGGAATTACTGGTGGTCTATCAAATGTTCAACATCGTGTTAATCTTAAAGGAATCACGCACATTAATAAACTTTCATATAATCCAGAAACTAAAACTGTATTAAATGAGGACACACCAACATTATGACTCATTTCGTTGGAGTTGACTTTAATTCATTATATCCTTCATCATTTTCATCTAATCCTCATGATTTCATTCAATATACTGACCATAAAATGTATATGCCGGGAAGATTGAATGGTGTTATCATTTGTGATACAGCAACAAAGAAAGCAAAAGCACTGGGAATTATTAGAAAGAAAAATACTTTATTCGTGGCTGAAGTAAAGGGTCACATTGATGAAAAATACATTAATGATTACATAAACTTTTTACCGATAATAAGAAACTTAGATATTATCACAGATGAAAAAACAATTGGCAGTTTTTTATGTATAATTACATGAAATCAAACAATCTACAGTTGACCAGAAACAGAGAAATTAACTCAGTTAGCATCAACACACAACCAATATCAACCATTTTCTTCTTATTATCTATGGTATCTAATAGACAGATTTCATTTTATCATTGATGACATTCAATCAATTTTAACATTTACTAAAAACACTTGTTTTAATGAATTTGCGAAAAATTTATGAACGAAAGACAAAGGCTGAATTAGAAGGAAATAAAGGAAAAAGTTTATTTTGCAAGATTTCGCTTAATGGATCATATGGTTACGATGCAATGAATACACAAAATTACGCAAAGACTAAAATAATGAATGCACAGAAGGCACGCGTTGCATGTATGTCAAATAAGTTTAAAAACATAAGAGAAATAGGTGAGGATACATATCAACTGATGCTTAAAGATAGATTTTATAGATGTGATACATGTTTACAAGAGGCATTCTTCACTTTAGATAATGCTAAATACTGGTATTTGGTTTTCATTTATGATTTTATGTATAAATGCATGAATCTTAATCGTTTTCATTTCATTGAAGGTGATACTGATTCATCTTATTGGGCAATCGCTGGCGACCCAAATCTTCCTAACACTCAAGCATTTCAAGCAATTGTTACTGATAAACAATTTTATGATAAAAACATTTTCAAATTCGCACCATTTGATTTCTTCTGTTTTGATGAGAAATTTAAACCTAAATTAAAGAATAAAGCTGAAGAAAAAGCACATGAGAAGAAGTTATTGGGTTTAGCAATTGAGAAACAAGGTGATAACATGGTTGCTTTATGTCCTAAGTGTTATACATCATTCAACGGTTCAATTGATGGAAGTGATTTTAAAAAGATTGCACAAAAAATGAAAGGTGTTAGTTTACGACAAAATAAACAATTAACACCTAAAAATTATTTGGATATAATAAATGATAAATTGATATTTGATGGTCAGAATATTAATTTACAACTTAAAAATGGGTCAATGACTCGCTTAACAATTGGTAAGACTGCATTAACAGGAGCACACACTAAGGCTGTATGTTGTGAAAATGGATGTTGTATGCCATTTATTTAATACAATTTAAAAACGTAGGGGTTGAGTCATGAATTTAAAATTTTATTTTTAATGAAATGCCACAGAAGAGACAAAAGGAACCGTTAATGATGGTTTTGATACTATGATTCAAAGAGGTGGGCACCCTTAAAACATTGATTTTATTTTTATATAAATGGATAACGTAGATTTAAAAATTTTAATTGATGATTTAGTACTTAATCAAAATTTTCTTGATTATTATGATTTAAAAGCATATCTCCAAAAATATGATAACAATATAACGGGTGATGATATGGAATATTATTATCCATATTATAAAAATGAAATTTTGAAATATCATGATAAAATAATTTCTGAAATTAAAGACAAAATTAAAAATAATGAATATTCAAAGGGAAAAACTAAATCACAACTTAAACAGTTGAAAGATTTCAAAAATAAAGTATTAACAGAAGAAGATATTGATGAATTATATAAATTATATAATCCTGAGCCGCAAAAGCCAAAGGAACAAAAACAAAAGATGCAAAAACAAAAGATGCAAAACGCCCAGGTCCTTCAGACCATAAATGATGCACAAGCTTTAATTTATGATTCATTAGTTAAACCATATTCAGCCCGACTTTTAAATGAAGATCAAATTTTGGAATTCATCCTTCAACATAAACTCGAAGCGGGAAAGTATATCAAACCTTTATATACAGCATATTTAAAACAAATGAATAGAATACATCCAGAATTAATGAAGGGGGGAATGAAATCCAAAATCAAAGCAGATAAAATTAAACCACTTACAACACCAAAACCTCCAACGACAGTACCGCCTCCTCCTTCAGTTAATCCTTCATCATTCACTTTATTATATCCATTTCAAACATTAAAGAAGCAAAAAGATTTTAAAAAGGATTTCAAGATATTAAATAAACCAATTGACCCGAAAATTCAACCGTTAAAGGAAAAATTTAGTCGCCCTTCATTTGCTCCATATCCATATTCATACGAAATAGATCATTTAGAATATTCAAAAGGAAACGTTACTTATTTATTTGCCATTAACATTAACACTAGATATTTATATTGCATTCCAGTGAAAGGGAAAACAGAACAGGAAACAAGAAGAGCTATACAATACTTACTAGATCATGAAAGAGTAGATAATATAAGGGGTGATGGTGATAAAGGATTTCAGGCAACTATGACTCATTATTTCCCACAAATTAATTTTTTCTTTTCATCCTCTCCATATACGTTTCATAATAAAATAGTTGATGCGGTAATGAGAACTCTTAGAGATGCGTTAGGGGTTAACGGTCAGATATACTGGGATGGAAATCATGACTCCATCATACAACAGTTAGTATATTATTACAATAATACATGGCATAGAACTATAAACATGAAACCAGTGGAAATGAAAAATGATATTTCAAAAGAATGGGAATATATTAGAAAGCAAATGGAAAGGTTGAATGATGTTAAACGTGAACAAATTAATTCGGGGCTCATGAATTTTAAACAAGGGGATAAAGTTTTGATTCATCTCGATTATGGAAAAACTGATAAATCAATGACAAAAAGAAGACGAAGATTTGACACAATAGCTGAATTTGTTAGATATATTAACGGCAATGCTTTAGTTGAAGTTGACAATAAATTAATAGAAATTCCAATTTATTTTATTACTCCATTATATTTAAATAATATTTAATTTTTTTTATTTCGTAAGAAATGAGTGACAACGAAGCAGCCAAGAGTCCAGACGATGAATATAAAAAGAAACTAAACAGAATTAAATCAAAAATATGCTATTACAAAAAGAAGCCGCAATGTGGTGGGGTTGAAAACAATAAAACTAATGGAACTGAAAACGATAAAGAAATAATCGAAAAATTAGAAACTTACCGTTCAATCCTTAAACTGAGTGAAGCAAAAATAAAAGAATTTAATAGAATAAATAAATTGATTGGAAGAGATGAATTTAATAAAGATGAATTTTTAAACTCAATCCAAATTTAATTTTTATTCCTCTTCGACAACATCTCTCTTTCCATCATTACTGCATAACCGCATTTTCTCAGTTTTAGTGGTTTGTTATTTTTAACATGTTCTTGCATCATTTTTATCATTTCCTCCCTTGTTATGATTCGTGGTAAATTTTGAGCTTGTGGGGTATCCATTTATGATAAAAATAAAAATTTGTCATTAACGACCAAAAATAAATGTTTACGTTAATGTTTTCAGGTTATTCAATAATGACTTATTTTTGAAGAACTGAAGGTGTCACCAGGTCACCATGTGTCACCAGGTCATTTAACTTCTCTGAAAAAATGTGACAACATGACATTTTGACAACAACACAGGAGGAAGGCAGTTATGACTTATTTTTGAAGAACTGAGGGTGTCACCAGGTCACCAGGTAATTTAACTCATGACATTTTGACAACAACACGGGTTATTCAATAATGACTTATTTTTGAAGAATTGAAGGTGTCACCAGGTCACCATGTGTCACCAGGTCATTTAACTTCTCTGAAAAAGTGTGACAACATGACATTTTGACAACAACACAGAAGGAAGGCAGTTATGAATTTTCATGTATTTTCTCAAGATAGAAAAATAACGTTAGTTTTATTTTTCTAACTTTTTATTTTGTATGTAAGAACAGTAATGTCGGTCGAAGCAAAAACATTCACTAACAAATCTAATGGTGAAACATTCACAAAAGGCACTTATAATGGTATTGAAGTCTTACGTAGAGACAAGGATGGTTACATTAATGTAACAAAGATGTGTCAGCAGTTTAGGAAAGACTTTAGAAAGTTGTTGGAAAATAAGTCCTGGGAAGAGTATTATAAGGCATTTTGTGAAGAATATAACAACCGCCGGAATTCCGACGGTTGCTTTTTATACAAAATTCATGCAGGAATTCCTGATGAAATCAAACAGGTTAGAGGAACGTATGTAGACCCAAGACTTATAAACTATATAGCAATGTGGGCTTCTCCAAAATATTGCATAGCAGTTGGAAAAATTATGGATTCCATAGACAAGAAAGTTCATGAGAAGTTAGATGAAGAAGAACTCGAAGATACAGTAGAGAATGCTAAACCTTTGTTTGAAGAAGAAGTTAGAAAAATGTGCGAAAAACAATTAGAACATGAACGTGAGATATGTTATGGTTATAGAGATTCTCCATACGAACTAGACCAATGGGAACAAGAAAATTTAAAGAGAGAATTTAGAGAATATGAACTCGCTAAGATAGCATTAGAAGCTGCAGAAAAGAAGTTAAAAGCCTGGGGTCGTTTTGTACAAAAATATTGTGAGTAAATGATTTAGGTCATTCAATAATGACTTATTTTTGAAGAATTGAAGGTGTCACCAGGTCACCATGTGTCACCAGGTCATTTAACTTCTCTGAAAAAATGTGACAACATGACATTTTGACAACATTTACGAAAATTTGATGCAGTCCAAAAATAAAGTTAGTTTTAAAATTATTTTTATTTTTTTATTCCTATATAAATGACAGCAACAAACAACAACAGCAACTATATCGTTTCTGATGAAAAAGTTATTGATTCATTAGCTGAGGAATTAGTTGTGGCAGAAACTAAAACCCTCAACGAAAGAATTGGTGAAAACAGGATTGATTTACATAACTACCTCAAATATGATGGAGGAAGAGGAAGGAAAACTGGTATGGCTTTATTAGTAAATAAAATTTCAAATTTAACGATTATAGATGTTGATATCAATAAATCGTACAATGATGAACTTAAAGAAACAGTTAGAAAAGACATTTTATCAAAACTTTCGGATAAAGATGTTATCGTTAAAACCGCATCAGGAGGTCTTCACATTTATTGCAACACTAATTTCTTCTATTCAACCTCGAACAGAATGATTAAATGTTATTCTTGCAATGATTATGATATTGACATAATGACTTCTATGGATGATTCAAAGCGTTCATTAGTGGTTATGGCTGAATCAAGAGTTCGCAAGAATGCAACAGAACCAATCATTACATACTCATTCATTCGTGGAAGTTATGATTCAACATTAACTAGAACAGTGAATGATATATTAAATGATTTGAATATTAAGGTAAGAGTTGAACAGAAGAACGAAGAAATAAAGACTATTATGAATGAAAACAAAGATGTAAACATTGACGATAAACTTGCCCAGAGCATAGTTGATGGCATCTGTGATTTTGAAGTACATAATGACGGTGGAAACATGAATTTAGAAAAAGAAGTTACATTATTCACACTGTTTCAAGCTATTAATTCATTACCGGATCATTTAATTAATGAAGCATACGATAACGTTTATAACTTCTGCAGCTTAACTGAAAATGCAAAAAGTAATTTTGAAAAAGCACGTAGTAGATATGCACATTTAATGACTTCTCCATTTGTTTTAGTGAAGATTCTAAAACTTTATCAAAAGGAATATTATGATGAATACGTTTTACCTTTATTACGTAAGCCAAAAATAACATTTGATATAAAACTTGATGACTCGTTTTTGATAACAGATATTAGACGCAAGGCTGAAAATCATCAGTATAAAAACAGTTCTGAAGTAATTGAGGATTTATCACGTGTAATCCGTTTTGATGATTGTGGAAACAAATACTTCATTCAAAAGGACTATAATATTCATGACAAAATGAATCAAATATCATTCGTTCTTCAATCAAACATGAAAGAGTCACTCAAAATGATTAAATTATTTAAAGAAGAAGGTAAAACCATAACAGCATGGGACGTACTACTAAATCAATTATCCTCATTAACCGTTAAGGGTGTTTGCTTTAAATCTGATTCTCCAGATGTTTTCTCAACGTTTCAGGGTTATAAATACAACATTCTCGAAAAACCAGATTACTCAAAAATTGAGATGTTTATGGATTTCATTAAAGAAGCCATTTGTGATAATAACGATGAAGTGTATAAATACCTTCTCAGCTGGATTGCATCAATGATTCAACATCCTGGAATCAAGAATGAAACAGCAATTATTTTGAAAGGACTTCAGGGAACAGGTAAAAACAGATTTACAGACATTATTTCTGAACTCCTCGCTGGTTATTCATGTAAAAACATTACTGAAATAAGTGAGCTAACGGGTAATTTCAACTCAGTAGTTGAGAATAAAATGTTTCTTGTACTTAATGAACTCAAGAATGTAGGTGAAGACAGACTCGCAAACTTCAACGCTTTGAAATCAATTATTACGGATAATGAGATTAGAATTAATGAAAAGAATCAACCCAGAAGAACAGCACAGAACGTTGCAAACTTCATTTTCGTAACTAATAACGTCTACCCTGTCAAAATTTGAAGTTGGAGACAGAAGATATGTAGTTTTAAGTTAATGGTAAATTCAAGGGTCAATTTGATTACTTCAAGAATTTAATGGATTCATGCACAAAGGAATTTTATGATTAATTTACTGACGTATTTTATGCAATATGACCTTTCATCATTTAATGTACGAATCATTCCGATGACTGAAGCCAAACAAGATTTAATTGAATTATCAACAAATCCTTTAGATGAATGGATAAATACACATTATGATGAATTGTGTGCAGGTATGACGTGTGAAAATGCTCTATTCTGCAAACCATCAGACATGAAAGACAAGAATTTCCAAATGAGTATTAAGGATAAATGTGATAGGAAACAGATAAGAATAGATGGTAAACAAACATGGTGTTATGTTTTGAAAGAAGAAATGAAAGGATTATATAAACAGGTTGAACCAAACGATAATGAGGAATCATTTACTGACGATGAAATACCTGTAAATGAGGCAGTATAAAGTATGATTGGAATTTATTTTTGCATTCTCTTGTACCTGTTGTCAAAATGTCATGTTGTCACACTTTTTCAGAGAAGTTAAATGACCTGGTGACACATGGTGACCTGGTGACACCTTCAATTCTTCAAAAATAAGTCATTATTGAATAACCCGTGTTGTTGTCAAAATGTCATGAGTTAAATTACCTGGTGACCTGGTGACACCCTCAGTTCTTCAAAAATAAGTCATAACTGCCTTCCTCCTGTGTTGTTGTCAAAATGTCATGTTGTCACATTTTTTCAGAGAAGTTAAATGACCTGGTGACACATGGTGACCTGGTGACACCTTCAGTTCTTCAAAAATAAGTCATTATTGAATAACCTGAAAACATTAACGTAAACATTAACGTAAACATTTATTTCTGCAGTTCATCCATTACTTCATTACCTAATTAATTACAGACATAAAATATATTTAGTTCATTCGGTAAGCCCAGACCTTTGGGTCAAGCACATTCATTGAACTCTATACCATGCGAATACAGTCATAAATGGTGGCATGTATTCTTTACTTTGTCCCGTTGTTTGTGTATATCCTGAAACGAAATGTGTATGGTTTCCTTCTCCCTGAGTGTCATCCCAGTAACAATTTATAGCAAACTTAACATCATCTTTAACATCATATCCTCGACCTTTTGTCATTCCTGACCAATCCCAATATCTATGCTTATGCCAACCCGCTTGAGATGTACTTAAATCTATGTAGTGACTGTGTGCAGGTAAATTTTCACCTGAAATCGTTTTACTTCCCCCTGTTTCCTTTGAAGAGTTTGCACAATACAAAAACCTGCCAACTATTTGTTCCCATGCACCAACACCAAACATTACTTGAGGACCTCTTGCATCCATAGATGTATAAATAGAACCTACTGGGTTCATTAAATCAAACATATGAGATATTATAGGATTGTCTCTTTTGAACTTAAGATATAGTGTAACTATTTCAGGTTTCTTCTGGTTTGTGTCAGAATATTTTTTATAATATAATCTTATGTTTTCAGGGTAGGTAAAATCTTGACTATAATATTTATTTCTGTCATCTGTATAATAATATACTATTCTCGTTTTTTCTATTGCATTATATCTTTTATATCTATAATAATCTAAATATAATGTTAGTTTTTGTTCATCTACACGTGGTGTTCTGTCGTCATCTCCATAGTCATAATAATATGGTGCTGGAGCTGGGTCAGCCAACGTCATACCTGCCATTTCATAAACTCTTAAATATTTCTTTTGTTCGTCTCCATATAAGTTTAAGTAGCGGTTGTTGTCTAATGGAACTTTAACTTGTGTTCCATTATTCTTTATATAGCCTACATACATTTCATTGTTATTTTTCGGAATGAGTTTATACCGTATACCATTTTTTAAGGAGTGTACAAACTCCCATCTAAAATATTTGTTTTCTTCATAGACAGAAACATCCCCAACAATAGTTTCAATATTTTTTGTTGTTCCTATCAAACTTTGGTGTATTTCATCCACATAAGTTTTATCTGCCTTCTTATTTAACTCACTATCAACATATTCCTTATCTGCCTTCTTATTTAACTCACTATCAACATATTCCTTATCTGCCTTCTTATTTAACTCATCGTTAACATAAGTTTTATCTGCCTTCTTATTTAACTCACTATCAACATAAGTTTTATCTGCTTTAAGATCTAAACATCCTGAAACCCACCCTGTATCAGCTTTAAATTTAAAAGTCTTCAATGTCCATTCATGATACCATTCAACCCTTTCTTTAATTTTTTCATATATTTCATTATCTTTTTCATCCACATATTCCTTATCTGCCTTCTTCATTATGTCGTTTAGGAAACCTTCTATGAATTCCTCATTTAAATTAAATCTTCCAATCTTCAAAACTTTAGGAAATGCATTTAATGCGTAATATCTCTGTTCTTCTGGTGGAATTGATGTTATATCATCCGTTATTCCTTTAATTTTTGAATTCATAAATAAAATTTCTTTTATATTTGATATCACTGCACCACCCTTGCAAACGAATTCGAAATGGTCATTTTTCAATACTATCTCCAAATCTCCATATTTCAACCTTTGCGTTTGTTCTGCCGTCTTTGAATTATATGCATATATGGCGTATGTAATGGTCTGAAGGACCTGGGTGCTTTGCGCCTTAAGTTGTTGCTGTTGTTTAATCATTTATTATGATTTAAAAATAAATATTTAATCCGTTATCTCATCAGCTATTTTCTCTATTTGAAATTGCCATAATATTTCATTCATAAATTCTAAATCACAATCAAATAGGTCAGTTATTCTAAATTTAATATTTGATAAATCTTTTGAATGAAGAATAAATGAATTCCCGGATAATTGAAACGGATATGATAAAGAAAATGTGTTTAAGTTGATGGATAAAATGTTTTGTATTGATGGGTAAGAGTTAGGGTCTAATGTTTGATGTGAAAATCTCATTGGGGTATTAACTTTATCACATTTGATTAAAATGAAATTGGAACCAGTGTCAGAATACAAAACATCCCCAACATCTTTTTCAAAATTTAATATCCCCAACAATGAACGAAGATGAGGAGTACAAAATTTAATTTTCAGCGGAAATTTAATAAGGTTATTTATTTCATCAAGTTCAAAAAGTTTATCGGGTTTTGATTTAAAATTTTCTTCATACCATACGATAAATGATTCATTTAAATAACTTAAAATCATGTTAATATCCCATTTCGCTATCACATTATTTATATACATATCATACGTTTTTTCAAGGTCATCTTTAATAAATGATATATAATCTGAAGGGTCTAAAAGAATGGGATTAAATTTACCACTCACAGAAACGAGAGTAACATTATAAATTCCGCTAACTGTTAAATTTAATTCACAGTTATTATTCGAAATAATATTGATAATTGACATTTTTATTACGATTAAAAATATGGTAAAGCGTTATTTTCCAGTGATAAATAAAACTAGAATAAGATTACCTCAAGAATTCATAAATTCAACGAATAAGAAATTCATTCATGTTATAAATTTTAGTGTTTTCAGAAAATATGAGTCAATGTCATATTCATCAACAGGTTATATTTCACTTCATTCAAATTTAGTTCAATCAAACCCATATAATGACCATTTCATAAGATTTTCAGATGGTATTAAAAATGTAATTGATAGATTAAAATATGAACAGATTGACAATATCGAATTTTTGGAATTTTGGTTTAAATATCCCGATGGAAAAAAGATTGAAGTTAAAGATAAAGCTGATACTATAACAAAAACAATTACAATGACCGATCCAGATAGTGGGGAACAAAAAGAAATAAAACAAACGATAGAAACTGGTGAAAGGTCAATTATTATTGATTATGATTCAAAGGATTATTATTCGATAATGTTAATGCTTGAATATTAAATAGCCTTAACAAAGAATTTTTCAAGTGATATTTTATATTCATCAACTATTTTATTGTATATGTTATTATAAGTTAAATGTAGTTCAGTTGTTGCTCCGTTCTTTGATATCTTAATTGTGCTAATATCCTTTATAGGATTTATTTTTGCAACTGTTCCGCAGCATGAAACCTCATCATCTATGAAAAATTGAATCTTAACGTCTGAATCTTGAACATCACAAAGAATGGCGATAATGTGAATTAATGATTCATAAGGTAAAATAATTAAACCAGATTGGTCAATTAAATTTATTATTGAATCATAATTATTAATTATTATATCACGGTAAATTTTCATTAATTCAGAATTAATGTCTACTTTATATGGCGCATTGCGACTGGAATCGTAGATTCCTGGGTTCTCGATGTTTGATGAAAGAGGTGGGGGGTATGTTGGATATGTGGGGATTTCAACGGGTTCTTTACCGGGTTCAGATAAAATGATTGGGTCTTCATCTTCTTTATTTTGCTCCTCCTCTTTCTTTGGTAAGTCACGAGTTAATAAATTGGACTGTGTTGCTGACCTTGTTAATTCAGGACTAACATTAACTTTAACATTTTGAATAATTCGTGATTTATCATCATTTACGTTATAACCAACCGTAATCTCTGCTTTTGCGTTTGTGTTCTTTTGACTTGTGAAACGTCTTCTCATTTATAATTGAATAAAAAAAAGAAAAATATATTTAAAGTTTTATTTAGTTGTTACGGTAATATCCCAAGGTTCATCCTTGTTTGCTTATACTTTCTTTGTAACTGCACCAATTATGTTATTGATAATGATTTGAGTTTCTTCCAGTCTTATTTTATCATTTACAATATCTTTAATCATTTCATTACATGCATTCTTAAAACCATCTGATTTTTCTAATTTACGTCTATCACTTTCTTTAATTAAATCAAAGTTATAACCTTGTTGAGAATAAAGTGGTTTCTTTATCAATTCCTTGAACGCTTCTGAAAGTGAAGATGAAGAAATTCTTGCCACTTGAATTGGTTTAAATTCTGCTTTCATTGCTTCTTTCTGTTCATTGAACACTGGATCGAATAAAGCAACTTTAAAGAATTTCTTAGCTGGAATTTCAGGTCTCAAATTTGCATATTGACCATCAAACTGATTAACATATTGAGGTAATCCGTTTGGTCCTTCTTCAATAGCGTTTAATTCTTCATTGAAATAAGAATATGGATTATGACGGTATGAAAGAATTGGTCCATCTTTACTGTCTCCGATATGTTGTTTAACAGCTTTTCCATTTTCATCAAATTGCATAGGATAACGTTCATTATATGCTTTACGTTTAGGATAATCCGTCATTGTTAATTTATACCCATTTATGACTTTAATATTTCCTTGACCATCAGTAACAAAGACTTCATTTATTCCATCAGGCTTTCCATTTGGTCCTGTAATGTCTGCTTCATGTGCTTCCCAATTTGGTCCATGACGTTTGGCATATGCTTGAGCTTCTGGTAATGTTAAAACGTTTCTCATTTGTTTAACATCCTTTTGAAGACCGGCAACAATGTGGACTAATTCTTTCATTCCGTCTGGAACTTTCATAGTTCTATTATATGCACCCTTTTTGTTTGTCCCTTGTTTTAATGGAACCTGTAGAAGATTTGCAATTTCTGTCATGTTTAATTATAAATAAAAAATAAAAATTAATTATAAAAAGTTATCAATTTAATGGAACCTTTATTTAAATCAACTATTATTTTTCCATGTTCTCCTAATTGTTGATATTGTGTGTAAAGTTCATTAATGCTCATTGGTAAATTCACTTGATAAAGCATAACGTTCAACTGTTGACGACTAAAACCACTGAAAATGAAAAGGGTGGACAGGTTTGATTTAATGTTTGTGCTTAATGCTTTAAAGTATTGAACAGCCATAAAGAATGAACATTGAATATGTCGACATTGAGTTAATAATTGATTAAAATATGATTTCTCATTAGTTATTAGTTTTGATTTCACGGCATCATCTAGAAAAATGAGTGAATGCAAAAATTCTTTATCAAAATTTGAAATAGAAAGTGTTTCAAATAATTCATCCCGTTGTTTATCAATAATTTTATCCTCTAATCCTTGCTTCTTGATTGTATTATATAATTCTTTATACATTAAAAAGTTTTTTAAATAATCTTCTGCTTCTTCTTGTGATAAATAAATAATTGGAATTTTGATTAAATGCTTTAAAGATTCAAATGTATCATCTGAAGGTGAACCTGAACGGTTGATATAAATTAACACATGTGAATAGGGGGAAGTGTTAGCAATAATGATAATTTGTTTTAATATCGTTAATGTTTTACCTTTATTTTGTTTACCAATTGCTGCAGTGATTGAATTTAAATAACATTCAGAATATGGAATTTTCATTAATTTTCCTTAGATAGAGCATTTCTATTATCACTCAATGCTTCATTAATCATATCATCTACGTATGTATTATATACTCCTGCTAATTCTTCATAAGGGGTGGATGAATTTAAATCCATTTAATCAAAAATAAATTTATAATTTTAAACATTTCTATTCATCAATATTTCATCATATGAACTTCTATACTGTGGTGGTGTACCTGTTGGATGATATTTCAAACCTTCATCCGGTGTCCATGTCCAATACGTAGTCCTAGTAAACCAAACCTGAGGAGGATTTGTCACCTTTGAACAGTAAGTGTCATTTTCACCCTGAATGATTGGATAAGCTTTCACTTGTACTGTAACTTGTGAGTTGAAAGTTTCTAATCCATCAAAGAATATACCCGCTCCATCACGTTGAACTGGAATAGTGCATAAGAATGAAGTTTGGTCTTTCCATGTTCTAGCTAATGGCTGCCATCATCTGCATTCAGTGGTCTAGTTAATGAGTCCTCGTATTCTTCTGTGCATTCATTCACTCCATCTAAATCAGAAGCTTGAAGCATACGTGTAAAGAATATGTCACCCACTGTGGTCATCGCTTGATCGGGGAAGTTTCTGGAATCTATAGTGACCTGAAGACCTCGAAGCATTGGATTTTCTAAAACTGTTCTTTGCATTGCATTCTTCGGAAATGTTAACACAACATCTGTAACATTATGAAGAGCGTATGAGAAATCTGAGCTAATACCTTCAGGAGTGATGCAACCTCCATTTAGTGAACGAACGTCAATATGTTGAGCTGGAATCATGAATGGATCTTCCTTACTGAATAAACGTGGTATTGCTTTAACTGATTCTTCAATTAAACCGTATCCTGGTGTAATGCATTTATCCTCTAAAACTTCCATCTTTGTGCATGAAATAATAACATTATCAACTGTTGCGTCAGCAGATGTAGCGGCTAAGCTTGTAATTAATTTGGCAGGAAGTCCGATTTGTTGGAATTTGCGATCATATTTATAAACATGATTCATAATCTTTTCATAATTTTCATCAGTTATCTTTTCATAAACGTAATTTTGTAAATCAGCAACTCTTAACGGGTCAACCTGACAAAATACTAAAGTATCCCTGAAAACATAATATTTAAGAATGATTTCACCAAATGATTTAGGATAATCATCGAACGCCTGAAATGCTAACAAATCATTTACCGGAATAATCATATCAAAAGTGACATCAACTTCTTCATTTGCTTTCTTGAAAACTTCTGAAGGGTCAATATATTTACCACATACCGAGTTATCATATTTTTGAACATTATTATATAACGAATGAACAAACTTTTTAACTTTCCTTTCTGATTTTGGTTTATATGTTGCAAATGCAAAAGATTCACGGGCGCAATCCATCTGAAGATAACCGGCATCATCTCTTTCGGTTTCTACTTCTAATTGTTTAAAGCTTTGATTTGATGATTTGTAACCAACGAATAAACGCATGCATTTAAAAGCGGCATCACATGTGAGTTAGTATGGTTAACTTGGGTACGGCGGCACTGCGTTCCACCTTACCCAACTTAACCTTAAATATTTACAAAACCATCTGACACATAAATGACTTCACTAATGACTTCACTAACGACTTCACTAATGAAAAATAAACGTTCTCACTAACGTTCCCACTAATGTTCTCATTTACAAAAGTATTGCAGCGCTTCCCATTGCTGTGCTTCACACAATAGTTCATATTCTTCAGTATCGCTGCTGTCACTCCAATCGTCAGAGTCAAAGTCACTGTCAAAATAAATGTTAGTAAGTTTTGACAAAGCTAATGAAACACGCTTACCGTTTGTATCTATTGCTTTTATATATCTCCCATTATGTTTGTTGTCATAAACGCTCAAACTAACTTTACCCTTTCTCCCTCGTATCTGATAGAATGTATTTTCACGAGGAACGAAGAACAAATTCTTGAACTCATGACCGTTGTAGTTTGTTATCTCAATAGTTTTCGTCATTTATATAAAAATAAAATAAAAAAATAAACTTAAAAATAAATGATATCACCACCCTCACACGTATGAAAACATAGCACAAAAATAAATTTAGGTGAAGTGGTGAGATCTCACCTCTTTTTTCACCCTGTTGAATTCATTGCTTTATAACTCTCTTCCTTTATCCAACTCTTCTAGCTTCTTCCTAAGTTCAGCAATGTTGTCCTCATGAAGTTTAATCTTCCTTAATATACCTTCTCTATCTAATGGTTGCTTTATCTTTCTAAACTGAACTCTACCATCCTTCATAGTATAAATGTAAAAACCTTCTGGAATAGTTCCTGATTTAATGTATTCTACCAAAAACTTTTGTTTCATTGCTTCAGTGACTTTATTTGTCATTTCAATCAAATAAAAATTTTAATATTAAATAAAAATAACGTTATTTTTTCAGTAAGGAAACGCAGGAGTTTTACGATTTATTTGAGGAGTAGGTTCTGGTTTAAATGTTGGAGTCGGTTTAGGAGTTGACTTTTGAACAGGAGTTTGTACTTCCATAGGTTCAGGAGTCATTGAAGGTTTTGCTTGTGAAGGTGTCGGAGTTTGTTTAACTTCAGCTACTTCAGTATTATTTACAACATTTGCTTTATTTCTTTTCAACATCATTACTGCTCCTGCTGTAGCTAGCAAACCTAGTGGGAGACCATATTTTATATAAGGACTTGACCAAATGCTATTTTTGACAGGAGCTGGTGGAACACCTAACCTTGGTGAGACTGCTCTTTGCCATTGTGCAGCTCGTAAGAAATATTCAATAGGTGCTCCATAATCGTTTGGTAAAGTTTGTTTCATAGATGGTGAAGGTTCACGAGAGCTTGATGAAGAACTCATTTATAAGCTTTAAAAATAAACGTTCATCCTTTATTCCTCACTGTCGTCCGTGCTAAGTTATAGTCATCTAATCTTATTATGGGATGCCATTAGCACGCACCTGAATGGCAAAGCAACAATCCCTCATAAATCCAATAAGTGGCTTTGGTACATTTTCAGTTGCTAGTTCAATAGGTCCTTTAACAGACAATTTGTATGTTATTGGAGCAGTAGATGTTTGACCTTGCTGGAAGCAAAAGTCCACTTCTGTTGGAAAACCACATAAGAAATGTGTGTTGTCATAGCTATCCCATTTATGTTCCACACTACCATCATCCACCAATGACCTCATAACATCTTCATTAAATCCTATCATATCATTGTTTGTATTGCAAGCGTTCGCAACCATTTCATAAAATACAGGTCCATATGATTTTTCAGGTTCTGCAGGCATATTTCCATAAGTCCCATGGAAAGCTGAAGATATTTAAACTTAGGGTCTCAAAATTAACATAATAGTTGTCTTTCTTTCTAAATAGTGCCCAAATACTTTTAACATTAATAGGCGTATAAGCTGCTGTAAATGTTGCACTTGAACTATCTGTATTCTTTGAGAATGAACCGTCCATAGGAATCCAATCCATAACTTTAACAGGAAAACATAAAGCCTCGTTTGTATAATGTTCTACAAGTTCTGTATAAAATGTTAGGGTCTAAAGAGAATGACTTTGGATGAATGAAACATTCATTAAAATCCATCTTTGTTCGAAATAGTTGCTGGTTACAGTTGTAATAGTAACTGTTCCACTAGCTTCTACTGCCTTCGTTATCATAGTGAATGGTTCATTCCATGGAACAAATTTATTTGTCGGTGGATTTGAATCTGAAGCAAATGCAACTTTAAGAGTTGGATTGAAAGCAATGATATCATTTACAGATATAGATGTGCATTGTAAGGCGTCGCTACTGAACTTTACTTTAAGCTGAATGTTTCCTGCAAAAGCTGGAATAAATCGAATAGCTTCTAATGGAAGGAATCTTCTAACAGGAATTCTTAAACGAAGCTTAAAATCAAATGATTTTCCTGCTGTAATTGGACCACTAACAATTTGTCCTGTTCTGCATGTTCCCGAATGACTCCATACATCTTCATGTCGAGTCTTGAGAAAAACATCTACTTTCTTTATTTGTTCGGTAGTTTGTGAGTTTGAAGTTAATATGCTTCTTCTCTTGCGTTGTCTTGAGAATATACGATACGACCATTTGCAAGGATTTGATATCCAGCAACTGCATAGAAAGCGTCATCGAAACCAATCCAAAATCCTGGTGGGTTTGTTTTATTGGAACCTGAACCAATTTCTTTATCTACAATAAATTGACCTTCCATTTTATACGTAATGAATGTATTGTAAAGGTCCAACATATTTTCACCAGGAGGTGAGAGATTAAATGTTACCCATGTGTTATCTTTAGCAGTTCCAGGTTGTGATGGAATCTTTGCGTCAGAATATTTTCTATTAGTGTCACCAATTTGAACTGCATTGTCTATGATATCGAAATATGAGCGAATCTGATGAATATGCTCTGCTGGAGTAAATTCGTTTAACTGTTCGTTCTGCATGTATTTACTTCAGATAAAAATATCTATTTACTTCATTATTCTCACTCTTCTTCTTGGCATTCGTGGTGGAAGTTGTTTCTTGACATTTTCAATGAACTGTACATTCTCTTTGTCTCAACTTCTTTCACTGGTGGTCAGGGTTCTTTGACTCGGTTTGTTTTTCAATGAAATTCACGAACTTTGCAATAAGCTCTTGGTTCGTTATTGAAAGTACATCTGGCTTCTTTTCTTCTTGTTCTTTTGGTGGCTCAGTTTGAATAGAAGGCTTAACATGGGCTTCGTGGACTTCACCCTTGCCATACACCTTAATGTTGTCGCTTTCTGCATTCGCTAATGGAACCTTTCTTTTTCTTACGTATATTTTACCATCTTTACTCTGACTTACGTAATAGAAAGGATGTTGTATTCCTCTTGCGTCATTTAATATAATAGACTCTCGTTCTGATTTTGACAAGCTCATTTTACACCGGTTAAAGTTTTAATTTTGTTTTTTATCTGCAGTCAAATGACTCAGACAAGCCCTACGGACAAGACCAAGGGGTCATAGATGTTGAAGCATTGAAGAAAGAAATTCGCGAGCAATTTTATCCGAACTGAAGGAACAAAAACAAGAACAAAAGCCAGAGAGACCAAAGAGAAAACTTAGTGAAAAACAACTTGCTGCATTAGCTGCTGGAAGACAAAAGAACCCACGTTTGCTGGCAAAGAAAGTTAGAGAAGAAGCAAAAGCAAAGGAAGAACAAAAAGCTAAAGAAGCTGAAGCAAAGAAAGAGTAAATGGTTATTTTTATCCGAATTAAATGTATAGACAAATACCTTTATCTGTTGCGTTCAGTAGTGAAAACCCTGACGTCAAAATAAAGGGGAACAGAGTAACGTTTAAGTTTCCAACAGACTGGATTGTGAACATAAATGAAGAGAAGTACATTGGCATAACATCTATGTATATAACACGTGCTTTCAGAAAGGTTGACTTTATACTTCAAGTCGAGATAGAAAATGACGAACAGTCTTTAAGCGCCCAAAACATTCACATATACAAATACTTTAAAGACGATACAACATTGCAACAATGTATGATTTCATTTAATGAGATGTTCGAGAAAAAGTTCAACATTGAAGTACAAACTTTACAGCCTTTACGTGAGTTTCTTGCACAACTGAAAGAAGAAGGTAGTCAGCCACAACTTATAGACTTTCATTATGAATTTAATGAAAATGAAGATGGAACTCATGACTGTCAGTTTGTTGTATTCTCACCATTCAATGAAGTAGCTAAAAAGAAAGAAAATCCATTACGTATAAGATTTCAAATCTCTGAACCAAGTGATGATTTCAAGAATTTTCAATTATGATGCAATGCTTCCGAGGAAAAATGAATTTTCAAAGATTGTAACACCTGGCATTTGGGATAGAAAGCAAGCTATATTATATTCAAACTTAAGTAAGGGAGTTGAAAATGAGTTCATTGGTCATACAAGAACTTCACCACTTCCTAACCCTAAATACTATAAATTAACTGGCTTCAATCGTGAGTTTTGGATAGACATGTTCTCCACTCATGACCATAACTGCCAAGTGTTCTTACCTCCAGACCATAAGGACTGTCTCTACATTGAAGCACAACTCTTAAACTCTACCATCGCAGTATTGTAAAATCTACGCTAGCTTTATTTTTATCACGAATGACCTCATTTCTGACAAAAATAAATGACCTCATTGCTGACCTCATTCATGACCTCATTGCTGACAAAAATAAATGACCTCATTGCTGACCTCATTCATGACCTCATTGCTGACAAAAATAAATGACCTCATTGCTGACCTCATTCATGACCTCATTGCTGACAAAAATAAATGACCTCATTGCTGACCTCATTCATGACCTCATTGCTGACAAAAATAAATGACCTCATTGCTGACCTCATTCATGACCTCATTGCTGACAAAAATAAATGACCTCATTGCTGACCTCATTCATGACCTCATTGCTGACAAAAATAAATGACCTCATTGCTGACCTCATTCATGACCTCATTGCTGACAAAAATAAATGACCTCAGAACTTCAACTTACGAATAAAGCTTGTTTTAGTCGTTATTGAGAAGTTAAACTTTTCAGCAAAGCAAGGACTAGAAGACTTACATAAGTCAAATCCAATCTCTTGACCGTCATAAAGTGCTTTGTAAAGTTTCATTAAACTGAACTCAGAGTCTTTGTCATATGTTCCAACAGGTATGTGAATGTTCTTATCTTCATTGTAATAGCATTGTATAGCTTCAGGAAACATTTCATTAGCGGTTAAAGCAAGGACGTCTTGTTTGACACCTTTGCAACGTGCATGGAATGCAACTTCATTTAAATCGTTAGTGAGTAAGTCTATGTAAGTCTTCTTTCCACAAAATATTGACTTGTATGCTAAACTTTGTTTTCCAGGTGTTATTTCTGCGAAGTCAGAATGGAACTGACCTAATGTTTTACCAATAAGTTCTCTACCGTATCTCTTCTTAAACTCTGCTGCAAGCTTTGGTATGTCTTCATTGAAAATATGCATGCTATCACAGTCCTGGTAAAATATTTGAAGTCCCATATCTTCTGCAGTACAGAATACTTCACACATTATTCTCTTCGACATTGATAGAATATTTACACCAAGTGGACAGAAGTTAAAGTGTCTGCAAATGCTTTTCGTTAGCTTGAAAATAGTTTTATCTGAACCATCCAAACCTTCGAACTTCACTATATGGTTGTAGTTTCTGATGGCATATCTTATAGCATCTTTGTCATTTACTATGGTTATTTTTGACTCAATAGGAGATAGAATAGTTTTGCCATAAATACTGTTCAGAATGAGCTTTATATTTTCTTGCAAAGGATTTCCTTCTTTCTTATACTTTAACCTTAACTCAAACAACTTCTTTACTTCATCTCTTATTCTAATATCTCTGTTTCCATCGTAATAGTATCCTTGCAACACTTCACATTTGACACCTTGATATTTTATGAGGTCTTGTAATGTTATATGGTCAACATACATTAAACAGCAAGTGTTTGAACTTCTGGGAACGTTAAGTTCTGGATTTAGTTCAGGGTCACAAACTATTAAAGGAAAGTGTCTATGTATTCCAATCTCTGTTATCTTAATGAGAACAAAGAAGCCAGACATAAACTTTTCACCAATGGGTTCCTTTTGGTCGTCATCGAATAAATGTCTCATGAGATACTCTGTGCTTAACATTTCTTTCTTCATAACCTTTGGAATACCTTCTAAAGTATAAAGTCTTGCTATAGCGGATGGATATAATGAAACAGCGTCGAAGTCAGCAATGAGTTTCTTTTCGCTCTTTTGTTTCATGTTATCTGACAGCATACATCTTCCACCTTGAATACAGCGTGAAATAAATTCTCTTGGTTTATTTGAGAGGTCATATAAATTTCCAATCAGGAAGTACACTCTGTTCTCAAACAATTTGTTAGCAATTGAACAAATACTAACGTAGTCATAAACGTTTAAATCAAATTCTTTCAATATGTCATTGCGGAACTTAACAAAACCTTCTCTTAAAATTTTTACATCTTGTTTGCAATAAAATGTGCTATACTTTTCTAAGTCGAAGTGGTTTTCATCTATTCTGCAACCTTTGATGGAATCTATGTTTTTCATGAACGTATTCGCATCCCGGATAAACTTACATGCTTCAGAAATGACACCAGTTCTGTTGTCATTTGCTAACAAAACACTGCTGTAGTAGTTGTATGGAAATACTTCTTTCGGTCCTGTTTGTAAGTTAAACATAGCAGGAAATAGTTTAAGCTTCTTATTTATAACACTGTAAGAGTCTTTTATAATAATTGCCCTTCCTTTATATAAGCCAGTTATTTGCATTGTTCGTGAACCTTTAATGATGGGAGTTCCTTTCACTTCTGTCATGTGTCTTAAGATGAAGTTTATATCATAACTGAGGTTATGGAAATATATTAAACTCTTGTCAGGAAGTCGCTCCAAAAATTCTGTTGCACAGTTCTGACCCCAAATGCTTTCACTCACTGAACCATCTTCACTGTCATAACAGATGTTAAAAGCTTTATGAAAGCCGTCTGTGCTACACTCAAAGTCAGCAAAGAAAACGTGCTCAGGAATGAACTTGCACTTATTTTTATTTACTTCTTTTGACTCGGCTTTCTTCTTCAGTTGTACACAATACTTTGGAGCATATGTCAAATCTTTAAATGGTGCAAGGTTCTGTTTATATAAGTCAGTCGTATATGTGAAAAGTTCTCCATAAGAAATAGGTTCGAAATATTTGCACTCCCACAATGTTTTCATAACATCCCATAACGGTGTTGTTCTATCATAACGAACTACATATTTATCTTCTCTCTTTGTATAAATCTTCATCTGTTTCTCAATGTTCATTCCACCACAAGCTTTGAGAATTTCTTTATAGTTTCGAATGAAATATGTTGTCATAGGTAATCTTTCGTTTAGCATGTAATGGTCTTCAACAAGAAGTAAGTCAATAGTTCGAACAGTTTCACATTCTTTTGGTATATATCTCTTTATTTCATTATGTCTTGAGTCATTGAAGTAACCAATGGTAACATTAAATGCTATACCTGTTGCATCAGAAATTTCTTGTACTTTACTTTGAGGAAAGTCTCTAACACGAATGACTTCTCTCATGTGGTCAATAGTTTCTTCATTTACTCCAGCCTGAATGCAAGCATAAACGAAACAATTGTCCTCTGTCATAAGTGCTGCAGTTCTTTTGTTCAATTCATTGAAGATTTGGTAGCGCTCAAGATTTATAGGTAATGTGCAAAGATACTTCCAGAACTGACCGCTTCTCTTCTTATAAAACTTCTTTTCACCATTATCTTTCCAAAAGCTTTCTATAAGTGCTGGGTTTCCTGTTTGCTTAAGAGCTTCCAAAATGGCTTTCTGGTCATTTGTCAGTGTGCTTTCATCTCTATATGGTCTCTTTTTTGGTTTGCCTTTCTTTACATCTGACATCGTTAAGCCTTCATATTCTGTTAAATCATACATCTTTATTTCGGTAAGATTCTTTATGTTTGTCAAGAAGAAGTCATAGTGCATTTCAACAATACCTGCAGCATTTGCTTCTATCTCTGATATAAAGTTCTCCTTCAAGAGCTGATGTAGTAATGTTCCAATATTATTGAGGTTTAACGTAGAACATTCATACTTTCCACCAAGTTTATAACATACCATCCATCTCTGTTGTGAGTTTATTTTAATTTTCTCTAAGAGTCTCATGAAAACCTTACCGAAATGTTTGTGTAAGTAGTCTCTGTTTGGTTCATCTAAAGCTTCGATGTTAAAGTCAATGAGTCTATTGCCTGTCTTCACATTCCTCTTCCTATTCTCTTCATCTTTCTTTAACCATCTCTCACCTTCTTTTGGTTTGTCGTCAATGGAACGAATGACATCGTTAGCTTTGCGAACTTGTTCTATAGCACTTTTAAACATCTCTCTTCTCTGTTGTTTCAGTGTGTCGTCTCTCTTTCGTGTTTTACCAACGTTTGCATTTGTTATGTCATACATTTCTCTTCTTACTTCATGAGGTACAGCTCTTCTTGTTTCACCAACGTTTGAGTTCGTAAGTTCAAACATCTCTTGACGAACGTCATGAGAAAGAGCTTTACGAGTATGACCAACGTTCGCATTTGTTATGTCAAACATTTCTCTTCTTACTTCATGAGGTACTGAACGTCTATGATATAAGTCAATAGCAACGTCATTTAAAGGAAATGCTCTTGCATGGACTTCGTCCTCACCGCGTTGCGGCTTTATGAACTCATGAACTCTATCATAAGTTATTTCACCATTGTAGTCTTTAATGAAGTCAGCGAGTGCTTTTTTGTTTGTCGCGTAATGTTTTGCAACATCTATGTTAGCTTCTGTAAGAAGTTGTTTTATTTCCGAGTGTTCTAACTTAGACAACTTCCGATACATCTTTAGTAGGAAATAAAAAAATATTTTTTGAAAAAATTAGATTAGATTTTTTTTAAGTTATTTTTCAAAATAATTTAATATTTTTATTTTAATGAAACACATGCAAGATTGCAAGTTCTTTTCATACAATGCTCTCGCTACTGCCATCAAGAATGAGTTCAATGGTGCTTCAAATGTTAATGTTATCTTTAACAAGAAGTTTGTGAAAGAATCTAAGTTTGGTCAGTATGTCAGACCATTAGCTATCGTCATTGACCGCAAACGTTATACTTCACAAGAGTTAGCAGTAGTTTTGAAACAAAAGGGTTTCTTCGTGAATGTCAAAGATACACACTATACTGTCATAAAGAACTCTAACATTGACTTCTTCAGTATTGCTATGAATCTTTCCGAACAGAAAGAATATAAGAAGGGTGAAACATCTGTGAAATATTATCCTTCATCTCTGAAGACAATAACGAACAAAGATGTTATACAAAAATTCTTACCAAAGGTTGAAGAAGCTTCTATTGACATTGACGAAGGAAGTGAAATGGTTGAAGAAATTGACCCTGAAGCTTTATAAGAAAATTTATTTTTGAATAACTGATGGTGTCACTACATCACCATGTCACCAGGTTAATTAACTTCTTTTAAAAATGATGACAACATGACATTTTGACATCACAGGCGGGTTGAATGCAAAAATATTTTTAGTTCATAAAAATTTTTTGATTAATTTTGGCAAACTTCTCAGTGAAGAAAGAACCATTGATATTTGCGAAGGATTCTATTGAGAAGTTCTGAGGAAGCTGAGATGCGTTTTCATTTCCGCCTTCTGTATAGGAACAGATAGAGAGAAGAATGTCAAGAGCATTTTGTGCTTCGGGATAGAATGTGCAAAATTCCCCGATGGCTGAAGTAAGAACTTCAGTTGATCTTAATTTGAGTCTATAAGATCGTTGAGCATTTGCTTAGAAACAATGCGAGCAGAATAATTAACTTTCATTGGATTGGTAAATACCAAATAATTTTCATTTTTCAGTTGCGATGGAATATATCTAACCCTCCCGTTAACTAATAAACTTGACGATCAGACAATTCTCCCTTCGTCGATTATGATCGACATGGAGCGTTTATGGAAACAATTAAATGGTAAAAACAAAATAATGACGATCAGACAATTCTCCCTTCGTCGATTATGATCGACATGGAGCGTTTATGGAAACAATTAAATGGTAAAAACAAAATAATGACGATCAGACAATTCTTCCTTCGTCAATTATGTTCGACACTGAAAACATAAACGATAAAATTTATTTCCAGGACTGTTGTCTAAATGTCATGTTGTCATCATTTTTAAAAGAAGTTAATTAACCTGGTGACATGGTGACGTGGTGACACTGAAAAAATTAATGAAAACATAAACGAAAACATTTATTTCCTGGACTGTTGTCTAAATGTCATGTTGTCATCATTTTTCAGTTGCGATGGAATATATCTAACCCTCCCGTTAACTAATAAACTTGACGATCAGACAATTCTCCCTTCGTCGATTATGATCGACATGGAGCGTTTATGGAAACAATTAAATGGTAAAAACAAAATAATGACGATCAGACAATTCTCCCTTCGTCGATTATGATCGACATGGAGCGTTTATGGAAACAATTAAATGGTAAAAACAAAATAATGACGATCAGACAATTCTCCCTTCGTCGATTATGATCGACACGGACCGTTTATGGAAACAATTTGTTTCGTACCGAAATGGCTAACAAAAAGTGACAGAAAACCTTAAATTGCGCGGCAATTTTAATTAAAAAAATAAACATGAATTTTTGTGATTGATATTATGCATTTTATTTATATTATATAAGATTTAAATTTAGGGGAAAAATTGGAAAAAAATAAGATTGGAAGTCTTTAGGTAAGAAGGAAAGGGCAAGAGATATATAGTGTACCTATATACCTCTTGCCCTTTCATTCTAAGTAGAAATGGGAATTGTAGGCTATGAGGCACTGATATATAATCAGTACCTCATAGCCTACAATTCCCCTTATTAGACTTCCAAACTTTGAGTTAATGTCTTGACATTAACTCAAAGTTTGGAAAACTTCACGTAAGAATCAATCGTCAAAAACCTCGATTGCAGTTATATTCATTGTGTTAAATTTGATTTATTTTGAAATTTTTATAAATTAAATTTTATATAACATAAAGCGTTATGAATTAGTATTTCCATATGAATTTTATCTCGAAAATAGTAATTCTGTACAGTTATATTTCGGTTAATTTTGGAAATTTCTAGGAATAGTTTAAGATAGTATGATTATTTGTTTTCGTTTGACCTGAAAATCCCATAGTATCATTTTTTTGGCTCCAGTAATTTAAACTCTTGTTCGCGCGAATCTTTGTAGTTTGCATCAAATTTTGAATTTAAAAACAAGAAAAATAGTGAAATAAAGTAAAGAAAATCGAGGTTTTTATTCGTAAATAATTGGCTTTTGATTACGTATGGCTCTAAAATGAAGATTTTGTTTTGGAATTTTATCATTATTCTTTTGTCGTGAAATTTTCTATGCTTTCTTTGAGGCTGATGACCTGGCCATCAACCTCCCAATATGCTTATTGATTTTGATCGAGGTACCAATGTAAATCTTTTTCGTGATCTTCAAAATCTGTTGGAGTAAAGTGTACGCCTGTGATTGGATTAATCGGCAGGCTCGCGTGAGGCATATTATTGTAAAAATGTATTACTTTTGGAATATCTTCATTACATCTGCAATTTTTTTCTGCATTGGGCCACCACTTTTCTATCTTTCCATTAGCCTGTGGATTTCCAGGCTTAATGAAAATTTGTGTAATTGAGTGTTTTTTGCAAGGTTTCGAGAATTCTCCGAAATTCTCTTTCCCGTTATCCGTCCAAATCGCGTAAGGATAACCGGGAATCGTTTGTAAAGCTCTTTCAAGTATTATAGCTGTATTATGAGCCGTTTTTTCTTTCATGAGCTGATAATCAATAATTTTTCGAGAACGATCGTCGATTATGGCATATAAATATTGGCCTATCGTTCCACGCCAGTAATGAATATCGGCGTGCCATATTTCATGGCACTTTGTTGCAACGTAATTTCGAGGTTTGTATTTTTGTTCTGTAATTTCTTGATTTTCAGGAGGTTCCTTGATGAGGGCCTCATAAATTTTCCTTCCCATTCTGTAAGACGGAAGTGGAAATGGTTTTTCGATGTAATTAGCTGAAATTAAAGATTCTTCGACAGAATTTGTTTTTAAAACTGGACCATATGATTTCGGGACTTGAGTAACTAAAGAAATTCTATCAGTTTCTTTAAGCCAGTTACCAGAAGTAAAAAGGTTTGCATTTTGGAAGTTTTCTTTGATTTGCTGAAATTTTTGAGGGTGACTCTCAATTTTTGTAAGGTCTGTTTGAATTTTCTGTATTATTTTGTTGATTCCAGTATTCGGCATTTGATCTTTGAAATTACAAAATGCTTGAGCAGCATCCAAATCGATTTCTTCTGGTTTTCTTCCTTTTGGAGGATGATAAGGAATTGGCGCACGTAATTTTACTGCTTTTCGAAATGTGTTTTCAGAAATTTTTGAATATATAACTCTGCCTTCATGATTTATTTTAGCTTTCGCGCAAATATCAGTTAACTTAACTCCATTATTTGATTTTGTGATGGCTTCACAAAGCCAATCAATATCAATCTCTTCTGGAGAATGTCTTCTCATCTAGAATATTTTCAATACTTTACACACAAACATTTTTATTTCTAAAAAACTTTTTAATTTTTTCTAGGATATATGAATGAAAATAGTTAGAACAAGATTTTGAAGCTCAAAACATTAAAAATTATTAAAGATTTGTATAATATGATTAAAAATGGGAAATAATATGAGGCAATATAAAGGAATATGAATATTAAATAAATATATCTAAATAGAAAGAATCAGAAAAATCAAATTATTGGCGCCAAAAATGTCACCTTTTTGGTGAGCCATTTCGGTATGAGATAGTTTATGGAAACAATTAAATGGTAAAAACAAAATAATGACGAAGGGTTTTGTTTTTTATCGTGGTTTTCTCCACTATGGTCCTAACGTGGCACCCGACGAGATTTTTTTTCATTCTTCCTCTTTGAAGTTGTCGAAATATTCTGTTATTTTTTCCTTCAGTAATGTTAAGTCTTCTTTGAATGTAAGTATTGTACAACCTTTGATGTCATAGTGTGTTTGAGGAAGAGTATTTTTGACAATTTCCTTTATTTGCTCATTCGGTGTCATTGAAATCGGTAAGTTTTCACGATAGAACCAGTTTCTGTCAGATTTATATATCTTAGCGAGGTCATAAAAGCTTTTGTTGTTTCTTCTCACTAAATGCAACATAACCATATCTCTGTCTTCTTCTTTCTCCAACTCTTCAGTATATATCATATACTTATAACTCTTTTCCTTTCCTTTTGGTACTGAACGTGGTATTCTTTTCTGTATGCTTTTGTCTTTGGATTCAATGACTTCATCTTTTGCATGAAGTTTCTTTTCCAACTCTCCACGTTCTGCTTTATATAGTTCATCTAACATCATGAAAATATAACAAGCATAACGAGGTGAAGCCCACATTGCTACAGCGTTTACTAAAAGTCTATGAACATAATAACCTTTCAAACCAGGAGCCAAATTCTTGCGATTTTCGTACGGAATCTCTTCCCTCGGTTTTCCGAGGGAAGCAATCATATGAGGAAATTCTTCTAAAAGTTCTTTTGTCTGTTGGTTTTCAAACCAATGATATGCTTGCTTTGTAGAACGAAGAGCATTCAAAATACTTTGCATTTGGTACATATCGTCTTTGACCGAACGAATGAGACGTAACTGTTTGTTATACTGTATGTACTCGTATTCTTCATTTATGACTTCATGAACGATAGCAGTTGTTGTGTTCTCTGTTGTTGTCATTACTGTTTCTTATATACAAAATAAAAAGTTAGAAAAAAATAAAACTAGCGTTATTTTTTCTATCTTGAGAAAATACATGAAAATTCATAAATTTAGGTCATTTATGTTAAAATAAATGGTACCATTAATGATATCATGACTGTTCTCGTTCATGTCTGATTTACATCTAATGAAAAAGTTTAGAAGAATTTTCTTATTCTTTCTGGCATATTTTTGTCTTTCCAATACTCCCGCTCTAATGGTCCCAGATGTGTTGGCTTTGACTCTCTCAAGTTCTTAGATGGTATAACATCTTCAACGCCTCCTTCATATCTTACTTTATAAGTGTCATCGTTTATGTTATAGCCAAGTATTTCAATAACCACTCCTCGCTTTGCTTCGTCAATGGTTTCAGCAAGTTTGCCATTACTACTTTCAACTAACTTATGTCGAGGGTAAAATGCTATGGAGTCGTCAGCAGCTTTTATAAGATATCCATTACCTTGCGTAGAGTCTACGATATAATAATTTCGACTTAACCTTAAACGTTTCTTTGTCAACGGTTTGTCGTCAAGAACTACACGAACTTTTGTACCAGGAATGAGGGTAAATTGTGTTGAATTTCTGATATTTTGTGTTTGACTTCGTTTCTTTTGTATATACTTTTCTTCTTGTTGTTGTGTCATTGAATTTGGTGTATGTCCTGTTGTAGAATGTGTTGAGGAATTATATACTTCGAGAAAATGTTTCATTGTTTCTTCGGTAAAGTCTCGCTCTTGATTTAAATCTCTTAGTGTCCTTATGAAGCGGTTTATGATACCGAGTATGTTATGGTTATGGTCTTCAGTAGTGTAGTGAGTTATGTTATGCTTAATGAGAAAATCTGTGATTTCATTGCTGAGGTATGCACTGTCTTGGTCTGATGTTAAAGTACTTGGGCTATGTTCTGCTACAAACTTTTGTAAAACTCTTAACACTTCACGAGTTCCTTTATTTTTCATTGAATATGCATATGCTTTACGAGTGTTAACATTAATGAAGATGAGGAATGGTTTATGTCCTCCTTTTCTGCTTTGAATGAGAGTGTCAAATTGGTATGCGTCAGGAGTGATGGAGTAAATTGGTAAAAAGTAGTCGTAAGGGTTTATTTTTGTTTGATGTACAACATTTTTGTCAAAGAACCTTTTCACTTCAGCTCTGTTAGTAAATCCCCAACTCTTTGCAGCTTCATTGAACTTCTTAAATGACCTCCATGGATGTTGTTCGAATACTTCTTTCAAGCTCATTTATGTAAAGTTAAAGATTTTATTCAAGACGGTAAGCCTTGACCCAAAGGGTCTAGGCTCAAGCGCGTTCATTGAACGCGGTACCATGCAAATACAGTCATAAATGGTGGCATGTAATCTTCACCCGAGCCTGTTGGATTTGTTGTGAAAGTATGGACATGATTTCCTCCTGGTTCAGTTGGTCGAAAAGTCTTTTTTGCTGAATTGTTATAAGATGGAGATAAAACGTCATGGCCAGTTTCATACTCTGAGTTGTATAATGAGTGGTCTCTTAATGAGTGTCTATGGTCGCCAGAAAAGTTTGTAGTTCCTGTATGCTTATGCGGCGGAAGGTTTGCTTCTTTAATTTTCTTTGAACCACCTGTTTGCTTTGAAGAGTTAGCACAGTATAAGAATTTGTCTACAATCTGCTGCCATGTACCAAAACCCAGAACTGTTGCGGGATTTGTTGAGTTCATTGATGTATAAATAGAGCCTATAGGATATAATGTTTGAAGTATTTCAGTCTTTAATGTTTGAAGCTCTGTTTTATCTGCTTTAAGGTCTAAACATCCTGAAGCCCATCCTGTATCAGCTTTAACTTTAAAAGTCTCCGATGTCCATTCATGATACCATTCAACCTTTTCTTTAATTTCATTATCTTTTTCATCAACATAAGTTTTATCTGCTTTAAGATCTAAACATCCTGAAACCCATCCTGTATCAGCTTTAACTTTAAAAGTCTCCGATGTCCATTCATGATACCATTCAACCTTTTCTTTAATTTCATTATCTTTTTCATCAACATAAGTTTTATCTGCTTTCTTATCATATAAATCTTGAGCAGTGAATTTAACATTATTTTCATCATCCATGACATAAACATTTTTACAGCTAATTTCTTTCTTCGTTGTTATGTTTTCATTCGATGTTAAACCTTGTGGAAAGTTAGGAGGTTTATAATATAATGCAGCCCCACCAGTTCCGCCAACCGTTCCTTCAATACTTTCTATAGCAACAGTTGAGAAGGAGTTATGTGTATGTTCTTTATCTGCTTTTTTATCTAACATTGCTGGTAGTTTATATGTTTCAAAGTTTCTGACATGACCTTCAATGTTCATACATTTACTATTTAAGGAGTTTAGTGTATCTTTTACGCTTGTACTTGGATTCTCTAAAGGTGCACTTGAACCAAGGGTATAGTTCAATATTATGTCGTCTGCTCTAACAGTAGTGAAGGATTCATGTGTATGGTTCTTGTCAGCTTTACTATTTAATGTAGCTTGAAGTTCATTTATATCGGAGATATTGTGTTTATGTGATTTCAAAACTTTGTTCGTTGCGTCAAGTTCATCTTTGTCAGCTTTACTTTTAATAGCATCTTCAAAAGTTATTTTTGCCTTAACTCTCAATGTAAATCTTGGTTCAACTAATACACCGTTAACAAAGAAGTATGAAACATAAATTTCATTGTTATAACCAAATGCTTCTGGTGCTTTACCTGTGTCATACTGTACAGTACAGTGTATGTCATAACCTTTAGCACGAATGAATTTATATCTTCTTTCATTAACATCTTCCGTCTTCACTTCTTCTTCAGTTCGTGTTAAATATCCACGATAGTCCGTTATAATCTGTTCGTCTGAACTTATATAATGAACATGGTTTTTATCTGCTTTTTCGGCTAATTTCTCTTCTATCTCATTTATTTCAAGTTCATGCCTACCACCACCTCCCGAAGAAGTATTTTTCTTCAGCTCTTGAAGAACGTCCACTTCGCCATCTTTGGTGTCAATAATGAGACTTTGAGTTAAAACCTTTCCTGTCTTAATGGATGTTTGTAAAACTTCTTCTTCACCGTGTTCGGGGTCATGGTCGTCATCATATCTTGTGAAATCAGAGATGTTGTCATACATTAAGCATATCTGTCTCAAAAGTTCTGCTATTTGAAACTGGAACGAAAGATATACAGAACTTTCATCATCTCCTAAAGTCAAGTCTGCTTTCTTAAGTATTTCTTGAATGTATGCAATGAGAACAGAGTACCTTGGAAATATTCGAACAATATTTCATTAGCTGTTGGTTTTGGTGGTTCTTCTGGAGTTTCTGTTGTTTCAGTTCCTTCTGTAGGTTCTGTTGGAGTTTCTGCATCTCTTGACTTCAATGCTCTTGCTCTCAAAGACCTAAATGTTAGAGCACCAGGTTTTTACAAAGGACTTTATAAATGCTTTAATAGTTCCTGGTAAGTTATTGTTAGCATTAAGTAAGTTCCTTTATGCTTCCATCATGTACGTCCATAGCACTATGTAAAAAATCTATACTTTTCTTGTAGTCAGCAATAGACTGACTGTGATTTTTTAAAGATTTGTCAATACCTTTAAGCCAATCTTCATGCATGTCTGATACTGAGCCAAGAATATCATTTGCTTCCTTTAGTGTATTTTGTGCTTCTCGTAAAGTATCCAATCCCGTACGTGCATTGTTTGCTATACGTCTGACAGTATCTATTTGACTCCTTGTTTCTTGCATCCAACCAGATAAAGTTTTAATAGTATCCGAACCATTTGAAATGAAGTTCAAAGCATTTTTAACGTCATCTAAAACTTCTTCACCAAGTACTGCCCATATCTTTCCGATTTGGTATTGAAGAACTCCATATGAAGCAGCTGTTAAACCAGTATTTATAAGGTTCCATATCCATGATTTAGCAGTTTTTCCATCCTTTCCATCTTCACCATCCAAACCGTTTTCGCCTTGAGGTCCTTGTATTCCTTGTATTCCTTGTATTCCTTGAGGTCCAGTGTCACCCTTCTCTCCTTTCAGTTCATCTTTATGTTCGTTATAATATTCTAATGTCATAAGGTGTACATCATTACTGCTACCAGCAACGCCGAGAATTTGTTTCTCATTCATGACTAAATTCTTTAGGCATTTAATGTTGTCGTCAAATCGAAAGCTCTTTAACAATTCAATGAGAACATTTAATACTTTCACTAATGAGGCATCTACTGTAGAATTTATATATTGCACCGTTCCATCATTTATGATGGGAACCTTGCTTGTTGTAATGAATGGGTCATAAGTGTTAAAAGTATCGAAATCAATGACTTTTTTAGTTTTTCCATCGTCAATGACTAAATCATTGCCTTCAATGGTTAAAGTTGAGTTTTCGTTTACTAGTTCATGTGCTCTTCTTGCTTCATTTGTTTCATACGCATATGCAGCAATAGTCATATTTTAATGAGAATAAAATGTTGTTCTATTTGCAAAGTACAGACCCAAACGAATACGGGACAGTAAAGCTACAAACAAACTTAGGTCTTCAGAATGAAGCGCTTGCTTTCAGAGTTGTTGACTTCAATACTATCGCAACTTTTGTCATAACAGATGAAATAGATTTCATAGAGATTGAAATAGATGACAAAAGAAGTGTTATAACATTTCCTAACAGAGCTGGGTATAGAATAGATAAAATTGCTGGAGTCATAGATACTCTCATAAATGAAGAAACTATTGACAACATAGATGTCGAACTCTCTTCTGAGGGAACATTGAAGTTCAGCAGCGAGAAAGAGTTTAGGATACCAAGAATGAGTCATAGAGTACAACTTCTTTTGGGTGCATACCATATGACATTTCCTTTGAAAAGTGTTGACAAAACGATTGAGATGAAATCTGTTCCATACGTATGTTATGGTAATTGTTTATACATTAAGTCTAAAATAGCTAATGTCACAGGCATTTCAGGAGTTAATAGTAAAGGTTCAGTAGAATATAAATCCTTCTGTTATGCAGTCAATTCAATGTTCATTCCAAATGTTCCTGTCATAGCAACTCATTTAGGTAAATGGGTTCGCATTAGTCCTCATAATTTGAAAGACATGCAATTCAGACTTGTTGACTTTCAAGGAGAGCCTGTAGAACTGAAGGCACCAGTGCGAATGACTGTTGAAGTTGACTTTTTAGAAAATATTAAATGCGACGGCTTACAAGAAAACTCAGAGCTAAAAATATAAAGTATGAATGTTATGTATTAGGTCATGAACTTTGGTTGTTGCTGTTTGATGAAACAAATGAGTTAGTTATGTCAGTCAAGAGAACAGAAAAATATTGTGTTAGTGAAAACTGCACCAAGTCAATAAGATTAGGTTTGCATTATGAAGATGAGTTCAATAGTGTTGAAGAAGTTTTGGACAGATACTATAAGTTGTTAACTTGAAATTTTTTTGACTGACGGCGCAAAGCGCCAAGACCGAAGGTCCTGACTGCTTTAATTTACTAAAACATATTTCAAACAAAGCTTATAGTCAGTAGATAGTTTTGTATACTCGTTCGAATATCTATACTTAAACTCAACTCCTGTAGTTCCTGGTGTTTCAATGATGCGGATGTTACCTATTTTCATGAATAGTGGAGTTTGACCACAGCATTCGATTTCAGGGTCGAGATAGTCAATGACACATTGTTTCCCTGTTATTCGTGAGATAACATTTTCAAGGTCCTCCTTTGTTAGAATTATTTGGTTCTTGCTTATAAGATTTGTCAAAAGCTTCTTATCGTCTTTGAGTAAAATTGTTTGGTATAACTGAAGAAGGTAATGGTCTACGTTATCTGAAGGATTTGTTTGAACATTTGTGTAAGGATTGTCGTTGGCTTCTCTTGAAAGAACTTGGTCCAGTGGTGGATACTCTAACTTAACATCTGATGTAGCGTTAGCGTTTGCACTTGAAGCTGAGTTTAAATTCACCGACTTAAGATCTGGTTCTTTTTCTTTCAAACACTCCGAACTATAGTTCTTTATGACAATATTGTTTGTCATTCGTGAGTCAACATTTGATGTTGGTTCAATTGGAACATTAACGGCACCAGCTAAGATGGATTTGCTTCTCATTTCATATAGAATAAAAACCTTTTATATGTATGAAATGAACAATATACTCGACAAGGGTTTGAATGTAAAGCTAACGAATGAAAATATTGTTGAATTCACCGAGACAGGAGCTGTGTATAAAGATGTAGAACTACTGAACAAAAGAGCTAAGGGAAGAAGCAGGAATATGAACAAAGGGTGGAAGCCTATAAAAATTTATGTCAATGATGGCTCAGGAGGTTCAAACATAAAGTATGCAGAAAGTTATAGAGTTTATGCGCTAAAAGGTGAGAAGCCTTCATTTAAGAACAGCTATTCTAACACATATCCTCAAAAGCTAAACGGATGGGGAAGTGGATGATATGAATGACAGCAAAAATATTAACAGAAATGGCGACAGAGATGCATGGAATTTGTTTACCATCAGTCAATTGAAGGTTAAGCTTTAAAATAATGTTGGTCGTTCCCATGGAATATTTTTGACTTTAATGGTATTAGTCATGATATGAATCTCAAGGTATGAACGAGGAGAGATGAGAGACTTATATGCTTCCCAAATTTCTTCAAAAGGTAATGTTATACCTGACTGTTTCCAAATGAGTTCAATATCATAACGTGAGAAACCTTGAAAGATAACGAAGTCAGTTATGAGACGTTTTATGTTTAAAGCTAAAAACCTCCATGTTTGCATAAGTATTGCTACAGTTAAGTGATAATGTCTGACTTTAGTAATGATGTTAGCTAATGGTGAGTCTGGTTTTGACACTAAACCTTTTCCGGCGAAGTCGTCACAAACGAGCAGAGTGTTTGAAGGATATTTTTTGAAGGGGTATTTTGAAAGTTTTGATAGAATGTAGTTTGTAAGTCGTTTCATATCGTAAACTCCTGAGTATTGACGTAAGTGGTTTGTCAATAATTCTTTCCATCTCCTCAGAAGTCTTTTGCATTCCTGACTGTATAAATTCAACGATGGCATAATATTTCCTCTTACGTCGAATGTAACGTTGAAGAAATTCAATGAGTTCGCTATCTGGAACTTTAACGACAGAGGCTTGAACTTTTGACATAAATGTTTTCGCTGTTGAATCCATAGAGTCTGAAGTTGCTGATATAATGATTTGGTCATAGTAAGAGTCGTTTCCTAAACGCTCTGTTATGAGTATATGACGAATGAGGTTAAATGTCTTACCTGAACCCATCTTTCCACAATAGAAATACACACCATTTGAACAGAACTCATAGTCCTTACTGAAAGGAAGAATGAGAGAAGAGTTAAGTTTATCTGTGGTTTCATTCATGTCTTCATCTACTTCTTCAAATAAATGTTTCATTTTATTATAATTAAAAATGCAAGTCAGAAATATTCAGAACATAGCACCGAGTCTAACTGACAAGAGTATAAAGATATACTATGAACATGTTATGATGAAACCAACCAAAATTCAAGAAAGTCAGTATGCTTATGAATATCCAAGACACTGGGTAGAGTATATAGGAGGTGAGAAAGCTATTGAAATAAGACAAGTTAGAAGTATTCCAGCAGGAAGAACAATATTATTGAAGAACTTTAATGTTTTGAGGTATAATGATGAAACAAAGAAGCAAGATAGTTTTCCTGTTGCTGTGTATGTGAACCTAGACACAGGAGATGACATGAAAGTTTTTAACACAAAGCTTCAAACGGTAGTGAGAGAACAACTTACTGCGGAAGGACATCCATTACCTTCAGAAGTTACCATAGCATATAATTTTGAAACAAACTCAATAGATTTTAAAGTCGTCTCTGCAAAGAAGTCAGGTTTTACATTTAATGAAGCAGATGTATATTCGAATGAAAACTTCAAAGCTATTGCATGGTTAGATAATGACGATTGCTTTAAGAAAATATTTAAATTCAGTGACTCAAAGATGTCAATAGATGACCTTCGTGGAATGTTACCATCGACGTTTACAGTAGAAGGTTCAGCAGGATTGCTTACAAGTTTTTCAATTGGTGGTATTTGGTCTCGTGAAAACATTGTTATAAAATCCAGTATAAGTGAATTTGCTGAAGAATCTATATTATGTCTTTCAAACTATATGTATTCACTGCCGAAGCATTATAGTATAACAAACTTTGTCAGTAAGTTTAATATAAGACTTGTTGAACCTTCTTCAATGAAAGATGTTGTGCTACCTAAAGATGGAAAGGATGGACTCATTATTGAGATGATTTTAATTGCATATTAAATGAGCTTGTTCTTGAAGGTCATTCATGATGAAATAACTGTTGTAGAAGATGTTAGCAATTGTTCAGACATTTTGAAGCGTATAGATGATATAAGAAATAAGTTAGATAGACCGCAAAGCGGTGAGGGCGAAGCCCGTGAGAATGTTTATGTTTCATTGACTTTCTCCAGTAACGAGAACTTTTATGAGATAATATTGAAGAGAGATGATTTTAATATGGTGTAAATGGTAGCTTGGGCAGCTTTAGGCGCAATGGGAACAAAAGCATTAGCATTTGGAGCAAAAGCACTTGGAGCTTATGACGCAGTAAATAAAATGAGTGGAGGAAGGGTTTCAAAGACATTAGATGCAAATAAAGGAAAGATTGGAGGCTGGGTTGCAAAGAAGTTAAGATTAAATAAAATAGGGCTCATAAATAAAGCATCCAATTTGGTTGCGACTGAGTCAGAAAATGCTTTAGGAAAGGACGATGAGTTTGCAAAACACGCAAAAGACTTTAATGACCAGATGAAAGGTGAAACAATGCATTTAAATAGAGTCGATGGAACTAAAGAAAATGTTTCTTCTCCACAACTTCCACCAGCAGTTCTTCCGTATGGTCCCTATGGAATGTATGGAAACCCTTACGAAAGACCATTTGACCCATTGACTGGTGGAAGTAACTGGTATCATTACGGCCGAAGAAGAAAGACAGTCAAGTTGGAGACAGACGTGAAGAAAGCAACTAAAAAGAAACCAAGGAAGAGAGTTATAAAGCAATGAATTCAAGAGGGTAGAAATGAGGTTAGAAATCGGGTTAGATCTAACCTTCTACCCTAAATTTATTTTTGTGCTATGTTTTCATACGTGTGAGGGTGGTGATATCATTTATTTTTATTTTATTTTTTAAAATTATTTTTTATTTTAATTTTATATAAATGACGAAAACTATTGAGATAACAAACTACAACGGTCATGAGTTCAAGAATTTGTTCTTCGTTCCTCGTGAAAATACATTCTATCAGATACGAGGGAGAAAGGGTAAAGTTAGTTTGAGCGTTTATGACTACAAGCATAATGGAAAGTTTATACAAGCATACGATACAAACGGTAAGCGTGTTTCATTAGCTTTGTCAAAACTTACTAACATTTATTTTGACAGTGATTTTGACCTATATGAAGAAGAAAGTGAGTCAGAAGAATATGAGCTGTTATGTGAAGCACAGCAATGGGAGGAGTTGCAATACTTTTGTAAGTGAGAATGTTTATTTTTTACATTAGTGAGGTGAAGTGGTTGGCGGCTTTGTAAATATTTAAGGTTAAGTTAGTGTTGTCGTTTGTGTTGTAAAATATACGTTAACGGTTTTGTAAAGTGTCAAATTCACATATCGTGGGTAAGGAGGCGCGCAGTGACTCCGTACCCATTATATGTATACTAACTATAAATAAGAAGGCAAAAGGCAGGAGTAGAAATATGAACATCGATTATAAACCATTTACTATTTAAGTAAATGATGGTTCTGGTGGTTCAAATATTAAATATGCCGAAAGTAATAGAGTTTATGCGTTAAAAGGTGAGGCACCATCAATTAAAAACAGTTATTCTAATCTTTATCCTCAAAAACTAACTAATCCAGAAAGTGTGGACATGAATGACACCAAAAATATAAACAGAAATGGTGATAGAGATGGATGGAATCTATTCACTACACCTCATCTAAAAATAAAGCTTTAAAATAATGTTGGTCTTTCCCAAGGTATATTTTTAACATTAATTGTATTAGTCATTATATGAATTTCTAAATATGAACGTGGTGAAATGAGTGATTTATAAGCATCCCAGATTTCATCAAAAGGTAATGTTATACCTGATTGCTTCCAAATTAATTCTATATCGTATTTTGAGAAACCTTGAAATATAACGAAATCAGTAATTAAACGTTTTATGTTTAAAGCTAAAAACCTCCACGTCTGCATTAGTATTGCTACAGTCATGTGATAATGTCTGACTTTCGTTATTAAATTAGCTAATGGTGAATCTGGTTTTGAAACTAAACCTTTACCAGCGAAATCATCACAAACTATTAAAGTGTTTGATGGATATTTTTTGAACGGATATTTTGAAAGTTTTGATAGAATGTAGTTTGTCAATCGTTTCATATCATACGTACCATCCTGCTGTCTCAAATGATGTTTATCAATAATTCTTTCCATTTCTTCCGAGGTCTTTTGCATGCCAGATTGTATAAATTCAACTATTGCATAATATTTCTTCTTTCTTCTTATATATTGTTGAAGAAAAGAATTTAATTCACTATCCGGAACCTTCACCACTGATTCCTGAACTTTACCCATAAACGTTTTCGCTGTTGAATCCATTGAATCTGAAGTTGCTGATATAATGATTTGGTCATAATATGAATCTTGACCTAATCGTTCAGTAATTAAAATATGACGAATTAAATTAAAAGTCTTTCCTGAACCCATTTTTCCACAATAGAAATACACACCGTTTGAACAGAACTGATAATCCTTACTGAAGGGAAGAATTAATGAACTATTGAGTTTATCGGATTTTTCATTCATTTTTTCATCGACTTCTTCAAATAAATGTTTCATTTTATTATAATTAAAAATGCAAGTCAGAAATTTTGTTAATACCGTTCCCAGTCTTAATGATAAAAGTATTAAAATCTATTATGAGCACATATTTTCACAACCGTTTAAAATAATCAATGGTGAATACATTTATGAATACCCTAAACACTGGGTTGATTATAACACGTATTAGGTCTTTTATTAATTATTTAAAGAATAGAAGAAATTAATTTGTAATAAATGACGTCGTTAAATGTAAAAATAATTTGTGATGATATTACTATCATTGATGATGTAAGTGAGTGTGCTAATATAATTGATAGAATTAATGAACTAATAAAGAGGTTCAGTGGTGAAAAAATCAGAGTTTCATTAACGTTTAGCTCCGATGAAAAATTTTATGAGTTAATCATTATGAGAAATGATTTTAATAAGCATTAAATGGTATTTTCAACACTATCAGCTTTGTATGGAGGTTATAAAGCTATTGACGGTTTAACTGGTGGAGCTGTATCAAAAGCTTTAAAAAATAATGCTGGAATGCTTGTGGGAGCTGCTGCCAGAAAATTAAAATCTGAAAAGTTAAAGAAATTAGGTAACTGGGTTGCTGACCAGTCGCAAAACCTTTTAGGTGAAGATAATGAAATATCTAAGCAGCTAAAAGATTTTAAAGGTCAGTTGAATGGTGAAGAGTTTAAATTAAATTCACTTAAAGAAAAGGAGAAACAGCCAGAATATCCACCAATTGAGGCACCACCGATTAATTCAGCACCTGCGCCATCACCACACCAGCGCCAGTAACTGCAGTCGCACCATATGACCCTGGCGGTTATGGAAGACCTTTTGACCCTAAAACAGGAGGTTCGAATTGGTTCCATTACGGTCGAAGATATATTTTAGCTAAAATCGCAAAAGCAAAGAAACTGTTAAAAACTAAAAAGAAACCAAGAGTTTTAAAGTAATTAAATGGTTAGAGATGTTCTCGAATACCCCGCACCACCTGAAACGCCTAACAATAATGATTTATATAATCGATTGAAAACTTTAGGTAAAGTGTATTTATGGTTTAATTATCCTTATCATATGGCGGCTTATAAACTTTATAAACACTATAAAGAAAGTAATAGACCTTCAACCGATCTAGTTGATCCACAGGAATTAAGGAAAAGACGACGAAGCCGCTAAGCGGCTCAGATGGACTCAGAGAGTCCTCATAAAAAATAAAGTTAATTTTAAAAATATTTTTTATTTTTTACTTTTAATAAAATGAGTACTAAAATTACTGAAGCAACAAAACAAAAATTTTAGTTGAATACATTAAATCAGGAACTATTCCAGAAGGTTTTTATGTTCATCAAATGAAAGATGGTAGAGTTCAATTTAGAAAAATTAAGCAGCCATTAAATAAAGATGGAATATTAAGAAAGATTAAATTATATGAAGATAATATAGCAGAACTGAAGAAGAAGTTAGAAGAATTCGAAAAATCAGATTAGATATAAAATTTTATTTTTATATAAAATGAATTTTACTAATAAATTATTAATTATCGTTTCATTACTTCTCATCTCCCGTGAAGCTCGTTTATGGTATGAATCTATAAAAGAGTTTGAAGACAGCAGCGATGACATTCCTGAATCATGCCAGCATATTTACTGTTAAAATTCACAAGGTTAGAAATGAGGTTAGATATCGGGTTAGATCTACCCTAAACTAATTTTATCATTTATGAAAAATATTTACTGTTGAAAATTCACAAGGTTAGTTATCGGGTTAGATCTACCCTAAACTAATTTTATCATTTATGAAAAGGGGACTGAGGGGCGTAGACCCTTGGTACCCAATTATATGTTTTGACATATTTATATAAAAATATAAAAATAAAATAAAAATAAATTAAGGTTATTTTTTAAAGTTAATTTTTTAAAAAAATATTTTTTTATTTTTTGTAAATGTCAAAAATATGTTTTGTAAATTTACGATATCCGATTATTTTGTCAAAACATGAAAAGAGGGACTGAGGGGCGTAGACCCTTGGTACCCAATTTCGTGATACTAACTTCAGTTAATGAATTCAACTATTGCAACTTTATAAGAAAATTCACAAGGTTAGAAATGAGGTTAGATATCGGGTTAGATCTACCCTAAAATTAATTTTATCATTTATGAAAAATTTAGTATATACAGAAATTAAAAAATTTTAACGTTAATTTTTAAGTTTATTTTTTAAAAAATTATTTTTTTATTTTTTGTAAATGTCAAAAATATGTTTTGTAAATTTACGATATCCGATTATTTTGTCAAAACATGAAAAGAGGGACTGAGGGGCGTAGACCCTTGGTACCCAATTTCATGATACTAACTTCTGCTGATGGATTCTCAGGAGCCCTGAGGCTCCCTTTCGTAATGATTGGGAGCCTTGGGGCTCTTGCAGCAGAGTATCGCTCCGCTCCATTAATTTTTTTTAAAAAAAGTGCCGTGTGGCAAATTTGTCCTGTTCCCTGTTCCCAGAAAAAGAATCTTCCGAAAGTGCTTGAAAAAGAATCATTAGAAGAAAAAATAGAAGATGAAAATTGCACGCACTCGTTTATGAGGTGTCTAATTTAATTAAGAATCAAAACGAATGTTTGAGTCGAGATAGGAAATAGAAAGAAAAATTGAAATGTGTAAAGAATTCAAAGTTTTTTTATATTTTATTTTTCTGAGTGAAGTTCATAACTAGTGATTTGTCATGTTGTAAACAGAAATTCATCAAAAGTGACACCTCAGAAAAGCTAAAATATTGAATTTTTGGAACTTTTGATAGAGCACGTTTTTAAATATTAATTAAAGTAAATGTATATTTTGTAAAGATTCTTTTTAATAAAAAAATAAAATTTTGAAGAAGAACACAAAATCTTCTGAAAAATAATATCACATAAACTCATATTATTTTCTAATATATAACTATTTTATATAAAAATCAAATTCAATGATCTTAAAAGCGAAGGATAAACCTCAAAATTTACGAATATAATGAGTGGGAATATAATGCTTATCTATCATAAAACCATATGAAATATCAATTTTTGCTTTACGCCTAATTTTTGACGACAATTAGCAAAAAATGTTAAATGTTAACACTCAGTCCATTTGAATATGAAAAATAAAATTGACTTTGATTAAATGTTTTTATTTATCATGCAATTCTTCTTGCGACCAAAGATTTGAATAAAATTTCAAAAAATAAGATAGCTTAAAAAATAATATACGGTAGTGTTTACTAATAGATGAATAGTATATAAATTCTATTAAAATGGATTTGATCCAAAAAAATATATAAAATTTGATCATAAATAAAATCGTTTTAAATTACTTCTTCATTTAAATTATAACAATTATTTTTGGTTTTATATTTTTTTGGATCAAATCCATTTTAATAGAATTTATATACTATTCATCTATTAGTAAACACTACCGTATATTATTTTTTAAGGGTATAGTCCACTAAAAATTTTTAAGTTTTGACAATGAAAATAAGCTCTGTGACCATGTAAATATATATCTATGCAAAACGAGAGGTTATGCCATAATTTTTTTAGTTATCAAATTTTCCTTTTTTTGAGAGAAGTCTCTCAATAATTTGAGAAGAATCTTTGATATAAAGAGATACACATTTGTAGAACGAAGTAAGTGTTTTCCAAACATTTTATATGTTCATCCTGTATAACAATATAAAGCTGCATAGTGCCATCTTGTGCGTTTGCTATTTTATGTACTTTTCATTGAGATAATCCCTCTTCTCGGGTGATTTTAACAGTCAACTCAATTTTAAAATAAAGATTTCATCAAAATGATTTCGAAATTCGGATATTGATTATATAAATAGCACTGTTAACATATTTTGGATGAGTAAAAAATACCTTGTTTTGTATGCATTTAGTACACCTTTATTTTTGATTAAAACTATAAAATTTTTATTCCTTATATAATAAATAGTATATGTTACATAAACATGAAATTCAATAGCATTCAATTTTGGATTTTTTAGATTTGGTAAATTTTAGAAGAAATAAAATCAGCAATCAAAATAAAGAAACTTTTTTTGTATCTTCTATGATTACCTTTTGGTACTAAATTTTGCATTAATAAGTAAATTATCTGTATTATTCTGTGAGCACAAGCCCTCAGTTATGCTGGTAGTGAATGATGAATCGTCATTTTGCGAAGAGAACGCGATTATTAAGGTAATTTTGAGAATTGTCTTGAATTATTTAAAATTAAAGTTAATTGAATAGGTAGGATAACTAGCCTTTGCTAAATTTGTATAATTTGACCTTATTCTAGTTGGATCTGAGAATATTTTGCTGAAATAATAAATTATATCGCCGATTTATGAAAATTTCTCTGATGGGACCGACTCGCTGAAACGTATTAGTGTTAATGGTAACTTGTCTGAAATTTCAAATTTTTTTCGAAATCCAAAAAATCACAAACAAAAGCATCGAAATTAGATTTGCATTTAAGGTTTTCATTTTTTATTGGAAAATAAAAATATTTTTTCCCCAATAAAGTTTGTTTTTACTTTTGAGAGGAATAGAAACGTTATTTTGGAATTTTGAAAAGACAGAAATGTTCCATTTTTAATGTAGATTCTAAAATGGGGTCAAATTTTTGATTGAACCGTTATCCATTGAAAAACCTCGATTTTAAAATGTTATTCCAAAATATTCATCTAATGATATAGTATATATTTATTAATTACCCAGATTTTCCTTACTTTTACCACTCCCCATGTAATTTCTGGGGAAAACGATAATTCATTTTTTTTTATGGATGAATAGATCGTTTTCCTAGAAAGGACCTCATATCTCTGGCTAAAAAGAGTGTCAGATCCTAAATAGATTATTGATCTAGTGTACAAATCCAATAAAAAGCCTATTTTTTTGGCTTTTTTGGTGCTCATTTTTTCGAAGATCTACATGAATATGGGGAAACCATCGGATTTTTTTGGTTAACCCACATCTTCATGTAGTCTGGACTATCTTTCCTCGAAGGACCTCTTTACGGGTGTAAAAACTCATAAAGTTCTCAAAAGATTCATTCTCGATCTCCATGCTGAAAGAATTTACAATAAAAAAGAGATCTACGCATCAAACTACAGCCATAAATGAACTGAACCCCTAAAGCTCAGCTCTTAGTTTATCAAAAACGTCGAAATCCTTCTCATTGCAATCAAATTTTCTCAATAACTCATAAGAAAAATCGAATTTTGATTAAGCCGATGTTATAGGTATCACAAATACTACAAACTTGAGCAATATCGAAATTGCCAGCAAAAGTTTGAAATTGCATTGCTCATATTTGTTTTGTAAACTAAAAATCTGCTTATATTATTCATTAATTTTTTATATATTATTCATATACTTTAATAAAAACAATACTATTTCACCTTAAAAATGAATTTCATAAGTCAATATTATTTTTTTGAAAATGTATCAATTTTCGATTAAAACAACATGAGAATAAAATTTACGCAAAATTATTTTAAAAAATGGTTTTAAAATTTACAATTGATTAAGAATAAGATTGCAAGAAGTTTTGAAGTTTAATTTTAAGAAAAAAAATTCGGATATTATTCATGGATCTAAGTAATCTGATATTTGAGTATCGGCACTATGCATAAAACATATATTTATAGTTTTTTTGGAGTTTTATGATTTTAAATATATTCAAATTTGGCAATCCAATAGATTTTTAAAAAATAGGTAAATAAAAATAGATTACATATGCAGCAGATTTAGAACATGAAACAAATCTTATAGTGACCCAAAAAAAATTCATGATCCAAAAAAGAAAAAAATTGGCTAAATAGGAATCAAACCTTGGCATAATGAATCATTATGTCGGATGTTTCCACTACACCGGCAGTTCGAAAAATACCCTTGGTGGTTCTATTTAATAGCTACTCCCAACGATAGGCGGTGTCCCCAGCTTTAGAGGGGGTGGTAAAAGTAAGGAAAATCTGGGTATTACTTTTTATTCAATTTTCACTTTTGGCGGGATTTCATTTTTTTTTTGTTGTATGGGCCATATTGTTCACCCAAAACGGAAAACAAAGGCAATGCATAACATTTTACTCCACGAACGTCGTCGACTCTCAGCGCGACAGATGCTTGGTGCTTGCATAATGACCGGAATGCCATATACAAAAGGTGCTCGCTTTCTTTCTCTTTGTGGAACTAAGCCCCCTGTGAAGAGTGGTGTCATGAGACAACAGAGATTTTGTGACGATAAGATTAGAAGACTTAAAAGTATTTCCCTAATGCTGTCGAGAAAGTCCTTCAGTGGTTACTTATCCATTGATGCAAGATGGACGCACAGGCGAAACTCGCCAAGTTGTACAGTAACTGCGCTCGATGCTGTCACAAAAAGAGTTCTTGCATGCGTGAACATCAACCATATTGGTGGAAACAGACAGCATGCTCAGTATTCCGGAGCTTCCAACAATATGGAAAGTGCTGGAACTCGAATCATCTTGAAGCAATTAAAGAAATACAATATCTTGAAAGATGTTAAAGAGATTATTAAAGACCGAGATAACAAAAGTGTCTCTGACTTTAAAGAATTTGGCGTCTCTCATCTTGAAAGATTCGATCCAGGTCATGTATCAAAAAATATCTCAAAAGATTTTACAAAGTTCTCAGCTTCTCATAAGACAGTTGAAGTTTTCAACGACAAGACTCAGAAGATTGAAAAAATAGAGAGACCTTTCTGGGGTCTGAATGCAAGCCTAAGTATGTGGCTTTGGTCATGTTTTGCCGAAGAAAATATTGACAAACGTACGAAAATGTGGGAGAATTGTGTCTACCATTACGTAGGCAATCATTCTTTTTGCGAACCGCACAATTACAAATGCTTTGAATGGCAAAAAGGTGTCAATTCGATCCAACTTCAATTCATGCTCTATGACTGGGTTCACAAATGGACACCCATAGTTTCCAAAGTTTCTTCCATTGGATCTACCTGCATGAATGAAGCGTTTAACTCCAAAATTGCATGCTATTTGGACAAATCAAGAGCCTGGAAGAACATTAACATTAGAGTTAACGTTGCAATCTTAGAATGGAATGATCCAGAGCATTTTCTCGGAGATATACAAAAAGCATTACATCTTCCCCCACTTCCAGAAGATTGTGTCAAATCATTTGAAGAGAATTGTTACTCCAAAATGATATTGAAAAAAAAACTGTTACAAAAGGTTCTAAAAAACAGAACAAATACAAAAAATTCATTCAGAGTGTACCAGGAGGAGATTATCAAGTTTTCAAGTCCGAATGGGAATCAGAAGACGAAGACATTGATGACTTTGATTAACGAAAATTACATTTTATTTATTGTTTTTGTTTTTAATTAAATTATTATTATGCTCATTTTCTTATTTTGATTTTTTCTCATTATGATATAAATAATTTATTAATGCATTTATCCAATAATTATGCTATGATATTTTTATGCCTTATTTCATTTCTCTTATATTTGATAATCTGGTAAAATATAGTTCAGACTATAATCATTTTAGATTATTGATATATTTATATAGGTTAGAATAAAATTAGTTTCATTTTCTACTTTTATTTTGAATTAATAATTTATAATATCAAATATTATGGCGTAACCTCTCCTTTAAAATATAGATATATATAGGCCTATAGAGTTTATTGGCACTCTCAAAACTCTAGAATTTTGAGTTTACTATACCCTTAAGCTATCTTATTTTTTGAAATTTTATTCAAATCTTTGGTCGCAAGAAGAATTGCATGATAAATAAAAACATTTAATCAAAGTCAATTTTATTTTTCATATTCAAATGGACTGAGTGTTAACATTTAACATTTTTTGCTAATTGTCGTCAAAAATTAGGCGTAAAGCAAAAATTGATATTTCATATGGTTTTATGATAGATAAGCATTATATTCCCACTCATTATATTCGTAAATTTTGAGGTTTATCCTTCGCTTTTAAGATCATTGAATTTGATTTTTATATAAAATAGTTATATATTAGAAAATAATATGAGTTTATGTGATATTATTTTTCAGAAGATTTCATTTTATATGCCTATGAAAAGTACTCTCAAAACTAACTTTTTCCTAATTATAATTAAATCTAGAATATTGTATTATGCTTAGTATTATTTCATTTTTCTCATTCAATTTAGAATTTACAAATGTCAAAAAAATTGAGAGCTGTCACTTTTGATGAATTTCTGTTTATTACAGTCATGATAATAACCACCATGATAGATCGAATATTTCTCATTTTTGCGTCATTCCGATAACAGTTGAAATAAACATTTTGAAATCATAATAAATCGGATCAATTTTATATAATAATGAAACTTGATTATTTTATAATTTTGTGTTCTTTATTAACAAACCGTCGGGCATTTATAATGGATTGGTTTTTGACTTATATTTACCTAGAGCCAAAATTGTATTAAATTAAAAATAGTTGTGATAAATAATTTTTTGTTAACTTTTTGATTGAATAAACCGATATTACATAAAACTTAATAATAGGCATATGAACGAAAAACCATCCTTTGATTATCACTTAGATGCACACGAAAGGAAGAGCGTCGAAAAACTCGTTCCTCTCAACCAAGCTAAGATTCATATCGCTATTCGTGCAGACGTCCGTATAAATGGCACAAAACATAAGAAAGGCGCTGTTTGTTTATCCGAGCATATGCTTGTTTTCGCTAAAAAGAAAGTTATCGGCAAGTCATTCTCAATGCTTGCAACTCTTCACCTTTTAGATATCATTTCGATGTCTACAAAATCCGATTACTTTATCGAGGTTGCTTCAAATACAGACCAATATACAATATATACACAGGAAGCTATGCGTCTTGCTCGCACAATCGTCAGAGATTACATATTATCATGCGCTCTTATTCCAGTATCAAAGCGCTTCAAATTCGTTCCACACGATCCATCAAAATTCCCGAAGTTCGAACCGCAACTTTCCCCATCTCAGGCGTTTCAGTTTACTTACAACGCTGCTTGTTCCTATTTCGACGCTACCTATCAGCACCGCGTTGTCCAATTCTACCACAAGAACCTCATGACCAACAACGGTCTCATCAATCTTAACCAGCTTCCTCTCGACCTTATCGAAACTAACCTTAGATCCCCAATGGATTTAGAGCCATTCTTCTATGCCCTTAAATACTGCCCTTACATTTTCGGTATTTGCTGCACAGATGTCATCAGACCTGACCTTTTCAAGACAATAGCTCAATTAATCGAAGTTAACAACAACATCCACATTGTTTCCCTCGAGAACTGCAATATCGACCTTGGCGTCGAAGAACTTGCCAATGCTATCCAGAATAACCCAAAGTGCAATGTCCGTTATTGGGATTTCTCAGGCAATAAATTTGCCGACGCCGAGCCATTGATGGCAGCTTTCTTCAACTATCCAACCCCAATTTTCTTCCTCGATCTTGGCGACTGCGATCTTTCTGCTAACGCCACAACGATGCTCTTTGAAGCTATCAGTGTCAACAAGCAGCTCTGGAAGCTCCAGTATCTCCACATCCCAGGCGCTAAAATTACAGACAAATCCGCTCAGATCTTCAAGAAGCATTTACAGAATATGAACGACAATGGTTCGTACAACCTCAAGTCCATCGATTTCGGTGGCATCCAGTCCGGCGTTCACCACATTCTCGAAGGCCTTGTTTCCTATCCACAGCCTCTTGAGAATTTGAACATTGCCGACTCAAAGATCAAAACAAACTCACTCAACGCGCTTATTACATTCATCTCACACTCCGCATACCTCAAGGAACTCAACATTAGCGGCACAGGCCTTAATGTTTCACAAACAACGGAAGTTATCAAAGCAATTCAGCACAACTCCGACATCTGCAAGAACTTCTCACTCCACATTGGCGGCCTCAAGCTTCACGGCAAGGATCTTACAGACATTCTCAATGTCCTCAAGAAGACACCATCCGCATGGATTCTTCTCGATCTTGCCGACTCCGGACTTGAGAAAGACGATGTCGACACCCTTACAAAGATGGTTCCAAAGCTCCCGAACCTTGCATCTCTCCAATTGAACGATAACTTCCATCACAGCCAGACCGGCATCGGCGACTGCCTTTCCAAGCTTGTCCAGATTGCCCAGCTTAAGTCTGTCGGCCTCAAGGGCTGCAAGTCCAACGGTCTCGAGTCAGAACTCACTCCAGTTTTGAGAGCACTCAGAACAAACGACCACATTCTTTCCTTAGACATCAGAAACAACTACGGTGGTGCAGAACAATGCAACCAACTCGCCAAAGTTGTACAATCAAACAACACATTGATACAGCTTCTTTACGATGGCGCAAGACCTAAGACAGTCGAACCAATTCTCGATCTCCTTGATTCAATGAAGAACTCCAAGAGCCTTGTTTCCGTCATGCTTCCAGCAGATGATACATACAAGGCACTTGCAAAGCTTCCTTCCAAGGACAGAGCGAGATTCATTCCATCAATCGCTTCCAAACAAGACGCAGTTTACCTCAACGCTCTTACAAACCAGGCGATGAAAGGAATGATGTCTTTCATGCAGATCAAGCACGTCCCAGAACTCAACGATATCGTAGAGGAACTCACCGGACAATTGGCCGAGGATTTGACAAAGGTCGAACTTCACCTCCACTCAGCTGTCGGATCCCTCATCGGTCTCAAACTTCCTTTCGCATCAGAAAACGAAGTCACAGGAGACGAAGCACACATCACAGTTGTTGCTCACGGCGCAGACGAGTACGAGACACCAGAAGCTGCACAACAGGTCGTCGAAAAGGTCGGAGAGGACCTCACAAACCTTGCAACACTCCAGTTCAACTCTCTCGCCATCAAGAGACCATCACTTGGATCAAGGACACTCAGATCTCCTGCAAACAAGGATTACTCATCAGAGGACTACTACTCGTCAGACGAGGATTACTACAACTCAGACAACGACTACGACTCTGATAGTGATCATCCTAGAGAGAGAAAGAGAAAGTCTGTTAACATTAATGCGGATGTTTCTCAAATGCCGCAGAATTATTAATTGTAATTTTTTCCCCATTCTTTTTTTTATTTTTTTCCTTTTTTTATAAAAATAATTTTTTGACATTTATAATAATTCAAATCAAAAGCATCTCCTTTTTAAGTATCTCGTTTGGAGAAATAACGGCTGAAATCTCCAAATTCCAAAAACATAATTATGAAATATTAAATTTCATATTTCTTGTCCAAATGATAAATCTAGCAAAAATTTACTAGAGCTATAGCACTTTTTAATGGATTTCATTATGTAATGCGTTGCTTTCATGTTATTGCCCAATACTTATAGATAAAGTTGTAACTTTTAGGCTTAAGTTCAATGCAAGAGAAGTGCATTGATGTGAAAATACCGATTGCGAAGTTGTTTTCATGTTTGCAGGTGAGGAACATTGTTTTATAAAAAAATTGCCCTCTCATGAAAAAAAAAATTCAAAATCTAGATTTTAAAAAAAGTGTCAACAGAACCATGGATAGAGATCAATTGATAGCATTATTTCAGCCGTATGTTCTTCCTTGCGCAGTGAAGCCAACAGTTGGCGATGAAATAATCAATAATGTTTGGGATTCTTTAATTAATATTGTATTTCAAGATACAAAACTCTTTTTCTTTGTCTTTCCATTCCTGGCTGAGTTCTCAAAGAAAACACCAAAGTTTACAGAATCAAATCCACCGAAAATCCATGAATTAATCGAAAATTTAAATCTTAATATGACAGAACAAGAGACATTATTAAATATTAAATCACTTTACTCATTACTTCCATTCTTTACTACACAAAATATCACAGATATCCTTACAAAGTCTATCCTTTTAATTCAAAAATTCTTAAATGAGAAACAAAATTTACCATATGATCTAATTGATGCCATGAACTTGGCGGAAATTGGACTCCTTTCAGATGAAGCCCTATCTTCCGTATACGAATTTCTACTTACCTACCAAAAATCAGAAAATGAAACCGCATCACTTATTTTATTACAAATTTTCGCACAGGACATTCTCGAAGTTGAACTGAATGCTCAAGAGGACCTTCTCAAGATTGCAATTGACTATTTGAAAGGAGATAAAATCCATCAATTAGTTTCTCTTTATTTATTACCTAAACTTGATGAATATATATCAAATGGTCCATCAAAGGTCATCGACGAACTATTTACTCTTTTACTTCTTTTCTTTATCAGTCAAGATCCAGAATTATTCCGTGTTTCTCACAAAACAATGCTCAAACTCATTGGTTCCGGTGCGTTTTGCGAGAAACTGAAGGTTGTCGAGCTCATCAAGCAATATTCAAAGTATTCACCCGCCAACATTGTTCATTTCTTCAAATTCCTCATAAAATATCTTGATGATTCAGAATCAGTACCAATCACAATTGTCCAGCCAATTTATGACTTCCTTGTCATCACATCTCAATCTAAAGACCTCAATACACGTGCATTAGTCCTTGAAACATATTCCCTTCTTGCAGCAGTGAACACAGATGTTTTAGAAGAAACATTTGAACAAGAATTAGATGTAGCATCAGAACTGATCAAATCAAACAATTCCATGTTCAACAGCAAGATTGGAAATTATATTCTTGCAGTTGGCAAAGTCATTCCTGAGACATTCAAGCGGATTCTTGATGATTTCATTCCTCCTTTAGTTGAAACATTAAAAGAAATTGGTTCTAAATCAGAAAGGAAGTTTAAACTTGACCTTGCACAAACAATTTCTTCATCAATTGAAGGATGTAACTATCCACAGTTTGTTGAACCAATTGTTGATTTCGCTTGCAAATCATTGGAAGATATTTCTGGTGATGAAATAATCTACATTGATTCGATTGTAATTGCTTTGAAATCACAACTTACAAAAGAACAATCCAATGTCATTTTTGACAAAGTTTTTAGTTATTGTTTGAGAACACAAGAGAGTCAAAATATGAACATTTGTTTCCACATAATGAAGAAGATTTTGAAATTAGTTTCCGAACAAAAACTTTTAGAATCATGTCAACAAATTCTTGAAGGAAAGCCATCATATTTATCTAATCTTGAACCATATCTCATTGGTGATTCCAAGACAATGCTTTTCTACTTCATTTCTGCTGTTATCAAACAAATTCCTCTTAAATCAGGAAGTTTGGCAGAAAAAGTCAGTAGTTTTGTCAGCAAAACAAGAATTTCATTGATGCCAGCAGTCTTAGAAGTTGTCGAAGCATCATTAGTTTCAAATGTTCTTTCCCAGCCAACAATCAAACAGTTGTACACTGAGATCAACGAACTGATTTTGAAATCACCAGTCAAATCAAGGGAAGAATTTTGTTCTATTGTAGAAATCATGATTTTGTTGGTTCAAAGGTATCCGCATTCAGTTGATGGCGACGAAATCATCAAGACATGCACTAGATCACTTGCACGCTGCCATGGATACAACGACAATGGAAATGAAGAAGAAGATGACGAAGAAGAAGAGGATGATGAATCAATGGTTATTCCAACATTGTCACGTTTAGTTTTTTCAGTTTATTTGTCTAAGGATATCAATATCGTGGTCAACAAAGACTTGGTTCAGGGAATTCTTGAGGATATCCCTGTTACATCAATGAATGACATCCTTCCATTGATTCTTTCTATGATGAAAGAAGCAGATAAGTTCAAAACAGTTTTGTTGTATTTGTCTAAAAGTGTTGTTCAAATTCTTTTCATGTCTAAGAAAGAATTGGAAGAAATTGGTATCAATAACGAATACATCAATGATGCTAAAGTTGTCTTCAAAGAAACATGCAAGAAGAACTCTCTTATAGAGAAGCAAATTTCTAAGGATTACTCTAAAGAGAGACCAAAACTCAACAAACTTAAGATTCTATTGAAATAAATAAATTTTTAGAGATTTTTTTATTACAAATGAATTTTTCCTCACTTTACAAATCATTGCAGTTATTTTTCGTTTATCATAATAAATTACTTGGAATGAGTCTGATATGAGAAAAGGAATATCATATATTAGAAATATACTTCAAACTTTTTCTGAGTTTTGCTCAGAAAAATGTTTGAAGTATATTGGAATACCAATCACTTCAAGTTCTTTTGGGGATTAATATTTCATTAAAAAATGGGGCCCCAAAAAATTGAATTGATGGGTATTTAATTATATATCATAAATCGAGATCCTGTTTATGTGCATTTTATAAAATATTGTTTTGAACAATTTGTAGATGTTTCATGACGATAACGATAATTTTCATTTTGTAATTCAATTTTTGAATCGTATTGAAAGATTCACATTTTGAATCACAATTTACAGTATCCTCTTAAAATAAATTTACTTTACTTGTAATTTGACTTATAAATTTCATATACCATGAGTTATACTGATGACTATTTTAAAAATGAAAAATCCATCAAAATGAAAATGTGATGGAAAATTTAACTGTGTTCACAATTTGGCATATAAATTCCATATAACTAAGGGTTTCGTTTTGCTAAAATTGTCACTTTTATAGCATATTTGTTTTTGGATGTTTTGCGAAACCAAAAAAAAAAAACTATGATATACAATGTGTGTGTAAAGAAAATACTTTATTTACTAGTTAAAAAATCATTTGGTATTGATCAAGTTATTTTTTCTGGATAAGATATTATATGGATAATTGGATAGAAAATACAATTATATAATCTTGTACCTGGTTTAATTAAGCTAATTGTCATCAGAAACTTGTAATTTTTATGAATTTCAGATTTTCTTTTCATTACTGCTTTGCTTTTCTTAATAGGTCAAGTTCTTATTTACGTTATAAAGTATGATATTTACAAATATCAAGTTATCATGTTTTTGAGAAATTATGAGAAACAAACAAAAATGAAAAAGATAGGAATAGCAATGAATAGTGATGTGGGTATAGAAAATGTAAGAGATATGAATGCAAAGCAATCAGTATTTAGGATATTGACCATAGATTTCGAAAAAAAAATGCTGCATATTGAGCGAAAACTATGATTATATTATAAGGCTGTCATTTAAAGCATAATGAAACTATTCCCTTTTCATTTTAATCGAATAAGATAGTAAAGATTTTTGAATTAGCTAGAAACTGATGAGATGTTTTCACAAATCAGATTTTTAATCTCTATAATGCATAATTCACTCAATATCTCAATTTTGATATTGCGAGATATTTTTGCTATCGGTTTCGCAATTTTGACACAATAGCAAGAGGGTTCTATAAGCATTATTATCAACGTAGAATCTGAATATCATATCAGAAAATGTCGCAAATCCGACATTTACCCGACCAAATAGCAAAAATAATTGAATACTTTTCGCAAAAACTTTAAAAATCGATAAAAATATGAAATATAGATATTAAAGAGACTTTTTATATAATATTCATAAAGATTTTCCAAAAATATGATACCGCAAAATTAAAAAAGTGACGTCTTGAGTGGAGTCAAAGGTCGAAATTGCTAGCTAAATGTTTTTTTAGCGAAATTGTGTATTGTACGTTTTTTTCGCAAAACGAAACCCTTAATATAACTATATATATTTATATCTGAGTGTGAAAGAGGTGAAATTTTATGACTGTGTGTTTAATTTTTCCAGCATTTTTTTAATAAGCGAAAATGGTAATAATCCAACTAAAGAATCATATGTTGGAACGGGTTCATGGTTTCAAAATGAATGAAAGAGTTATATTAACTGTAAACAATGTAGAAATACAAATAAATAAATATTTCGCTGTTGCATTTTCTCAAATGATTTACAATACTTATGTATTAGATAACAATACACTAAAGATCGATATCAAAACGAAAGTAGAATCACAAGAAACATATGAAGTGTTGAAAGAGATATTACAATATAATAAAACAGAATTTGAATGCAATGATACAATATCGAAAGATCTTTTCTACATCGGAAATAAACTCGGAATACAAGAACTGATTGATCCATATAAAACACAGGTTCTCGACAAAATGGTTCTCGACAAAAATAACTGTGTTCAACTACTCGAGATTTATTTTGATATTTGTTCTGAGAGCAAAATATCAGAATGTGTTGATTTCATTTCTTCTCATTTCTACGAGATTGATCAAGATGATCTAAAATCAATTTCGAAGAAACTCGGATTTGATATCATTCAAAGTATTTTTAATAATGATAAACTATTAATCAAAGATGAGGATTCGATAGCAAATTTCATATTCTCTCTCATTAACGAAAGTGAAATTTTCTCACCACTCGTTGAATACATTCATTTCGAATTTTGCAGTGAACAAGTCATCAATAAAAATCTTGTCATTAGTGATGAAAACAACTATTTCAATATTATCAAATCTCTTCATGATTCATTACTTAGATCAAGAAATAAAAAACACGATTGCAATCGATATTTCATTCCAAGCGATTATCAAGGCGTTTACAAATATCTTGATGATCTTTCAAGAAAAGTTGATCTAACTTTATTTGAAACAGCATGTGAAGACATTCTAAATAAAAATGATGATGAATTTCGTAATAATATCTTATTCGAATCATGTGAAAAAGGAAATCTTACACTCGTTAAATCTCTGATTGAGCATGGCTGCGATAAAGAAGTTAAAAACAAAAATAATCAGACTCCACTCATTTTTGCATCATCTAATGGTCATCTTGAAGTTGTTCAATATCTTATCTCTAATGGAGCTGATAAAGAAGCAAAGAATAATGCTGGATGTACTCCACTCATTTGTGCATCATCTACTGATAATCTTGAAGTTGTTCAATATCTTATCTCTAATGGAGCTGATAAAGAAGCAAAGAATAAAGATGGATCTACTCCACTCATTTCTGCATCATCTAATGGTCATCTTGAAGTTGTTCAATATCTTATCTCTAATGGAGCTGATAAAGATGCAAAGAATGATGATGGATGGACTCCACTCATTTCTGCATCATCTAATGGTCATCTTGAAGTTGTTAAATATCTTATCTCTAATGGAGCTGATAAAGATGCAAAGAATGATGATGGATGGACTCCACTCATTTCTGCATCATCTAATGGTCATCTTGAAGTTGTTCAATATCTTATCTCTAATGGAGCTGATAAAGAAGCAGAGGATAATGATGGATGGACTCCACTCATTTCTGCATCATCTAATGGTCATCTTGAAGTTGTTCAATATCTTATCTCTAATGGAGCTGATAAAGAAGCAGAGGATAATGATGGATGGACTCCACTCATTTGGGCATCAAGATATGGTCATCTTGAAGTTGTTCAATATCTTATCTCTAATGGAGCTGATAAAGAAGCAGAGGATAATGATGGATGGACTCCACTCATTAAAGCATCAAGATATGGTCATCTTGAAGTTGTTCAATATCTTATCTCTAATGGAGCTGATAAAGAAGCAAAGAATAAAGATGGATCTACTCCACTCATTAAAGCATCATATAATGGTCATCTTGAAGTTGTTCAATATCTTATCTCTAATGGAGCTGATAAAGAAGCAGAGGATAATGATGGATCTACTCCACTCATTTGTGCATCATCTACTGATAATCTTGAAGTTGTTCAATATCTTATCTCTAATGGAGCTGATAAAGATGCAAAGAATGATGATGGATGGACTCCACTCATTTCTGCATCATCTAATGGTCATCTTGAAGTTGTTCAATATCTTATCTCTAATGGAGCTGATAAAGAAGCAGAGGATAATGATGGATGGACTCCACTCATTTGGGCATCAAGATATGGTCATCTTGAAGTTGTTCAATATCTTATCTCTAATGGAGCTGATAAAGAAGCAAAGAATAAAGATGGATCTACTCCACTCATTTCTGCATCATCTAATGGTCATCTTGAAGTTGTTCAATATCTTATCTCTAATGGAGCTGATAAAAATGCAAAGAATGATGATGGATGGACTCCACTCATTTCTGCATCATCTAATGGTCATCTTGAAGTTGTTCAATATCTTATCTCTAATGGAGCTGATAAAGATGCAAAGAATGATGATGGATGGACTCCACTCATTTCTGCATCATCTAATGGTCATCTTGAAGTTGTTCAATATCTTATCTCTAATGGAGCTGATAAAGAAGTAAAGAATAAATATGGAAAAACGGCATTGGATCTTGCAACAGGCAATGTAAAAAATTATCTAAAATCTTTATGAAGACTGTAGATTATAATAATTTAAGTTGTTATGGAGATAAATAAATAAAAAGATATGTTTTATTTGTAATATAACATAAATATATATAGATATATATAAATACAAATTTATCTAATGTCGATGTTACCTCGACCACCACCACGGGAACGAGTTCTTGGTTGACGACGAACTTCTTCGTTTCGATGTGCTTCAAAGTTTTCGTTACGAACACCTTCGGGAATATCAAGATGAGGTTCATCTCGTTTAGGACGCTCGATTCTGATTTCGTGAACTGACTGTTGAAGTTTCTTGTTCTTGTTATTCTTATTGTTGTTATTATTGTTACTTTGTTCTTCGGAAGATCTCGGTGGTTTGTACTCGGCGAACTTAGAATTTTGTTTTTGAGATTCTGGATGTTTTGGTTTTTCTTCTGTTTTATGTTCATCACCAACATACTCTGCAAAATTCGTTTTCTGTTTCTGTTTCTTATTCTTTTGGTTTTGATTTTGTTGTTTCTTTTGATTCTGTTTGTTTTTGTTTCCGGTTTTATCTTGATCTTTGTCTTTGTCCTTGTTTTGTTGTTCTTGTTGTTTTGGTTTGGATGTTTCATTTTGTTGTGGTTGTTGTTCTGGATTGGAATCTGGTTTCTTAAGGAATATATCTCGTTTCTTTCGATTACGGTTGCGGTCGATTTGGACAAGATGAGAATCGAATTCAAGATGTGATTCAACAAGTTTTCCA